AAATCTTTTTTTTCTCACAAGGTGAGAGAAATTAACACCGCAGATAAACTTCTCGACATTTTTTTATCTTGCAAAATTTGAACACAACATTCTTCTAATTGTCTTTTTCGCACAATCAGGCGAGTGACAGCGGCGGTAGTAGTGGACACGAGGCAGCGGCAGCAGCAAGTTACCAACTCTGGAGAGTTATCACTGAAGGGCATAGCGAAACAGAAGCGCCTAGGGGCCCACACGAACCTTAATCCGGCCCTGGTTCTCAGAAGCGAGCCAACATGCGCAACGGTGCGAGATGCACTCGACTGCCCTCGGCGTTGTAAGCGAGGGTTCGTGTTCAACTTCACGCGATCAACAACCGACATGCCCTCTCCTATCCAACCCTCCCCACCGCATCATTTACCAATTCGCACTCTTGCCAAAGAAGGCTCCTCGCCGGTTGCTGCGAGAAATTCGATCCGTCGTTGTTTTGGTGAATTCGGAGGGGGAGGGCGTGGGATGGCTGGGTAGAGAGCTTCGGTATTTGTTGGCGGCGAGGGGAGGGGGCATGTAAGTAGTGCAAAGGGGTAGCGGTTTCACGCAACAAGATGCCACGCGGGTGGAGAGAGGATCGGTGGCCAGGGAGATGAGAAGCTCGGTGCACACCACCACCACCCCCCCCCCCGTGCCTTGTCACGCCGTGACACATCATAGCAGGTGCCCCCCACCAACAAGCAATTAATCTCCCCATCCACTCGTACACACAAAGACAAAGATTCCCCCATTTGGTCTGAACTGACTGTAGGGGCAAGTGCTGTTAGCGAGCACCTATGAAGGCCGGCACAGCACACGAGGGGGTGGGTGGCCAACACCCAGCCCGGTCGCCTTTGTCTCCCTAGTGGCGATGTTTACACATCATATGAGGCTGAGTCGACCTAGGGGAGGCCTAAGACCGGTTCAGATAATCGTCACTGGGTGTTGGCCGTGAGCTGGAATCGATCCCGGGTCGCCAGGTTTGTAGCGCAGCGCGCTAACCACTACACCACCGCTCCCCACACACAGACACACACACACAGACACACACAACAACAACCGCCACTAAGTGGCGGTGATGTCACCACGACGCTTGTGCCAGGCCATGTGCACCTTGAGGCCACGTGAAGTGTCGAACGGCCGCTGGCAGGAGGTCAAGGGGCAGACCCAGGTGCCACAGGTCGACTGACTGAGATGACTGGTTAATGCACACACACTGACACACACACACGGGCACACACACACGGGCACACACACACACACACCAGCAGGCACTGGGAACCCGAGTTAAAAGTGTACGCAACACAAAGGCAATTTTGAAACGGGGGTATGGACGACTCCGCGTGCGTAAATGCGTGCAGGACACGCGCGGTGGGTTAAGGTGGCAAGTTGGGGCCGGCTGGGTTTGGGTTTTAAAAAAATCCTTTAGATTAAGTTCGCTTGCTTGCGTGCTTGCGTGCTTGCTTGCTTACGACCGTGCAAATCTTTCGGTCGTTTTTTAACACACTTCCCGTGATCCAATCGAGCTGACATTTTCAACACAGACTCGTTGTGCGTGACAATTAATTTTCGTGAAAAATTTTTTCCAAAATTTTACACTGTTTAGGAATTTTTTTTAAATATTTAATTACCAATTGCTTAATGCTGGCAGACAATCATCTGACCCATAGGTGGCAGCCATCTCAAGCCAGAGGACGAGAGGACTCTAGCCGCCACGCATATTAAGGATTTAGAGTGAAAAACTTTGTTTTTACGGGTTATTTTTTTTTGCTTCAGGCCACTGGAGGACTCGAGCGAGCCGACTGTTACCCGTGTGCCGGTGTCTTTCACGATCGAGTGTTGAGAACAGATGGCGGATTTTTGAGTTACGGTCAGCTGATCCGTTTTCTACGAACCATCATCGGCGGCGGGAGGGAGCGCACGCGGTCGGGTTATGTAACCTCGCAGGAAGATCACGTCTGTTGTCCCCCAGCTTTACCACCTCATTTCACACGAATGAGAACATGCTGTTTACATCCCTCGGCGTTAAACAAGTGTTCCTTGTGGCGGTACCCCGGGGTAACACATAATACAACATGATCGAGGCAATTAAATATTTTATTTCTGGGACACTGTTTTTGCCAGGGGTGTACTTAACCCCGCCACTGGGGTACCAATCAATCCGAAATCGGTGGTGCTACTGCGCGATGTCGAAACGTCGAACATTAGCATAACAAAATCCGTTATCGAAAAATTATACTTTCGTGTACAGCTCGTCGAGATGAGTCGATTGCCGCATCGCTGACCATCAACAGACTAAAAATAAGTAATAAATAAATAAAAAACTTTTTTTAAAAGACACACTTTAATCAAATGTAACGTATTAGTAGTGGAAGAACTCCAGGAAGTAGCCCCGAAGCTTGCCATTACATAAGGGACCGTGGACAATTAGACCCAAGCCTAAACATAACATATACAATTTTTTTTGAAAATATTAATTATTATTTATTTTATGATAGAATATAGTATTGTCATCAGTATGACATAAGTATACCAAGTTTGCAGTCGATACCACATTGGGAAGTGGGTTAAAATTGAGTTACAAGATTTGAGGATTACAACAACAGTGAGTTAAATAAAAGCGTGTCATAATAATAATAATGACTGCATCACGGACATTATGCGAGCGACCTGCGTGGTGAAGTACCTACATCGAGAAAGATACTCGGTGAAAATAAAAACAAAGATCCTCCGACAGACCGTAGGGGCAAGTGCTGTTAGCGAGCAGCACTGATGAATGCCGGCACGGCACACGAGGGGGTGGGTGGCCAGCACCACGCCCGGCCGCCTTTGTCTCCCCCAGTGGCGATGTTTACACGCCGCACCAGGTACTCATTTGAGGCGGAGTCGACCTAGGGGAAGCTCAGGACCGGTTCAGATAATCGTCTCTGGTGTTGTCCACTGAGCGGAATTAAACTCGATTCGCCGGGTTCGTAGCGCAGCGCACTAAGCGCTACTACACTACCGCTCCCCACACAACATACACAACAACAACCGCCATTCGCCACTAAGTGGCGGTGACGTCACAACGACGCTTGTGCCAGGCCACGTGCACCTTGAGGCCACGTGAAGTGTCGAACGCCCGCTGGCAAGAAGTCAGGGGGACAGACTCTGCAGGTGCCATGGGTTGACTGAGATGACTGTCCGATGCACCACCTGTGCCTCCTACTGTGCTTTAGGCACCCGGCCCTCCGCTCGTTGTTGTGAGCGTCGCTCCTCCGCCCTCCGTTCTTGTTGGAGGGCGACTGCCTCCAACTGCCCAGTAGCAGCGTCCTTCACGAGCCGCCTCCACAGAGGCCGAACTTGACACCGCTCGTACCAGTCACACAACATACACACGCACCCTGACTTACATTGCCACTGAAAACACAACTTCACGATAACAATACGGGGACGGGCATTCACGTCCCCGTTTGTTGGTTTCATTTACTTTCAAAAGTAACTCAAAATAATCACGAGTGTCGTTGCGAAGATTTATAAGCAACACAAATAAGCGGATAATGAGTCTCCCTTGCATGTCCCCCGGTCTCTCAGAGTTATAATAATAAATAAAAGTCTTCCCGAACCTTGTGAGGGTCCTATCATTTCGGCACGCAGCACAAGCAACCTCTGGACAAGTTTCGACACGCAATTTCTTATCAGCAGAATATGGCTCGCTACTTGAAATATAACACGCTCACACTTTTTCTTTTGAGTTACATCGCCCTGGTCACCTGAGAAAAAGACAGCAGTGTTACTGCTTAAAGATGTGGGGATTTTTTTCTTCCATTTCTCAATATACAAAGTTATCCATCTGCTGCTATATTTACTCACTTGAAACCGATTCCGGCGCCTTTGGTGTGGTGAAATGGAAATAAACTTAAATTCATTTTTTTAAATCGAACACCAGCCTTAACCAGAAATAAGAAGAACCATGCACGCGCACGGATCCTGTAGCGCTGTCCAACACGCGTTTGTCCTCAGAAGTGTTTCATAATAATTAGCGGTAATAACGTTGCGTTGCCAACCACACGAGATGCCGTTTCGTATAATGGCGACAATCACCGTGGCCTACAAGACTTGAACTTTTTAGCACTGATTTTTTTTCCATCACCAAGTTCAGGGTAACCCTCTGATCATTTTGCTCGGGTTTTTTTAAGGGCGAGGCCCGAATTGCAACACAGTTTTACACACAAAATGTTCTCCATCGCGGGGGTATCTTTGCGAGAGTTACCGTTACCCCGTTACAGACTCAGCGACAGTCAATAAATTTACGCTTTCAAACTTAGTTGGAAATCGTGAAAACAAATGTACCCCCTATCAACGTGTAATCATTTGTAGTTGTGCAAGAGTGAGGAAGGCTTGGTGACTCAGAGTCCAGACCACTGCTTTGGCACAGATGACGTCCTGGGTTAAGTTTAGGCAGCCGCATATTATAACTCCACTTTCTCAAGTACAGTGAGATGGTGGTCTTAGCCCAGTCAACAATGACTGCAATCAAAAAGCCCACATTAAATTTGTGTGCATGCTAACTCTGCGTATGAAAGACATCTTCACGGGCGTGTGGACCAGTGATCACTCGAAATTATCTCGGAGGTAACTCCGTCATATCCGCCTCAGCAGGCCACTTTATAATACAAATATTTTTACTGCTCTGTGAGAGATCCGAATGGATACTTCGCTCCATGACACGAAGCAAATAGAACATGGATAGATGCAGCTTAAATGTTTTATATAGATATAAAAATAGCATTCAAAGAACGTTGCACAAGGATACTGTCATATTTGTATATGTGTCTTCGTGGGTACATTTGACACTCAGTGCTGTCACGACTAAACAGCACGAGTACACAACACCCATATCCAAAATCAAGTTATTTCCCGTGGAAATGCACACTCATGTTAAATGCACTCATGTTAAATGCACACTCATGTTAAAACACCGCAGAAGCAATGACCACACACCCAGAGCATGGTGACGTAAACTAAACGACTTTATTTTAAAAGGAAGACAATTTCAATACCCAGAGAGCATTTCATGAACCTGACATGACATTTTAAAAAGTTAGTAAATCGACACATTTTTTTTTTCAAAACAAGAGGCTTTAGAATTTCATCTGCATTTGTTTTTGTTACTCTGCACAACTATTTTATAGAAATGTTAATATTGGTATGGTGACACACAATCCGGTAACAAAATATTATGGTGACCTAGTGTCGCCATTAGTGTTATTTCATGGGATCCTAAAAAAGAAAAAGATTCGGCCATCAAATTAATCACCCAAGAAGATCCCAGACATTTGGAAGGAGACTGAGAAACCACCATTGAAATGGGATTCCTTAAGGGCTTAGGAATCGCCCGGTAGATTCCCCATTCACCTCAATGCCAATGAGGTTGGCCACTACCACCCCCCCCATAGGCCCTCGATCTCTCAAGAAACGCCATGCCAGGGGTACACGCAGCACGGCCCCCCGATCCCCTAACCCTCTCCCCACAATTCCACAATCCCACAATTCCATAAGGAATCGTAACCGATTACAATAAACGAAGACGGCGGGTTAGGAATCGTGAGACTTGCGCAACTTTGGAAAGAATTACGAATTCGCGTTAAAAGGCAAAAAATATATTTTTAAAGAACTTGTTCATTGCGACAAAAATACACACACCTATTGCAGGCGCACTAATTCCAACAACTGAAAGCGAATTCCTGCATTTGAAGCGTGCACTGGTGCTCTCTAGTGGAAGATATCCACCCGGATTTTCAGCATGTACGGCAGAGGTCGCAACCGGGTACCCGATACCCGTACCCTACCCGATACCCGGCCGGGTACGGGTAGCCGTTTGCGACCCTGGTGCGGCCGGGTACGGGTACGGGTAAGGAATCAAAACCCGTTTGCGACCTCTGCTCAACGCCGGCTTTGCCAACACCATGAACCGACACAGGAACGACACTCATTGGCCAACTCTCCGACATCCGAGGGAAATAGTGCGTGGTGGCGGGGAGGGGTGGCCCAGATGAAACTAAATCGGCTGATATTATTCGTTGCTTTTCTGACCTCCCGATGTGCCATGAGGATAAGGATCATTGCCCGAGGCGTCGCCTGTTATGTTTTTTTTTCTGTTTAGGGCAGTGTCAACGATATCGGTGTTGGGGATATATTTTTGCTGTCGTTTATGTAGAATGGGTGTTAATTACATGAAGTGTACAACCTGTTAACATTCATTTAATGAATCAGTCACGAGTATAAAGCAAATAATGATAACGACAAGAGAACCAGGGAGCTTGTAAAAGACAGGAATCAGGGTGGTATAACATTCTCTTTAGTTTTATCGCAAGCGCGATTAATCCATAACCCAGTCAATCTGCACACTAACCATCCCAGAGTTCACTTTGACCACGTTCATTCCACGAACGGCCCAAGCGTCGTGAAAGACGCAAGGTTAAAAGAGATGCCAAACTCTTGCGTATCGACAACGCTGGCTAGTAACATTGCAGGTGTATTCACCGTAAATAAGCGTCATCTGCATTACAGTGGACGTTGTTTGAAAAAGAGAAGGCCAAAATGTGGCCAGTGTCACATTCAAAATTTGCCTAATGTGGAAGAGGAAGAAAAAATCACCCGCAAGTTGCCGAGTCTGGAAGTGGGCAAGCTGCTTCGCCCCGCGTGAGTAACCCAACTGCAGACCGTGTCTGTGAAACACAGTGTCTGTGTCTTCGCGACAACCCTGCGCTATCGGAACAGTGTGAGTACATAATGTGAAAATTGCTTGATTTGTCGCAAAAAAAATTTGAAAAAAATACTAAAATGTAAAAAAAAAAATCTAATCTTCTTGAGGTTGGGTATAGCGTGTGAAGTTAAAAGTATACAGTAATCATCTTTAATTACTTTCATTTTATATCAAAAGATTTAGTCAAATCAATTATTTTCTTTAACATAATACGGCATAATGATCCAGGAGATAAAGACACACGCTCACAATTATTCTTAAACATTCATCGCTTTTCAAAGCGGTATTATTTGCAAAAACAGTACTAACCTCTCAGCATGAGCATGGTTTGACCATTTCGTTTTATGAATAATGGAATACATTTTTCATTCATCAAACTGCACTTAACGAAAATTACAATCGTTATGGCCCAGTACTTTTCAAATACCGTTCTTCAAGGTTATCACCTTCTCAGTCATTTTTTCTTCCCACAAAATGGTCCATGAAGTGGAATGCTCCAAAGTAGTTTCCGAGAAGAACCCCCAACTTCACAGGGATGATGCTGCGCAGACAGGAAAATAAACAAATATAAGTGGGCCACAATTATTGGGGGTAAAAACCATCTCCGCCAACACCGAGTGTTTCATTTACATTCGTTTTTGTGTAATATAATTAAGCGTTAGTCTTTTCGTTAACGATTGTACCCCGACTGCACTCTCGCCTTTCTGGTCACGAGATGAAGGGTCCATTTTGGAACGCTTCGAGAACAGGGCATCACCCCGGTGTTAAGAGACTAGTCTGCAGAAGAAGACATCACAGAACTGCTTCTGAAATCTCTCCACGTATTCTCTCTTATCCACACATTAGTGGATTGCACTTGATCACCTGCACTACTACGGAGAAAAATGTTTATTGCGTGACACATCGAACTGAACTGGCAGACAAAACTGTAATTTACACATATTAGGTGTAAACCAAATGTTTAAAATAATGTATGCCAGTCATTGGGGACTGAGCTGTCAACTCGCTGCAAATGAAAACCTCGTTTAAAACTATTTAAACTATAAACTATTTTTTGTTTTACCAGGTAAGGCCCACTGAGCTATGAAGCTCTTTTTCAGAAGTGGCCTGGTGACAAATGATAGCTCAACGAAGTGGCTTATCAAGTGGAAATGTATAGCAACAGAATACTCTAGTTTTCGTTTATTTACGCGATCTAACCCAAAAACCTCTATTATGGAAAATACTCTGACCGAATGTTGATTCTAAATGTGGAGGAAAAAACCCAGAGGAACCGGTATAAAAAAACCCACGAGCCCGTGGGGAGTACATGCAAACTCCAAATATTAAGGCGTCGGGATCAAACCTACAACCTCCTGTATACCAGGCGAGGGCATTAACATCTCGTCACGGTGGGGAGCTGCCCAGACTCAAACGCAGGGATCTCAGCGGTGCCAGCTTGGTGGTCTGACCTCCGAGCCACCAGGGTGACCTCGCGCGGCAAAACCCCGAAAACGACAGCGGGAAAGTTGCTCAACGCCGGTGGGGAAACATGGCCTTGGAAATGCCAAGAGATTCGCAAGTTTTGTCCCCACGCGTCAACACACGCCAACACGCCACTCACTTCTTCAGGGCCATCATGCCGTACAAGCTGCGCGGCATGACCAGCTGGACCTGTTCCCGCAGGATTGCATCGATGATTTTGTTTGACGCGTAGTGCTGATCCAGGATGGGCATCAGCCGCGGCCACCTGCATCGGCGGAGCGAGAGAGAGACGGGAGCCGCGTTCATGTGTCAAGTCTCGTCACGCGACCATCAACGGTGCGCTCGCACAGATCAGGAAATCTCGCAGTTAACATCTCGCAGTTCCAACCGAAAATGCTTCTCTTCTCTCCGTCGTTCTGCTCACCGCTTAAGTATTCGTGAGCTCGACGAAGATACTCCACTCCCCCTAGTTTTGACGATAACATCGGCGCGGCAGTCGAAGCAACGGGGCAAGTTAATTAATGACCCCCGCCTCTGTCCACCCTGTAGTGTAAATGGCCAGGCCACAGTCAAGTCGATCGGTAATTCGCGTGCAGTGGGGCAAAACGCGAGTACTCCCTCATCTCTTCCAACATATCTTCCCAGCATGGAAGATTAGGCCTAAAATCGCCCATTGAAGACCTCCCCAGAGCTCAATTCTTGTGGGGGCCCTTCCACCAGCAGTAACGCGAGCAAACAATTGTGCACCCCCCTTTTTATGAGCACCAATTTTTAAAGAGAAAGGAGCCACCTATTGCAATTGAGGTGATACGGAAAGGTCACACGTGCGGGAAACATCTGCCACGCAGGGCTTACTTTGTGGCGCAGCCGGTAAACATCCCGGTGTTGATGAAGTATGGGCACACGATCGTGGTCTTGACTCCGAATTTACCCAGCGCCAACATCTCCAGGGCAACCGATTCAGCAAATCCCACAGCGGCAAACTTGCTGGCGCAGTAGTCTAAGCAACGGAGCAAAGCCGCACAACACACACAACCAACAACATCCATTGGTGACTGATCCACAGCTAGACGAAGGCCTCCCTTCAAGTCATTACCATCTTGCGCAGTCCTGCGGTATAACAATGCACCTAGCACCAGCACAGGAGCTGATTTCATCATCCGATGTCGGCTGCTTTCCATCATCACGGTACATTATAAAACACGCCCCTCTGATAAGAGTGGGGTATTCACATAGGCAAATCTGGATTTGAAGCTTTCGTGACTGCAGGAATCCATACTCTTTGGTTCTTTCGGTAAAGTCACGTAGGTAAAAAAATAAAAAAAATATATCACGACGTTTCGATCGCAACACAAGCGGTCGTCTTCAGGAGGGAAAAATAATCCAGCAGATCAACTGCTGAACCAGTTTTGTTTTTATTTTATTTTTCTACCTACGTGACTTTACCGAAAGAACCAAAGAGTACCCAAAGGCCAGTTCAGATATCACTTGCCACTTGCGTGTTTCCGCGGCTAGGAATCCAACTCAGGTTTTGCGGGCTCCCCGCCGAGCGATAGCGGAGCGTAAAAAAAAAAAGAAAGCATGGCGTTCGGAATTCCGCACGACATGCACCTCTCATAGGGTGACCCAAGAAAGGGGTAACAATCACGCGCGAGAGCGCGCGTAAGAAATGCTTGGAAAATAATACAAACTCAATAGATGCCAATTTCGGTTCAGATTTTTTTGTTGTTTATACTGCGATTGTGAGAAAAGAGAGAGAAAAAACAATTCATGGCATGTTATATGCTCGATTAAAATGTTCTTCGTTTGCACGGGATTTCGCGAGCAGCACCAAATCACAAACTCTCATCATAGACAGTGAATGGCATATGCTCCAATGGCAATCCATATTGCTGATACGGGTAGAGGATACAGATGGTGTTGTCCCGTATGGCTGTGTCCTCACACACTCCTAAGGACAATTTGACCTGGACATCCTGTCCTTTCATTCATCTTTTCACCCAATTGTATCCCGATCGCGCTCTCAGCGTCACGATACGATACGAAGCATCTGTTCAGCCCTACCGCACAGCAGTGCCACCCTTTGCATTACAGGATGGTTCTGTGGAAGCGGAACATCACAGAACTACCCCTGTCCTCTCAGCCACAAGGTAGGGGGAGGAAAGCCCTTTTACCACCGACAGTAAAATCTCTTGCACAACAGCCAAATGGGTACGTTGTGTTTATTCGTATGCGGTGGAATTCAGCCAAATCAACTGCAGAAGCACATTTATGCGCATCGTTTTTGGTTGTTGTTCAGTCATTGGTGGCTGGTCTGGGGCTATCAACTCGCAACAACTTTAGAACTCGGTTTAATCCCCGGGGGGTTACCTGAATTCAGAACCCAATACCTCATCGGTGCATCCTCCGAGCCACCGGCCCACCTCCCCCTGTTCTCCCTCCTCGTGTAGGAATCCTTCTCACCTGCGAGGCCATTCACTCCGATGAGTCCAGCCGAGCTGGCAATGCTCACCAGGTGTCCGTGGTCGTTGGCCACCATAGCTGGCAAGAACGCCTTGTAGGTCTGGGTGACACACACAAAATGACGATGGATTTTCTGTTTGCACTTAGTCACATATTCACTTGAAGATGTTTTCTTGTTCATGTTTTTGTTTTTTGCTTGTTGCGGTTGCACCCGATTCAAGAGCCGAATGGCTCACAGGGCTATACCTAATAAATGAACTTGAACTTGATGAGAGAATGATAAATATGACAGCAATTGACAAATGTTGCTGTGCATTTGTAATAGACAGGAATACCTGCATAAAGCATGTAGAGATGCATCGATTCATCAGCGACATATCCATCGAACTGTGCGTGTGTCCGATTCACACGTTACATGCATATTCTTAGGTTTTTTCGGTAAAGTCACGTAGGTAAAAAAATTAAATTAATAAAAGTAAAATAAAACAAAATCAAGTTACTTGATACAGCTGTCATGGCTGCGACGGTTCCACCTGAAGACAGAGGCTTGTGTTGCTTCCGAAACGTCGTGATTTTTTATTTTGTTTTATTTTACTTTTATTAATTTATTTATTTTTACCTACGTGACTTTACCAAAAAAACCTAAGAATATGAATCCTTGCAGTCACGAAAGCTTCAAATCTAACGTTACATGCAATTTGATCACGTAACTCCTGCGGCCATTCGAGAAGTGATACTTTCTCCAGAATAGCAAAATTCAAGGTGAGGGAGTGGGCGATTCGTTGCACAGCTTAATAATATTAATTCATTTGCAGCCCTTTGTCAATAAACTGCTGGATGAAGGCCACCCAACCCACAAAGGTGCAGTGTAGGATGCTTTTTACATTTCATTCAACAAAACATCACGGTCAATATTTTTTTTTTCCCAGGGACGTGAGCTCGTTGGACATGTGAGGTTTACACTATACAAGAATTTGGTTTTACCCGCTGTGGCAATATAACAGGAGGCGTTAAGTTGTTAAAACACCAAACAGAAACCTTTTGCAAGTAATCGTGTCTGAATTAACCACACGTACTTGTGGTGAAGATGCAAACAAAAAAACATGCTCTGGTAATATATGCATCGTCTTTGAAACTTCGATTTTGATACTGGCAAGGGAGATCCCATGATGTAGCTGCTCACTCGTCTTTGTGCTGTCCGCCTTTTGGCGTCCTCTGGTCTAACACTGAGACGAGGCTCTAAAGAAAGCCGTCTCTGGTGTGGACCAATCAGTTTCAAAGACAATGCATATACTATCGGAGTATGTTTTTGTTTTTGTTTTGCATTCTGACCACAAGTAGTGTGGTTAATGCAGACATGATTCCTTGTAAAAGGTTTCAGTTTGGTGTTTTAACATCTTAACACCTACATTTTTATTTAAAGCTTTCGTGACTGCAGGGATTCATATTCTTGGTTCTTTTGGTAAAGTCACGTAGAAGGGAAATAATAAAATAATATAAATATTTGTATTACAAATATATATTATTTTATTATTTCCCTTCTACGTGACTTTACCGAAAGAACCAAGAATATCTTAACACCTGTTGTGTTGCCATCAAGGGTAAAAGCAATTCCTATATTTTGATACTGTCAAGAAAGGTCCCATGATGAGGATTCACTCTGCACTGGACGAATGTCTCTCTCTCTCTCTCGCTCACATCTGGCTCCCTCTCCTGGACGCGTGGATGAAATGCACAAAATCGGCTCCGACTCACCCAGAAGTGCGCCATGATGTTGACGTCCATCGTCTTCTGCAGGAGCTCGTCGGGCGAATCGATGAACTTGCGCCCGGTCACGATGCCGGCGTTGTTGACGAGGATGTCGATGTCTCCGACGTCGCGCTTCACCTGTCGGGAGGTCACGCTCGCATGTTACCTTTCTGCCAGCCAGTTTTAAACACACACGTGTAAATCAATCGGCACGCGAATGTGCGCACGTCCGTTTAACTTCTTTCGCCAACCGTGATAATCGCAGGTGCGGGGAAGGACAACAAGCTAAACACGAAAAGCAGTTCTAAAGAAATTAGTTTTACAATCTAGAATTAAAAGGGCAGCGTTCCGTTGGCCGTTAACCGATTGGACGCTCTATCCCACCCCTCGGATTAGCACGGTTGGCTACGTACGGTGCGAAATAAGTTGAACGCACACACGTGCAATGGCTATGCCTGTTGCAAATGCATCGGACCATGCTCGTAGACTAATCCCCACACCGTGTCATTCCACCAAACTTCACCATGACGGCGAGCACTGGTTGCCGATGAGTGGGCCACAGGAGCTGGTTCAGATATCCCTCGCCACTGATGTCAACCACGAGTGTGAGAATCGAACCCAGGTCACAAGGTGCAATGCACTAACCGCCCCGGCGAGTGACTGTGAGTGTAGAATGGACACTGCGCCAAAACAAACACCTTCCGTCCTCCTCCTGCCATTCCCACAAGACGACATCTCATTGCCTCAGTCATTTATTCATCAGCCGGGGAGATATCATTCCCGCTGCCATTGTAAAATAAATCACGATGCAAGGGGATGGAGGGAAGTCGTCGTCATTGCGTTACAGGTTGTGCCTCGTAGGCACGCTAGGGAATTGCCCTTCCAGTGCCCTTTGTAAATCATTGGTGCCCTAGGTAAACACGACAGTGGACGTCGGTCAGCATCGTCTGGCAAAGAGCAATCAGTGCGTGAGCTAGCACAAGCCGCGGAGGTCATATAGGGGTCATTTGACCTTACTTGACCACGCAGGTCATTGCAGGTTAGCACAGGTGGGGGGCGTAGACGCTGAAGCATAGGCCGTACAACAATGGATTTTGAACCCCCGTAGAAGCCTATAACATCTGTTATACGTGACAGTCGCACATCCAGGACCAATTCAGTTGTCATGCCACACGAATGTTAGCCATGGACAATAATTAATCAAACTTGGCAAACGAAGGTTTCATTGTGTGGCGTGCCACCCATTGCGCTGCACTAAAGAGGCCCGTAAACCTGCGCTAAAAACATCCACAGCTATGTTTATAGATGTTCACAAACTCTCGCTTTCAATTGGCACGGTTGGCTATGTACGGTTCACAAAAAAGAAGTTCAAGATACGTACGAACACCACGCGTACTTCAAATGTACACATTGGTGTATGTGTGTGTTAGAGGTCGCAAACGGGTTTTTATTCCTTACCCATACCCGTACCCGGCCGCACCAGGGTTGCAAACAGGTACCCGTACCCTACCCGATACCCGTACCCGGCCGGGTACGGGTGTAGGGTATGGGTATCGGGTACCCGATTGCGACCTCTGTGATCAAGCCATGTTGCAGGCACGGGTGGGTTGATTCTAGGAACTTGAATTGAGAGAAGAGACAAGACGTTGGGAAATGAGTGACAAACGGTTACTCACCAGTGACTCACGGCCTACCCGTACCCGTACCCGGCCGCACCAGGGTCGCAAACGGCTACCCGTACCCGGCCGGGTACGTGTAGCCGGGTATCGGGTAGGGTACGGGTATCGGGTACCCGATTGCGACCTCTGATGTGTGGCCACGCATATAGCAACCAGCAGTGTGAACAGACGCCACCTTTGCAATTTAAACCACAGCAGGTATTTAAAGTGCTCGGCCGTTGTGCATGGCGCAACAACCCAACAGTCGTCAGCCTCGTACACAAAGGCAGAGTTATTTTGTTGACGTTATCTGTGCACGTCGTTTGAAACGTTTTGCTTTTCCGGCCTGTGCTGTTACGGACTACGATGGATGGGCCGTTCTTGTCGATTGCGATGTTGGATTGATCGCAGCAGGTTTGCAGACAACACAACGGATAAACCATGGGGTTGCAGGGGGGGGAATGCAGTCCTGCAAACTGTCTGTTGCCCACACACGAACTCTCCAACTAGTCCTAAAGTAGATTTGAAGCTTTCGTGACTGCAAGGATTCATACTCTTAGGTTGTTTCGGTATAGTCATGTAGGTAAAAAATGTAATTAAAATTAATAAAAGTAAAATAAATAATCACGACGTATCAAGTAAAGATACTTTACTTGATACAGCCATCGTGCTGTGACGGTTCCACCTGAAGACGGAATCTTGTGTTGCCTCCGAAACGTCGTGATTTTTTATTTTATTTTTATTAATTTAAATTTTATTTTTTACCTACGCGACTTCACCGAAAAAACCTAAGAGCATAGTCCTAAAGTGGCATAAGCAAAGCCGGTTAACGGTGCTCCCAAAGCTAAGCATCCCCTATTTGCTACTCGGAATGTTGACATGGATGGAGGCCAAATCGCGAAGGCGTCAGAGGTTTGCGGGAGACAAAGTCCAAACAAAGGAGCCTCGGAGAACAAAGGTCTCGGGTTTTAACCCCTCGAGACATCGCGATAGACAGAAAGACAAGCACTCTTATCCACATTTTGTGTGTGCAATGAACACATCGCAAAGTCCAAAATGGGGTCTCTGTCTTTATTACTTTGTTGACGAATGCAGCGTTCCATTGCACTTTGATGAAGATCGATGTGAAGCCTAATGAAACAAGTGAAGCGTTATGGTGTTCATTTCTTAAACGTCTAGGCCACCTAAAGTATACTATGATTTATTGACTCACTTTACGACAATGTCACAGGTTACGCAAACCATACGGCTCAAATGCTGCAGATAGTTCCTAATGCGTGACAAAACGTGGCGTAGACTTCTTCTTAATTACCACGAATGACTTGCGGCACAAATCGCACATTTTCAAGACATTATTTAATTGGGGAATCTGCCAACAATGAAAAAAAATGACGCCTGGCACACGTTTCGCACTATAATGCGCATCATCGCCCATCTTACACGACGCCTTCTCGCGTTGGAAGTCACTCTTCACTAATTAACGTTGTACCAAAAAGACAAAGATCCCCCATATAGCCTTAACCGACTGTTAGGGCAAGTGCTGTCAGCGAGTAGCACCTATGAAGCACGGTACGGCACACGAGGGGGTGGGTGGCCAGCACCAAACCCGGCCGCCTTTGTCTCCCCAGTGGCGATGTTTTAACACACCGCACCAGGTACTCATTTGAGGCTGAGTCGACCTAGGGGAGGCCCAGGACCAGTTCAGATAATCGTCACCGGTGTTGGGGGAATCGAACTCGGGTTTCTGAGTTCGTAGCGCAGCGTAGCGCTGTCGTTTTTGCCAATTAACGTTGCAGCTGCATCACCTTCACATGCACGTCACTGGGACGTCAGTCGCTCACATCTGTCACTGGCATTGGATGAGCAGTGGAAATGCCACTTTCTCATAGCGAATTGGACAACCGATCTCAGGGCAACTGCAGTGCTCGAAATTCTGTATTAATTTTAACCCAGGATCTCACTTGCAGAGAGGCTTGCCCTTCTACAAATTACCCAGAATCCTCGATAACTGAACATAAGCAGTTTTCATGCAAAGTTGCTTTTGTGCTCAGCTATAGGGAGCGCTCTTGTAAATGAGATCTGGCAAATGAGTAGGATTTGTTTAACAAGACTAACTTTGCTGATGAGATCTACAAGTTTGAAACACGGTCCAGGGTGTGCTCGCTTAAACAAATGTGTGTGGTTAAAATAAAATAGAACTAGAATGCTGACGAAAGAAAAACTTATTAAATATATTTTCTTTGCAGAGATCTATTTCATGTATTAAATACCCAACCGGTTAGGGTCAGCTTGACTTGGAATCAGAAAGTCAGGATCTCTCCTGTTCTGCAGTGGATTTGTTTACCTGGGACAAAGTCTGTCACGATAGTTGAAACTGGTCCAGAGTTTGCTGGATTATAGATATTCTGGTGGGTTGCCTGCCTATGACAACTAAAACATAATTTCAGGTCAACAGGCCAAGTAACCTTCATTGATTTTTTGTTTGTTGGTGACTCAGGCTATGTATCGTGTTATCTATTAATATAATTTTACTTACTCAGTGCACGGGTTTCACATTCCAAACCGAATTAAAGCCTTCACTATAATGAGCAGCGGCGCTTTTACCATCAGGAATATAATCTCACACATAGTGAAACGTGTGCGTTTTGGTACGAGCAACTTAACAGATTTGGCAATTGTGAACCATGACGCCTACTCTTTTTCGAAATACGTCACGGGTTCTTTAATGACGTCACGTGTGCATTGGATCACTTTATTTTTTTTCTTTACGGCCGAAGTATCGACACCCTTGAAGTATGTTGTTGGGAAAAATGAAAGGAACCGGAAATAGAGGAAGATCTAAGAGAGAATGACTTTGACAACGACATAAGCGGCTGGTGCCAGAAAGTATGGCCACTACTTGAGCAGATTGACACAAGACAGAGGAAAGTGGAAACAAATGTGCAGTGGACACCTACGGGGCTATCTGCCCATGGATCGCGGCGATGATGATGATCTTCTTGGTTCTTTCGGTAAAGTCACGTAGAAGGAAAATAATAAAAATAAGCTTTTTTATTTTATTATTTTCCTTCTACGTGACTTTACCGAAAGAACCAAGAAGATGAATCCCTGCAGTCACGAAAGCTTTAAATCGAAGATGATGATATTTAATTCAGGTACTGTGAATCAGTCGGCACGTACGATCTTACGGTCAATACGACCGCAGCATCGACCAGGGCGGCCACTGGTCTTGAACCGCGAACATCTGCAACAAGCGGCAATCCGTGCCACCCCCTGGGACCACGCCACCGCCCCACAAATTCGTTCAAAACTGGAAACAACAGCAACCGTGACGGAACCCACCAGGTCGGCCACCCTGTACACGTCTTCCCTGCGGCTGCAGTCCACCGAGTAGGCGTGGACGCGCGGCTTCCTCTCGTTGCCCTCCACGCCGTCCCCTTCCTCGCGGATGAGCTGCGCCGTCTCCTCGTTAGCGGCACGGTTGACGTCCCAGATGACGAGGGTGGCGCCCAGGCGGGCGAGGTTGAGCGCCATGAGGCGGCCGAGCCCGCTGCCGGCGCCCGTCACCAGCACCACCTGGCCGGCCACGCTCTTGCGGCGCGGGGGCACGACGCAGCGGAAGAGGCACTCGAGCCAATAGACGACGCTCATGGCCATCACCATCAAGGTCTCCAGCAGGAAATTCATGGTTGTTGCTGCGGCTGCTGATGGGATGAAGGGGTGAACGAGAGACAGGATGGCAAGATGAATCTCGCAATGACATTTTTTTTTCCAGTGTAAAAGGTAAAGATGCAGGCCTTGCAATTGCTTGCTCGAAACCACTGCTGGTGGAAGGGTTTCACCAGAGGGAGATTAAGTTAGCTCTAGATTTGAAGCTTTCGTGACTGCAAGGATTCATACTCTTAGTTTTTTCGGTAAAGTCACGTAGGTAAAAAATGAAATTAAAATTAATAAAAATAAAATAATAAAAAACCACGACGTTTCGGAGGCAACACAAGTCTTCGTCACAGCCAGATTTGCTGTATCAAGTGATACAGTTGTTGGGAAAAATGGAAGGAACTGGAAGTGATACAGCAAATCTGGCTGTGACGGTCCCACCTGATGACGGAGACTTGTGTTGCCTCCGAAACGTCGTGATTTTTTATTTTTTTTTATTAATTTTAATTTCAATTTTTACCGACGTGACTTTACCGAAAAAACTAAGTTAGCTCCTCCATCGGACATGTTGGCCTCCTCTGCCATGTCGGCCAGATGTCCTTGAAGAGGTGAGAATTACTCACACTTCACTGCAGTGCACATCCCCCTCCTGATCAACTAACGACGGTGTTCCCAATTATACGCAGACAAGGCGATTGCAAGTCCTATGTCCCCACCGTCACACCACGGCAGCATACAATTTACAATAATCTATGCCATGTTAGTCTCACTGGGTCTTAAAACTTTTTCAGAACATTCCTAAAAATGTGTTCAGCCAAATGTAATGGCAGTCGAGGAGCAAATTAATGTTCTTGAAACAGTTTTACATCTGTGCATACCGTCGGCTATGATGATGACAAATTACATGGAGCAACAACTTAAAATTAAGAGACACGGAGAGGTGCATTCTGAGAATAATATTGAGAAAACACACTCAACGACACTCACGAAGATAAAGACAAAGATTCCCCGTATAGCCTTAGCAAACTCTAGGGGCAAGTGCTGTTTGCGAGCACCTATAAAGGCCGGCACGGTACACGAGGGGGGTGATGGCAAACACCACGCCCGGCCGCCTTTGTCTCCCCAGTGGCGATGATTACACATCGCACCAGGTAATCATTGGAGGCTGAGTCGACCTAGGGGAGGGTCCCAGGACCGATTCAGATACAGTAATCGTCACACTGGAATCGAACCCAGGTCTGCAGGTTCGTAGCGCAGCGCAGGTAACCTCGACCCCACACACAACAACAACCACTCGCCACTAAGTGGCGGTGTCGTCCCCACGGCGCTCGTGCCAGGCTAGGTACACGTTAAGGCCACGTGAAGTGTCAAACGCCCGCTGGCAGGAGGAGGTCAAGGGCCAGACCCAGCAGGTGGTACAACGGGGTCAACCGAGCGAGATGAGTGGCCAACGCACCACCACCACCACCCGTACCAAGTTTAGCACACGGTACAAAAAGACAAAGATGCCTCCACCTACCGTATAGCCTCTAACAGGCTATCGGGGCAAGTGCTGTTGGCGAGCACCACTGTGGCACACGGACGCACCACTTACCCCGAGATCGTCGAAATCCCAACTCAGTCACACGTGGAGCGAGCAGACAGACCGCCACCACCACCACCGTCCCCACGTCTCACTGCCCCACGTCCAGGCTCACGCAGCAGTTCGTCTTGGACGCAGCCGTACTCGGGATTTCCTTGTCGGTGGTGGTGGAGGTTTTTGTGTGGCTGGGGAGGGGTTTGCTGCAAGTTGCCTTAGGAGGCGGAAACGCTTCGCTCGCCTCTTTGGCTCATTCATCCCTCGCGTCATTGGGCAGGGCGATGCCCTCCTCCTCCTCCTCTCTCTCAAAGTTTCCTCCCACTTCGCGCTGGCGATGATGTCCACGTTATATAAAGCGCCCACTCGCTCCCTCCTTCATTACTTACTTATTACCCCACACACACACAACACAACAGGGCTTTGCAACTGGAGCGCGGGGTCGCGGCTCTTTCGGCTGCCCCCCTTTGTGGCTCTTTGGCTGCCCCTTTGCGGGCAGCCGTCTTTTTTTTTATTCATATTCCTAAGTTTTTTCGGTAAAGTCACGTAGGTAAAAAATGTAAATTAATAAAAGTAAAATAAAACAAAAACAAAAATCACGACGTTTCGGAAGCAACACAAAAATTAACCCGTAAAAACAAAGTTTTTCACTATAAATCCTTTATATGCGTGGCGCCTCGAGTCCTCTCGTCCTCTGGCTTGAGATGGCTGCCACCTATGGGTCAGATGATTGTCTGCCAGCATTAAACAATTGGTAATTAAATTTTTTTTTCCCTAAACAGTGTAAAATTTTGGAAAAAAAATTTCACGAAAATTAATTGTCACGCACAACGAGTCTGTGTGCAAAATGTCAGCTCGATTGGATCACGGGAAGTGGGTTAAAAAACGACCGAAAGATTTGCACGGTCGTAAGCAAGCAAGCACGCAACCACGCAAGCAAGCAAGCAAGTGAACTTAATATAAAGGATTTAAAAATGAGTTTACTTTTATTCGATTCTTCACGCTCTCAAAGCAGCGTCCTTCGTTGCAAGGCCCCGCCGGCCACTGGCAGGGCCCCTGGGTGGCCTTTAATGTGGGCCCCTTCACGTGCGGCCACCCGACAAGACAACACGTGACAACAGCCAACCCACCCACCCATCATCATCGTGCTGCTGTCAAACCAGAGATCGCAACCGAGTACCCGATACCCGTACCCTACCCGATACCCGGCTACCCGGCCGGGTACGGGTACGGGTAGGCCATGAGTCACTGTTTGTCACTCATTTCCCAACGTCTTGTCTCTTCTCACAACAATTCAAGTTCCTAGAATCAACCCACCCGCGCCTGCAACATGGCTTCATCCCAGAGGTCGCAATCAGGTACCCGATACCCGTACCCTACCCGGCCGGGTACGGGTAGGGTACGGGTATCGGGTACCTGATTGCCGGGTACGGGTAGGGTACGGGTATGGCCGGGTACGGGTACCCATTTGCGACCCTGGTGCGGCCGGGTACGGGTAAGGAATCAAAACCCGTTTGCGACCTCTGTGTCAAACCCCCAATGGTTTCAAATGGTGTGGCAGCCCTCGACACTGACAGAGCGTTTATGGCAACTGTCCCATTTTCACTCCCCCCCCCCCCCCCCCAATGTGAACATTTTAGCGAAGGACACTTCGCTCTAAAGTGTAGTGTAGAGGCGGGCCCCGCTTTTTACGACACGAGTAACTTAAAGCCCCGTCGTAAATCGGACCGTGGTAAATCAAGTTCAAGTTCATTTATTAGGTATAGCCCTGCGAGCCATTCGGCTCTTGAATCGGACCCTGAATTCCCATAAGCGCTCTCTCTGTCTTGGTGAGAACAAAATGTGTACAGTCAAAATGTGGAATAATTCAGGGAGGGGAGGCGGGTAAACTAAACAGACGCAGTTTATTCCATCACATATTTAGTTTAATTAAGTTGGATGTTTCGATTTAAAGCTTTCGTGACTGCAGGGATTCATCTTCTTGGTTCTTTCGGTAAAGTCACGTAGAAGGGAAGTAATAAAATAATAGAAATAAAACAGCATAATATAATAATATAATACTATATTTATTATGTTTTATTTTTATTATTTTATTATTTTCCTTCTACGTGACTTTACCGAAAGAACCAAGAAGATAAGTTGGATGTGTTTGCCATCTGCCGTATGCCGCACGCGTTTGTGTGCAAGTTCGCTCTGCGTGTGATGCGAGTCTCGAAAATGTTACGATTATAAGACGCATGTTTCCCTCTGAAAAGAAAAATGTGGGGATGCGTCTTATAATCCAGAAGGTGTGTGTGTGAGAGAGATCAGGTTGATATAAGTAAAAAGTAAAATAAAAAAAATTATTTAATCACGACGTTTCGGAGGCAATACAAGCTTCCGTCTTCAGGTGGCACCGTCACAGCAAAATTACTGGATCAATAAATTACATTTTCGTGATTTAATTTATTTTTTATTTTTTACCTACGTGACTTTACCGTAAAAAAAAACAAAGAGTATGGACCCCTTGCAGTCACGAAAACTTCAAATCTAGAATTAGGTTGATATCACTTTATTGCAAACCGGCACAACACGTTACTTTCAGGAGCGTCTTAGAATCCGGAGAATACGGCAACTGTGCCACTTTCACTCCCCTCATCCCCATTGTCAATCCACTGCTGGATGAAGGCCCTCTCAGGCTTATCCAGGCTAGTCACGGTGTGTGGGTAACGCATCTCGTTCAGGCGGTGAGCGGAATGGCAGCGGATGTCACCCGCAGACGATATTAGCTGCATGGGGGCCGTCCATAAATGACGCCACGCGATTTTGAACGATTTTTGACCCCCCCCTCGTCACACGGCGTCACAAAAAGTCAGACCCCCCCCCTCAAATATGACGTCACAAAGCCCCCCCACCCCAAAACCATATTTCCATTTAAAAAAAAAAACGTGCTTCAAATCGCTTCAAACTATTGCCATTGTAGTGCGTATTTAATGTGGCGCTGCATTCTGATGTTGTAGGAGAAAACATTCATTAAAAAGTCTATTTAATTACGTGTTGTCTATATTTATTCAAAGTTGCGCATTTTGATGTGACGTCACATTTCTCAACCCCCCCCCCCCCTCTTTACACATCGTCACAAATGTCTGACCCCCCCCCGCCTCCAGGTGCGTGACGTCATTTATGGACGGCCCCATGGCCTGGAATTGAACTTAGGCCGCCTGGTTCAAAGTACTGTCGTTGGGCGGGCGGATAAGAAGTTACATACCACGGCATTATTACGTTCAACTTTGACACACTTTAAAACGTTACAAAGTGATGTGTCATCGATGCCAAGATGTTATATCATCGTGGGAGAAATGGTGGTCAAATGATGAGCACACTAAACTATGAATTACAATCCGATGACCAGAGTTCGAATCCGGGCCATGGCTAAACGTGGTGAAGTATGGTCAAACAACTTCCACGGCCACTTCCCACCACTTGCCACGCCACTGTCCATGATCGAACCCAAATAAATTAGTTCGTGGTTGGTTAAAACTTCAAATCTAGATCGGTGTTAAAGTGTTTTGGAGATTCTCATACCATTTAAACTTAGACTCTTTGTCATTCTACTGCTTCTTGGTTCTTTCGGTAAAGTCACGTAGAAGGGAAATAATACAATAATAAAAATAAAACATAATAAAATAATTCTCACGACGTTTCGGCCACAACGCAAGCAGCCGTCCTCAGGTGAAACCAGGTCTGTCGAGGCGACAGACCTGTTTGTTGAAAAGTCCTATGGGGGGGGGGGGGTGTTTGACCATACTTCACCACTCTGGTCAGTGCCGGTTGGCAAAGATAGAGGGATGAGGGTGCTCAGAATCGGTTCAGATAGCAGCCACTGATGTTAGCCCTGGCCCGAAATGAATCCCAGTTCGGTTTCTCGGTTCACATCGCAGGCGCGCTGACCACTGCACCACCGCTCCACGCTGCCCTGACCTATCCGGAACTTTGAATGCATCCGTCATCATGGGCTGCGTGGAGATATGTGGAGGGGGGAGGCGCGGTGGCGAGATGTTAACTACCTCGCCTGGAATACAGGAAGTCGTAGGTTCGATTCCGTAGACCCCGACGCCTGCATATATTTTGGGTTTGCGTGCCTCTCTCCCCGTGGTCGCGTGGATTTTTCTCCGGGTCCTCCGGTTTTTCTCTTCACATCTATAATCATGCATTTCGAGTATTTTGGTTGCTATACATTTCCGCATAAGACACTTCGTTGAGCTATCATATGAGATAGCCAGTACGCTGGTAAAATAAAAGTAGTGTAATAGTTTCGTGCGAAGAAATGTATTGAGTCTGTAATGCTCTCTGCTACCCACCACATGAGCAGCATTCACTTCTAGTGCTGTGGTGATACCAGAGGGCGCTGGTTCACTGCCGTTTGCGTTCAGCAACAAGTAGTTTTGCATTCGGGAGCCGATGGTTGATACGTAATGGATACAGTATTCAAACAAAGACATTTTATGGTACTGTATAAATATATATTTGTTTTATTGTATCGATTTAGGAATCTATACACTACCATACCTGTCAACCCGTACGGTTTACCTGTATTCTTGAACAGGGAAATTTGAGTTTGCATGCTCATACGGCGTACAGCCGTTTCAATAGGGCACTTTTTTAGTCTATTTGTTTGTATTTCTCCCTTGCGATGGGACTTTGTAGGATGAACGTTGCGTTTTATAATGACAATGGGTGACCAATAAGGTCTGAATTGGTCTGTAATAAGATAGGCGCTGATAAGGGTATATGCAATACATACGACTGGGTTTCTGAACATCACCTTGATATGCATGCGGTCGCATTTAAATGGTATACACATCCAAATCATATTGTATTTGATCACACCACACTTTCGAACATAAGTCTGTATATTAATACATGATAACGCACACAATTGTTTTGGTCTTGTACATTATACAGCACTGCATTTCAAGTACACGCAAACACATACACCACGTTTATTCGTGTGGATATATTGCGATACGATTTGTATTTATATAACATTTAAATGCCACCACACCCCAAGGCGCTGCACATAAACGCAGTCACACGTATTTCATATATTCATCAATCGATACAATAAAAACCAAAATATTATTACTTTGTCGATACAATAAAATGTCTCATTTTGAACGCTGTATTTTGCACACATCACCTCCCACGATTTCGCCTTTGGCTCAAACGTTGCACGCAATCGTTCATGTTGCCCTGGTTAGTTTCATTATATAAAAAAAATCACTTGCTTAATTTCAGTATTCAGCAATTCCGCTGGCTAAATTGGTTGTCAGAACAATGCAACAGGTCAGGTTCGAATGAGGCCAGCTCCGTCCACACGCGCTCATTAAGCTAAAGCTGTTAAAATGCAGATCAACGGTTGCCTGTCGCGTTTTGCCAAAGGGAGGGTCTTCCTGCAAGCTGAGCAATGGCCAAGATCTGCAATTCGTTAAATCGCATTTGCTTTCTACACTTTATGGACGACACTCCATTGCCAGGACGACCTGCACAATATTCTTTTGGAAGCCTTCGTGTCAGAAGCAGCCCAAGTTTAGATCCAACAACAATAGAATTGGGATACTGCGTGAGTATTTGGTGCACAAATAACACAACACGGCCCTAGGAAGAGGCATAAAAATATATAATAGGTGGACATTTTGGGCAATGGCACTTCTTCAGAGGGTCATTGGCCAAAACATCACCCATCGTATCTTCAGAGCAGTGCTAATACAGGTAGGAACAGGTGCCACACTGCCCACCAGAGATTATTTGTCTGTCGTGCACAAATGCGCTGTCCAACCAAGTTCCTACCTGCCCACTCCAAAGGAACGTGTTGAGGAACGCGTTAAAATTTAAGTCCCAAGTCTAACGCTGCGAGCGCTTGCGAGCTAGAAAAGTTATGTGCATGATAACTTTAGTTAAAATGTTTTAATGCACGGAATAAATGGTAGCATGTATAAGATATTAATGTGATATTAAAATATACATATTGTACCAAAATCGCATATTACATATCAATGCATACATTGCTGCCAACGTGATTTCTTTATTATCATGGCAAAGGCTGGAGTGTGATACAATTGGTGACCGGATCACTAGATGCTTACAGAAAAAGTGAGCATATATTTTGTATGCGAGGTTGTCAGTCACAGGTGAAAGGACATTCTTGAGCCTGAAATTGAATATGGGTAATCAACTGACAGGAGTTCCACTTAAACATTTCGGTAATGTCTTTTGTATCTTTGCAGCCTCTGCATCTACCCAAACCCCAGCAGATTTCCAATGCACCCTAACATTTCACAACCGAGTAAAACACCCAGGCACATTCATCTTTTAAAATAAATTAATCTCTTTATTTTTCTTTAATAACATTACAAATTGCTATGCTATTGTAGTGTTGCAAACATTTGACTGGAATATGAAAACGTTAATATTTCTTGCATTAAAATTGCTACAATAAATTGCAGCGTTCGGTTCATATACAGCAACGTTTATGTGTAAGCTACAGCACCATAATTATATATTACGATTGGGAAACAAACACTTGCAAAGGCTATATACAGACAGTATATTTTAGTGCATTATTAGCAAACATCCACACAATATACATGTGTAAAACCCAAGACGAGATAAGGAATTGCAGCTATTTCAAGCAAAAAACTGTTCATATGTGGAGCACTGAACTTCACTGAATATTTTGATACATTTAACGGAATAGAAGGCAAATATACTTTGGGTCTTTGGGTAAAGTCACGTAGATGGTTCTAAGAAAATACCAAAAAACTACGACGTTTCGATCACAACACAAGTGATCGTCATCAGGAGGAAAGAGCTCTTTAATGACGATCGCTTGTGTTGTGATCGAAACGTCGTAGTTTTTTGTTATTTTTTTTTAACCATCTAATGCGACTTTACCGAAAGACCCAAAGAATATTAATTCCTGCAGTCACGAAAGCTTTAAGTCAAGGCAAATCTTTGTTACACAGAAACTTTGCAACGTGTGACTTAGGAGACAGAAACCCAGGAAAATTTACCATGAGTTTTATCAAGTCACTAACTTTACTGTGTAAAATTCCAACTTTATAATTGATACTTAAGCAACTGCAATTTTATGTAAAAGATAAAGTCCTGTAATTTCGTGCTCAAGTCACTGCCGGCAGAAGGGCCCCCACTAAGGGAGCTCTAGAGCCCCTCTATGGAGCCTTGGGAGAGCACCGATTGGAGTATTTTGGCCTACTCTTCTACACTGGCTGGGTGTCTTCGAAGAGGTGGGAGTACTAACACGCTACCTCACCACGCACAACCTGTCATTCGACTAACTGGCGTACCTATTATGCTGTTGGATGAAAAGTGTAGAGGGGGTGGATTTAAGAATTTTGCCCAATGTTTCAACTGCCAAGCATGGTAAATGAACCTGCGACCTCTGAATTGACGACCCCGTGCTTCAGTTGGAAAGCCCTAGGATGTGGGGTAAGGAAGGAAGGGTCTTTACTTCATCATCATCACCACTCCGCATGGGAGGAGACTTTGAGAGAGGGCATCGTCTACCTGACCAAAGCATCCCAAGGAACTATAAACTGTAACATTGTACCCGTGCTTAATAGACCAGAAAAGCTCCCCGACAAGTAGCTATAATATTAGCGTCCTGGCGGCAAGCAGCTTCATGTATTTTCTGGCTTGCTCAGTCAGTAAAAGTTGGTCTTCCGTTCTGCCAAACGCCACCACCTCCCAGTCGCTGTTCATCTGGAGGCAGCGAAAGACACAGGAAACACATTTTAGCATTCACACCAGTAGCAGCAGGCAGCGCCATGTCATCAAATGAGAAAGTGAGCTGCTCATTTCAGTTCCTGAAGAAATTCCCAGCATGTAGACTGGAACTTCAGACACCATGCCGCCAGTCAACACGCAGTAACAACCCTAAAACACATCACAGAATGCCTTCCATTCTCATGTTTCTACTTGTTGATCCTCAAGTAAGAGGCATATCTGTAACAGGCCACTCCTTCCAGGTGAGGCACAGTTAAATTGAAATTAGCCCAAAGGTGATATATTGAAACAAAGGCGAGAAAAATACTCCACAATACACTTTGTATTTATATAGCGTCAATCTGTATGGGCGGCGGAGAATAATACACATTTTATTTACGGAGCCAAAGTTGACTTGGGTAATGAGACAGAAAAGCCTTAGTTTCTGGCTTTCAGCCCGTAGCTGAGATAGTATTCACTTTTGAGCTTTGCTTTAAACTACTTATTACCAATAATAATGACAATGAGTAAACTTTGCATTTTCACTTTTTGTATCAAAGAAAGCTTTCACGATAACCCTGTGTTTTCAAAGATGGATGTCGTCTGGGATTAGGGGAAAATTCAATGACATAGCAAAGTGACTTTACGCATACATACATACATGGGAAGTTTAAATGCATGGACAGGGAAAATTATACAAAACAAGCCGGCACTCACTTGACCCCTGCCCTCTCTTGGCGTGCGGCCCTCATAGGCGCTGGAGGAGGGCAACCCGAGTGGCCGGGCTACACAGGGGGTCCGCACGTGACCCAGCAGCGAGTCCTCCGCACGGCCGGTGACGGGACGCATGAGCAGAGAGCTCGTCAGCAGCTCCCGTGCCTGGCGTAGCTTCCGTGAGCAAACACACACGCAGGCAAATATAAATATCTCCCCATGTAGTCTTTTACGAGCTGTTGGGCCCAAGTGTTGTAAGCGAGCACACCTATTCAGGGTATGGTGTTGTAGCACGTGAAGCTGCTTTTGTCTCTTGATTACTAATATTTACAAACTGCATTAGGTACTCAAATTATTTGAGGCCGAGGCAACCTACAGGAGAGAGCCCAGACCAGTTCGGATAATGGCCACTGATGTTGGTTGTGGCCGAGGATCAAACTCAGGTCAGTAGGTTCAAAGTGTAGCATGTTAACAGCTACGCCGCCACTCCCTACACACGCGTGCACACATCCGCATGCGCACGCCAAATCCATTATTTCAGTTTGTCCTTGCAAAGCCTTTTGGATACGAATGCTAATAACCTCACGGTACATGCATCAAATCGCACGTGTAAGAATGGATGTTTTGTTCATATGTATTGAATGAAATGGGTTCGCGTGACCCCTCCAGTCAAGAGATGCTGCTACATTTACTGCAATGTTTAAAAAACACCAGATTCTTGGATTGAATCCCAACCCTGAATCGTGACATTTCATTGGATTGTGACGGGCGAATCAATACACCGCTATTCTCAAGCATAACCTAAATCCAAATAAATGATTGCCTTGCTAAATAAAGATGTTGCTGCTGACCAATTTAATCACAGCTAATAGCAACGGCCATCACGGTCAAAAACAGCTGACCTCTCGATCAGGACACACCACATAGCAATTGTGCCGTTGCCCGTGCATTGGCATGAAATTTTAATCACTAGCGTGCCTTGGATAATTTCACTCACGGGGCTTCCACCGGGAGAAACCGATGGCTCGCAAGGGAAGAGCTTGGTGTTCAGATTGTCGCTGCTCCAAACGTCTAGCACAAGTGACTTGCGAGCCTTCTTGGCTGGAGAGCCCATCATCATCCTTGCCTGCAAGGAAGAAGGAAATAAGAGTACAATAAAACATGTACACACACACAAAACCGTTTTAATTAATATGTGCTCTCACTCCACGAAGGATAACAGATGGCATTTGAAAAAAAATCCCATGTTGCTCATTTCAAAAAGCTCTTCTTACTCTTAAAATCCCTTAACTGACGATGCAAATCCCTGAGCTTTGAAGCCTTGCCAATGACCCAGATCATGGCAACTTGCATACATTAGTGCACTGTGCAAAATCACAACTGTGTTTTTTTTTTCAACATTTTTTTTATCATATGAACATATTGAGAATTGATGTTATTAAATATATTTAATAAAGCATGCACTCCTTTTTTACAACGAGATAATACCTATCCGTATAAGAGAATGTTAGATTTTAATAAAATCTCCCAAATAATGCAAACACTGAATCACAACTGATGCACCCCCTGCGATGGTAAATGCTGTACGCAACAAGGGACGAATTTAAGTCTATTTTGATTAATATATCCAGCCAGCCATGATTTTACCTGCGCGTGTGTAAACTCTCATCGGACGTGGGCGATACGTTTAATGTGACTTGCGAGGAAGAGCTATCAATCATTCAATTAGCTGGATTGGCCACACCTGATGCTGCAAGCGCTAAAATGGGCAGACAAGGCACTGGCTCATGTATATTTCTGGTGCAAATGTAGGTTTTCATTTAGCCCGAAGCGACACGTGAAGGCAACAGGAGGGGGGACATGACAAGATGCAGTACAGTCGTAAATCTCATTTAAACAATTACGAAAGCACGTGTCAACACGACAACACCAGGCGTGAGCTGGCACACACACGACTTCATTTCACAGGGGAGAGGGGGGTGGTGCTTGCAAAGACGGGCGAGCGAGTGCCAACCTCGGGCCTGGGTCTGTTGGCGGGGGACGGCGAGTGCTCCGAGTCGTCTGTGAAGCCATCGTGGGATGCCGACACGGTCCGGAGCACGTCCCTGAGGTCCTCCTCAAGATGGGAGGGGGTCCGCGGCTGGGGGCACACAATGGCATTCGCGCCAATTATCACCACTCCAATTAGTTGAGAGCGTGTGGTTTTTGGCTGAAGCATTGAAAAAAATATTATGCAATGCCAAGAACAAAATGCCACTCCAAACTGAAGCGGTTTTGGACCGTCTACTCACAGCGCTTCTCAAACCATCAGTCTCAATTCTGCTGTTGTAATTAAAGGGTGGTGGTACCTTGGGGTAAAAACAAATAGGTGAAGCACAATACTCACCCACCACTCCCCATCTGTCGATCTAGCCATAACTACATCTTTAATTAATTTACAGTATCGTTTTCAATCTCCTGCTGGATGAAGGCCTTCCCGCAAGCGGTGTTGATCATGAGATGAACGGGTGGCCAAGACAGGTTTTAATATCACTCGCCACCTATGTAGCCATGTTCAGCAATCACACTCAGGGTTGACGGGTTCATAGTGCAAGACAGCCTTAAAACAGTACATGTATGCATCCTTGGCTGCTCCGTTCACAAACTTGAACTGATCACCATGGAAGTATATGGTCAAACAACCCCCATGACCGACACAAAACAGAGGGGGCATTCATCCAGCAGTGAATTAACAAAGGGAATGCAAATGACTATTTTAAATGATTCATCCATTGCTTCAACCACCGCACCCATCCAACTGTGATTTATATTTATACCTGATTACTGATTGTGGTTACATCTATGCTAAAATGTTCAAAGGTCAGTTAATTTAGGACCTTCTGACACTTCAATATGAAAATGTGGCCGGCATTACAGCTTTGCAATCAGAAATATAATTCATGCCACCAGGAGTTTGTTATTCCAAGGCAAGCTGTAGCTTCGGATAATCTCCAGCATGAAACAAAAAGCTCACAAAACACTAATGGCATTGCCATGTTTGTATTCACAGCCATTATAAGATCTCAAAACCTGTTTAACACTTTTTAATATTCTGCAAGATTACATATTAGTTACACAAGGATCAAAAGACACCTGCTGTTTGTCATTATCCAAGCTGTTTTACAGATAAACTCACAAGAAGGGAATGGCAGATTTCCAAAAATAAATATTTCATCAACATTTTGATGTAAATCTACACGATTTATTCACAACAGCATGGTCGTGTCGTGGTAAAAAGCAACTTCTGGATCACGAGGTAAATTAAGTACAGGGTCTTGCTATCGCTCACCAGTCCCTTGAGAGGTCCGTATTTCACCTCTTGTGCCGCCAGAGCGTTTTTGAATGGCGTGGGTGTCCTTGGGGTAGTCTCCATTAGTGAGCATCGGATGTTGGGTGTCCTGAACCTGTGCGCCCCATTGAGCGACGGCGGCAGAGAAAGTGGTGAGCGCAGGGGCCGACGGGGCAGGCAAAGAGGCTCGCATAACAGTCAATCGCAACAAACTGTATGACTCATAATACAGGTTTTTTGGGTTTAGATCGCGTAAATGTGTTGTTAAACCCGCCGCCACCACCCGACACAGCCAATTAGTAAGGTTTGTCATATAAACAGAAGATGCTAATTCGTTACTAGTACAGCAGATCGGTGTGTTGGATAGCAAAGCCACAACATTTACAATCTGAAGTATGACGTTTAGCCAGCAATTACAACTAGCTTCATCAGGCGACAGCCAGATTTGAGGAGAAATCATCCTGTTTCGTTCCTTCAATAGAGGAACAAACTGTATTACTGCCACTAAACCTGTAAGTTCAAGTGAATATTTAAGAGGTAGACAGCCCTGAAGCTTGCTCAGACCATTGCTGGCGGAAAAGGGCCTCCACTGAGGAAACTTACGAGAGCGTCTCGAGAAGGTATTTTTGGCCGACTCTTCCACGATGGCCAGATGTTTTATAAGAGGTGCGAGTGTACCCACAAGTTACCTTACCACACACAACGCTGTCCCAATCAACCAACTGTGGTGTAACCCTATTTTTACTCTCCAAATCGCCCGTCTCGTTAGTACATGGTCATAGGTGAATTCAGGTGTGATCGTGCGCACCCGTTTTGCTTGGTATGGCCAGGCGTGCACTCTCTCTGCAGTGGCGTCCCGACCGTGAGCTTCTGGCGAGAGACGGGCGTCGATGTAAGGGACGGCGTTTCCATCTGTAGCTTCTCCCGCTCCGCCGTGTTCAAGAACTGCACGGAAAAATCCACAACGCCATAACATCAATGTAGCATTCTGCAAGGCAAAGGGCACACCAGAAATGAAATGTAAAGAACATTAGCCAACCAAGCACTGGCGGTAGCCGAGCAAACCAGCTAAAAGTATTAGCATGCCTACCAACCCGAAACCTACTCCCGAACACCACTTTGGCTGCTTCAGCTGGGCCCTTCTTAACTTTTTGGTGGATGTTTGAATTAGTTTTTTACATTACCCAAACACAACCTCGACACCTGGAATGAAATTGACTCCGAATAGCAGCCACAGTCAATACATTGATTGATAATGAATAGAAACGTCATCAAAAATCATTACATCAAAGCAATGCAAAATTGTCAATGCATGTATTTGTTTTCCTGGAAAAGGCTCACCAATCAAGACATTTTAAGAGAATCCCACTTTAGGATGTCAGGGCAATTATTTTTCAGAACCGTATTGTTATTTTCAGGATACGTAACTCATAATCTGCAGACCTAGGTCAAATAGACCCTGTAAGGAAGCACGACTGCTTCCTGCAGGGTCATTATTGCCACTAAGGTGGGTGTGTCTCACGGGATTCATGTCCACACGATGTAAATCTTAATTTGAGCCAAACCGAGCATTGTACATCACCTGTGATGGAGAGAAGGGCAGGGTGTGCAGACGATTCGATTTCGGCGGTGTCCTGCTCAGATCCAGGCTGCCAAAGCTGAGCGAGCTCGCGCCCTCCGTGGCTTCGCCACGCGGCGTCGTGTCCCGCCCCCTACGCAGGATTGCGGGCTGGCTGGTCAAGCGGGCGGTCGTAGCCGACGACGCGATCGGGTCGGCTTTGCCTTGGCCGCAGCCGATGGCCACGGCTAGGCCGCTCGTGCCGAGAGAGCTACGTTGGCCGCCGTCGCCGTGGCACGTGCGCTCCGCCACTTCGCTGGTGTCCGTGCTGCTGATGCCGCTTGTGCTGCCGATGCCACTCGTGCTGCCGCTGCTAACGCTGCTGCTCGGGCAGTGCAGGGAGAAGACTTTGGACGAGCTGGGCCCGTACCGGTGGGGGGCGACACAAGGCGTCAGGGCAGGGCATTGCCGCGCCACCGCAGAATCACCCAGGATCTCCAGCATGAGGCTATCGCTCCACGAGCTGTCATCGTGCAGCATGGTCTGAGGTCACGCGGCAAGGGGACGAGAAGCACACGTGAGTTCCTACCGATTCGTGAAACGGGCATCTCGATTTGCGTGACGCCGTGACAGTGAGCGTTGCAAGTCCAACGAGCATTGGGCGATGATCATTAGGAAGTAATGGTTCACATGTCCAAGTGACAAAACGAACTGTCATGATTTCGGGTCACGATCGGACTTAATGTATTCTGTTCATTTTTTATTTAGCCTAGTTAATTTAATTTCACGTTTTTCTGTCGTCTTGTCTGTGCAGTTTTCTTCACCCTGTTTGCCTAAACTTTTTACGAGTATATTATTTGCTTTTTGTAAAAAAATAATGGAAAATCAATGTTATGACAGGCACCAGCTCATCCACATAACTAGCAATGTTGACTACAACAGAGTGAATCTAGCTCAGGTCATGTGTTTATAACTTTGCCAATGCTCCGATACAAAAATGGAACATTACAAAGATAATTACTTTTGTTTAACAATCACACGGTACATTAACAAGAATATTACTTTGTTTTCCAAATCACATGAGGACCATGGTTGTAGTTAAATAGTTAAAATAAAACTGGATATAATTACATCCAAAGGCAAAGGGATATTTTTATTATTTAGAATATGTCCTTTGAAATCACTGAGATACAAGCTAAGTGAATTACCATAAATTAAACATGACTAGAAATGCAAATAACAAACCATACTATCCTGCACTTTTTAATACGAATTTTAATATTGATAATACAATTCCAGACAAGGAATTGTGCGAAACCATACGCCAAATAACAAGATTGACATAATGCAGCTCTCATTGAAAAAAGCGTAGCAGCATACATATGACAAAACATTATTCTTAAACAGGCAATGATGATACATATTCTTTGGTTGTTTCGGTAAAATAACGTAGAAATAAAAATAAAGCAAACAAAAAAACAAAGATTCGTTCATGAAGCCATCCAATTTTCCCCCGCCCCGCCCCCCCCCCAGAGAAAATGATGCAGTAGCTTTAGCCAGTGACAAGTGCTATAAAATTTCCCAAAGTTGAATTTCAAGGTATTTTAAATTAAAAAGGTCTACACTTCCTCGTAAATTTATGAGATTTAGGTTGAGGAATGCAGAAACAATAAAAAGAACTGCAGTCAGTGCAGGGCACATCGTGAGAATGACTCGAGAGAGATGAGCGACAAAACTACGGAGTGGAAACCAAGACAAAAAAAGTAGATGAAAACAGTGGAGGAGATGGCCATATGAATGCGTTTTGAGATTTTAATTGAACAGCAGTAGCAACTGGGGAAAGGAATGGAAGAAAAAGTGGAAAAGCCTTTACCCGGCCGCCAACGACAAGAACATGTTGCCGCACAGCTGCACAATCTGGCACAATATTTACCGAATCGATCATTTGCAGCGTCTCGGCAAACTCCGGCACATTCTTGAGCGGCGAGAGCTGGGCCACGGCCAGGTACTTGATCGGAGTGGTGGCCTCGGCGCTAACTCCCCCGGCCTGGTGGACAGGCCAATTCTGAGTGTGATCGCACCGGGGGCTGCCCCCACCGAGAGGCCTCACGGCGTCTTTGAAGTTGGCGATGGCGGCACCGCCACTCCAGTCGATGAGGTCGACCACCTCCACAACACCTGTGTTCTCAGTCTACAAAAAAGATAAAGATCCAACCAAGTCAGCCTATCCAGCCCGTTGGAGCAAGTGCTGTTAGTGTGCACCTATCAGTTTCATTTATTCGGTACTAGCTTTACTACCCGGCTTCGCCCGGGACTTGGATTCACCATGCCCGGCCGCCTTTGTCTCCCCAGTGGCGATGTTCACACACCACACCAGTTACTCGTTTGAGGCTGAGTCGACCTAGGGGAAGCCCAGGACCGATTCAAATAATCGTCACCGGTGGTGGCCGTGAGCGGGAATCGAACTCGGGTCGCGGGTTCGTAGCGCGGCGCGCTAACCACTACACTACAATGCGTTACCCATCCACATGCTCCAGTCACATGACATATTTGATGTCACTGCTCACTTGCCGTGCAAAAAATACATGCATTATGGAGTTCCCTCGCCCAAAAAACCCACAAAAGTGTATTTTAATAATGTTTGCATGGTGTACAGTCTGGACAGTACCCACATGGCAAATTTCAAGTTTGTTGCACGTCGGGAAGTACGCAAAACACTTTGAACAGACACACATATTCACAACTTGGCCTTTTATATATATGGAGATAACAATGACATGCAGCATGAAGCACACTTCCCCAACAACACAAGCAATCCAGCAGATGGCAGAGCACATGGAAAGCTATTCGCTGATTTTCAATTTTACCAAATTATGCCACAGATGTTCCGATCCGCATGTCTTAACTTTAATAGCCCATCTGATGTGATTTTAATTAACGTTTTGTGAGACGTCAATTCACCTAATACTTTATTTTCCAAAAATATAAATGAATAGGAATTCAGATGGTTCCATTTCTCCCATGTTGCACAATTTGCCAAGCGTTTTGCAGTCTTGAGATGTGCTTGCATTAAGACGCTCTTTAAAACCATGTTTTTCAATATTTTGCTTTCGTTCTGGAGCATAAGATGTCATACACCCTAAAGTGGCCAGCCAATTGAAGGATGAAGAATAAAAAACACATCTTTCATGGGGCGTAACAATGCAGCAATTTTTCAATTCACATCGGTGCTCAAGCTAAACGACACGTGCATCGTGTTGCGCATATAAGAATCTAATATACATTTTTTAATACACGATGTATGTAAAGTGTTCACACGACCTATCCAGCCATTAGAAGCCACTATATTGACACTGTAAAAAATTTAATAAATTCTTGAATGGACTTGTGTTTCGGGAAAGTGACAATTAATTGAAGTGTGACGGGCAAGTCGTTACACCCCCTACTCGCAAGAATGAGATACTAAATCTAAATGGATTCTTGTTTAGCAAAATAAACAATTGTCACGGCTAACCAATTGAATACGCTTATAGAAGCGACTATTTCAATTTTATGTTGTGATAGTTCACTGAATCGCAAGGGGGGGGGGGGGCGGGGGCAAATCATATTTGTAACATTATCTCAATCACGAAGCCGGCCAAAGGAATGATGCAGATAACACGTTTAAATGCACAGCATAAGCTTTTGAGAATGAACAAGGCAGCGATGGCAAACGCAAGCACTGCAAGCAGCTTAGTCCAGCCTAGCCCAGGCAATGCGCCAGAAGCACCTTCCTCTGATTCAACGCAATCACGCACGAGGTCAAGTATTGCAAGAACGCTTACGGTCTGCGAGTCTGCGACACGTTGCTCGGAGGAAATTCTAATTCTTAAGGCCTGTGTTCGCTGTTCCTTGACTGGTGCATCCTGAGTGGCCTGTAGAGACCGCAGGCGGGCGGGCGGTCGGTCGGTACACGTTAGAAATGCATACTCTTTGGTTCTTTCGGTAAAGTCATGTAGGTAGAAAAATAAAATAAGAAATAATGTATCACGACGTTTCAATCGCAATACAAGCGGTCGTCCTCAGGCAAAAAAAATCTAATCCAGCAGTGGAACTGCTGAACCAGCGAGAGAGCTGTAACAACAAGAGGTTATTTGTGTGGCGATGGGCAACCGCTTGCCACTGCTGGATTATATTTTTTCTGCCTGAGGACGACTGCTTGTGTTGCGATCGAAATGTCATGATATATTATTTTTTGTTTTATTTAATTTTTCTACCTACATGACTTTACCAAAAGAACCAAAGAGTGTGGATTCCTGCAGTCATGAAATCTTCAAATCAAGTTAGAAATGCAACGAGGAGTTTCGTAAAAAGTCATCCGCGCTCCTGTTTTATCGTGCAAATCTGCAAGCGGTGGAGTACGAGGATTTACGTATGTATGTTTAACTTTTTTCGCACAGTTCGAAGCCAACTGTGCTAATCGGACTTCATGGTTTTAATCTTTGCCTTTGCAGGTTAATCGTGTGTGTGGGCTTCATCAAAGGCACACCACCTGTTGTTATTGGACTGTAGCAGCTACGGACGTATGTCGCATCGATTAACATAAATTCTTAAGGCTATCAATACATGCATCGAACCCGATGCTTTCGGTTTCTTTGCTGCATGTAGTTTTTTTCTTTTCCGGATGGACGATAGTAAGATGGACAATAGGATGGACAACAATTAAATTAAAAGCGTGTTGTTTGGAAAAATGGAAGGAACCGGAAAGGAAGACCTAACAGAGAACGGCTTCACGACGAGACAAGAGATTGGTGCTAGAAATGTGGCACTACTTGAGCCTACTGGCACAAGACAGAAGAAAGTGGAAACAAATGACGAAATGTATGAAGATTATATGCTCATGTTGCATTTCAACTAATGGAGTGAAAATGTACAAACAAGCCAAAATAGACAAACGATGTAATTAAATATTTTTTTCTTTGAGTAAAATCGTGATTTTAAATTGCAACAATACATCAAATCGCCCGAGTGTGAATCGATACAACCCCTATTAACGACTCTTGTGATATCGAAATTCATTTAAGCGCTTAAGTCATGCTCATAAATGACCCACAACCACTATATTTAAAAGTGATGGGAACTTTCTCCAAATTAAATGCTGCCCGCGCAAGAGATTCGGCAGAAATTGTGTAATTTTTAAATGCCTGTCCAAACCCTCAAGATCAATTGGGTAGATACAAGCATCATAAATAAACCACTGCATCGAAATGCTTAGTCGTGCTATATAGTGGTTGGCAATGTTTTCGGAGTTAGGTATCCATTTCAACAACAAAATAAGCAATGCACCACTAAAACTTTTTGTTATAACTGTTTGTCTTACCTTAATCGATTTTAACCTAGTGCTCATCTCCGGGTTGATTGCACATCCAGACTACAGAGAAGCAAAACACAGGGAGAGAGAGGGATGCAGAGCGAGTGAGCGACAAAAAGACAAAAGGTCTCCAAGAGGAAAATATCGGTAATTATTGTAACGCTGCCAATCTCCGTTCCAATTTTCATTAAAATTCTTAATGAATTAAAATGTTTAAAATTTTATGCAAAGCTCAGATAGAACATAATTTACAGCTTGGTCACAAAGGTGCAAGACAACCACATGTGAATTACATCCATTGAACTACAATAGCCCTTTCATTAATGTACTTTGGCATCTTAATAGGGGGGGGGGGGGGGCCCTGTGAATGCTGCATGCAGGCATTATCTTTAAAAGCAGGTAATTGTTTACACAAAAAACCAAGCACACAAACCACAGCTCTTCTTGATTTGATTTTAGCCGGTGTAAATAAGAATCAGGGTGTTTTATTTAGAAGAGGAATCCGATGAGCTATGTCCAGTAGCGGCAGGTCAGCAAGTTACATGCTTAAGTCAAACCCTACTTTCATATATTGCTCCGATTTGCACCGAGCTCCCCAATGTGTGTTCGCTACTCAAACACTTTATTTTTCAAAATCGGCCTGCCGGCCTGTACAAAAAAAGTGAGGCCCGCACATGTATGTGTGTGTGTATGTCTATTTGTATACATGTAAGTATTGGGAAATGGTAGTGTAGCAGTTAGCGAACTGCGTGACCTGAGCTGCATTCCCACTCCCAGCAAATGTGTGGCAAAGATTTTAGCTGGTCCTGGGGCACCCCGAATTCGACTCAGCCTTAAATAAGTACATGGTACAATGTCTAAGCATCAGTATCGGTTAAGACAGGCAAAATGGGCCTGGTGCTAAGCCACATTACCTATTCGTGCACCATGCCTGTCTTCATAAGGCGCTCGTTAACAGCACTTGCCGCCGAACAGCCTGTGTAGGCTACACGGAAATAGGGTCGGGGCGTTTGTCTTTGCGTGCATGTAACCCAACGCGAATGTGTGCGTACATCCTGCTCATCGCGGCTGGGGCTGTCCGGTGCAAGGACCGGGAAGGCGTCGGACTGAAACTTGGTGTCAGGGCACAGAGGCCACGGAAGATCCTGCAGGTAGCCCTCCTGCTCCACTTTGCGCTTCAGTGTGGAGTTCCAGTGATTCTTAATGGCGTTGTCGGTTCTGAGGGTAAGAGTGGGGCACGCCAGGCTGAAATCAACCATTTCTCACACAATGATTAATAGGCAACTATTGGTGCCCGTGATAGCTGCGTCGTAGTAAACAAAGATCAGAGCAGCAGGCAGGAGTTACAGATTGAACTAGGGAAAATTAGTGTTGTATGTTATCACAAGCTGGTAAGCCAGACTAATGCACATACAAAAGGAAGAACGAGTTTAGCATGTGCACGCACACCCACTGGCTCACATTTTAAAGCACACGTGTTATTCATGCTGGTACGCTGAAAAACGATAGTTTTTTTTATTATGCATTTCCAAACTCACGAAATTATACAAATCAAGGAAATTATACTCATAAGCAGTGCAGTGAGATTCATCATCATTAGTTTATGGGTTTTCTGAATTGTCAAAATGTGAAACCGTTTCAGACGGAAGTACGAATGAAAGTACCAATGTTTTTTGGTAATTGCAATAAGAGCTAATCAGCACCTTAAGTTATTTTAAACAATGTATGAAAATATCACTTTGAAAAATGACAAAACTATTCCAAAGCGATAATTTAAAAAAATATATTGCGAATGATACTCTTCCAAATTATTAATGAAATGCCACCTTTATATATATAAAATAGGCTGCATTTCTATAATGCACATTTCAGGTGGCCAATACATGGGTTGGGAGGAATGGCAATCAGTCACCTAATAGGCTGGACCCCCTTGATAGATGCAAACCCTTTGGGCACGGTTCGTTTTACTTTGCTGGCCGAATTTTAATGTTAATTAATCCCGCGAGGCCACTTACGAAGCAATGCTACCTCGACGCAATGCAAATGAACATCTCTCTACGATGGGTACTGGATAACAAAAAATATGCACCCCGACCTCTACAATTGTGCATACTACACTTTGTATGCTATGCGACAAATTCATCTTGAAGCATGTTCGTTTCTCGTCTGATTTATGCTGATATTTACCTCCATTGCCATAATTGGGGAAACATGCCAAGACAATGTTCTTGGGTCATACTTCAAAATGTGAATCTGTCCCTGTGCACAGCTTGTCAAATGTTTTATCTGGTAATTTCTCGTATTTTATTGTATGCCATGTAATGATTTACCACCTTCACAATGCAATGAATTTACACGATTCAGGATCATGATGGAAGTTAAAAAATCTATTATTTCTGCACCACTGTTGCAATTTAGGCTCCGCCAGTGGCTGTGGGGTTTAAGGAAACCATCTCCTGTCTACAGCTCTCTCATCTCCATCTCTTGTTTGGCTCTCTTTCATCTAACTCATCTGCATCTCTTTACGTCCCATAAAGACATATCCTTTAGCGGGTCACTCTAAGAGCTTTCACAGGCCACTCTCTCCCCACGGTTAGGCAGTTGAAGAACCTTGTGCTACTGTGTAGGTTTTCACCGTTGTGCTGGATAGCTTCTCTGGAGTGGTTTGTTGTTACTCCTGTGTTGCTCGCCGTGATGCCCGACGTTACGCCACTCGTCCCATGGTTTCTAAACAAGCTCATAGCGTGTTGTGCAAAACGTATGAACCGAACACACACTTTAGAGCAAACCCCTGCCCGAGCTTCGTCACGGCCCTCACCCACGTCGCTCTCACCTCCCGGGCAGCAGCTTGGCGATCTCGGCCCAGCGGTTTCCCAGTTGCTTATGTGCCTCATGGATGATGCGGTCCTCCTCCTCGGTCCACGACGACTTCTTCACCGCGGGATTGAGGTGGTTGTGCCAGCGCTCGCGACACTGCTTGCCGATGCGACCCTTGAGCTGCTTGGCGATGAGTGACCAGCGCTTGGGACCGTACTTCATGACCAGCTCGATGACCTGCGCGAACACACACATACACAAAGGTCCACCATCTAGCCCACAGGGCTAACACTATAACACGAACACTATTTTTATTTTACCAGGTAAGGCCCACTGAGCTATATAGCTCTTTTTCAAAAGTGACTTGGCCACAAATGATAGCTCAGATAAGTGGCTTATCGTGTGGAAATGTATAGGAGCCAAATAATCTAAACGCATGTTGATTTTAAATGTGGAGGGAAAAACTGGAGAAAAAAACCACACGTCCACGGGGAGAACATGCAAACTCCAAATATACAAACGTCTGGTTCGGGAACGAATCCACGACCTCCTGTATACTAGGCATGTTACTTAACATCTCACCACCGTGGCTGTTGGGACAAGCGCTGTTAGCGAGCACACTATGAAGGCCAGCATGGCACACAAAGCGGGTGGTGGTTTCGCCAACGCCTCGATCAGAATATCCGGGTTGAGAATTAACCGTGCTCATTCCCACCACCTAGGCCCACGCTCGTTGCATTATTAGCTGCTCCATACTCGTTGAAGATCAGTTACAGTGCCCACATGATCAAACATGTTGGCAAGTAAACCTCTGACTTTAAGAAGCCATAAAAAGAGCAATGAATTCTATGTCTTTGGTACTATTATACTTAGGTAAACAACAAATATTTTTTTATGGCGCAATTTAAATGTTTTCATTGGCAATTATATTTTTTTATAGGCCACCCCTACTCAACAACACCATCCCGGCGAATCAAGACATGACTGCACCGTTAGTGAGCACCTCCTCAGTGCTGCAGTTTACACACTGTACCAAGTACGCATTGGGTGGGGCAAGTGGCACAGTAGTCAGGGTAATGCGCGATGAACCTGGCAACCTTAGTTTGATTCCTGACCACAACTAATATGAATGGCGAGTGATATAAGAACTAGCCCTGGGCCCGCTTCCTTTAACAACCAACAATGATTAGCACACTTCCCATGACTGAGAATGCGGGGAGGCTTTCATCCACCAGTGAATTACAAAGGGCTGGAAAGTATAGAAGTAAGAGCCATCCCATTACCTTGTCCAATTAATCTACCGCGACAAGCACTGCGCATCGAGCCGAGAATTTAACTTGAAATTATGAAAGCATACAGGGTAGGCTGACATGCTTTCCGACAGAGCCTTTATTTTTCTCCATTTTGCTGAACTGCTTGCTGGTAAAGTCGCAACATCTTATACCTTCTGATCCTCCTCCTTAGTCCATGGGCCCTTCACCAGAGCCGGGTTCAGGACCTTTTGCCAGCGGTGGATACACTGAGCATCACTTCGATTCTGCAGAGAATGAGACCGAATGTACACACACGAGCCAGTGGGGTGTTTTCTTTCTTTTCTGAAAACCACACAGTGGCATTGACATTTGATACACATATACACTGTGTTATATTGCATTTTATTGCATGATACATAGCCCTAGCAGTCTGTAACACCTGCTATGATTGGTGGTCACCCATCTGAGCTCCATCCAGACTCAATTTTGCTTCGCTTTAGTGATCGCACAAGATCGAGTACATTCCAGGTGATATGGTTACAGTCTCGGTAGTTGGAAGCAGAGGTCATTGTAGTAGATCGATTTTCATCATCCATATTTTCTATGTTCCCGCATCTATGCTCCTCGCTCTTCACCAACATGCACTGACCAGGAAGGTGAAAGCTGGTCAAAACAACTTCTATGACCAACATGATGTGGGGCGTCCCTCATCCAGCAGTCAACTGACATGAGGGCTGTCCCATTAACGAAGTTGGGTACGTACGGTGCGAAAGTGGTTTAACATACAAACATACCAGACAGGAACACGAGGTTGTAAATTAGAGATTGAAAACACCTTATTGCCATCATTATTAATGCTACCCTATACCATATTCTAAGGAGCGTAAGATGCTCTGGAATGGATGTCACACCCAAAACTTGTGCTTGGTTGCAATAAAGTTATACTAATCCGACACATACATACCGGATTATAATCAAATCCCCCCCAGCCCAAACTTTGGCGATAGAATACAAAAAAAAAAATGTGTGTCTTATAATCCAGAGGATAGGATAACATAGCAAAATGTATCTTGGCAAGATTAAGATTGGGAAAAAGCAGCTTATATTATTTGTTTCATTGTTTTGGTTAGAAGCCAGTGATTATAATGACAGTACTGTTCTTGTACGCCACTGACAGTAAAGTCCCTTATGTTTTATTTGACAATGTTACGGCAGCCAAAAAATGTAGTTAATGTACCTCTGTAATACATACTATGGCAAGAAAAGAAAAACATGTTACAGCTCTCTCAAACTACGTTTGATGTGCCTTGACTAGCCATGCGAATTCACTCATTCATTTCGGGGTCCTGGCGTGTGTGTGGGGAGCAGTAGCGTCGTTATTAGCAAACTGCTCTATGAACCCAGCAACCCGAGATCGATTCCCGCTCACAGTTGACGTTGGTAACATATCTGAACCAGTTCTGGGCCTCCACAAGGTCAACTCAATTTCAAATGAGCATTCGGTTCGGTGTGTAAATATCAGCCCTGGGGAGACAAAGGAGGCCAGGCGTGGTGCTTGTGTTTTGTTGGCCTTCATCGGTGTGTACGCTAAAGCACTTACCCAAACAGCCTGTTAAAGGTTAGAGGGGGAGATATTTATTAAAGGGTACATCGTGCATATTCAACTTACAGTCATGTAGCTTGCGAGAACTTTCCAGTCGTCCGTTCCGAATCGCTCCGCCAACTGTTTCAGCCTCTCGTCCTGAAAGGTATCGCTACCGATCAGCATCTGCACAGGATCAATCAACCGGTGAAACCACAGGCCCCTCCGCTGTGTCAAATCTGGGCACAGCGGCGTGGAGCAAGGAGCAAATGGGAATCTTCCAATATTCAAACAGGGCTTCGTCAATATAGAGCTGGAAATTAGCACGAAATTTCAAACAATTATTGTTTCATGTGGAGAAATTTACTTTTGTCAACCACAAAAACCGAAGTAGTTGTGTCGGTTTGAAAATGTAGTTGCTTCCTGTAATTTGGCAGGGCAGCACATAACAAGCTTTACATAATTTTCAACTGTTTGAAATTAACACCACTTTGTTGGACTTTGTGGCCTGATGTAAAGCAATAGTATGCAAATAATAACCATGGAATTGAAATAATAAAATAATATTTGAAACTTTTTTTATTTTATTATTTCCCTTCTAAGTGACTTTACCGAAAGAATAAAGAATATGAAACCATGAAATTGTTTGTTGAATTTAGAACGTAAAATGTGGCAAACATATTGTGAGTATGGTGGGGTGTGTTTCATCTTCAAGGAACCCAGTAATAACCAAACGTCATTTCAAAACATGAAATTGAGCTGCCCTTGAAAGAAATTGATAACCCATAAAAGCTCATTGTCCAGAGTAAGGTTTTGTTCAGTGGGAGAGGAATAAGTGGAATTTGTGAATTGTGAAGTTCACTCTGCTGGCATATGTGGAGAGATGATAGATTACATTCTATCAAAAGTACATTGTCAAGTGATTCAATAAAGCCAATGTGTGTTTCCAAGTATTTTCCCAAATGCTCGTCAATGTTGTGCACGCTTCCCAACTTAGAATGCAACGCAACAAGGACTATATTCAATTGGTGCGTGTCTTTGTAGGCTTAGCACTATGCAATAGGTAAACGTAAATAAAAAAAGGCATGCCAGATATTGATTAATTGGGGTGCAACCAACCCCACACTGGCGGTTTGATGAATGGTCATGGGTCACAATTCAATGGAAACTTTTTCCATTGTGGCGAATGTAATGGCCACAAATGGCTGCAGGGGGCCACATGAAACCATTACACAACCATATGTGAATGAAGAAGAGGATGTCCAACGAGAAGACGAACACAATAAAATCAGCTCGTGGGCAGACGCGACGGCTTGGTGAGGCCTTCATCCAGCAATGCATTGACCATGGCTGCTGCTGATGTGAATCTAACAACACCTATTTCTCATATTCTTAGGTTTTTTCGGTAAAGTCACGTAGGTAAAACATCAAAATTAATCAAAATAAAATAAAATAAAGATCACGACGTTTCGGAGGCAACACAAGTCTCCGTCATCAGGTGGGACCGTCACAGCCAGATTAGCTGCATCAAGTGAGGCAATGATTCAAGATGTAATCCCTTAAAAGCGAGTTGAGGGGGGAGGAGAGGGGGGGGGGAGCTCATCAGAATGTGGTAGCCAATGAATGGAACGTATCGGGAGGGAGGGGCCAAAAGGGTGGGCGACGGCGTGGAAGCGATTGTGCGCAAGCGACAAACTGCTGCACACGCCAACGCATTGGACAGAGAGGGGGGAGGGGGAGGCCTGATACACATGATAGAAAAGAACGAAAATGCCCATGTTTATACCAATGCTGGCTGAACAATGAAGAGATTACTGTTAAACACTGGGGATGTTAACACTCGGTAAAGTAAAGTAAAATAGTGCCTGTCAGAAAAGATGGTCCAAAAAAGTGTAATTAAGTCTTTTTTTTTTTGCGTGGTTAATAACATCTTTCCAATGATTACTAAGTTTGTACCCATCATCACGGTTGAAATTATGTCTGTGTTTGTATATTTGTATGGCTTCGTGTACAAACCTTTGATGGTAGCCAGGAGGTTTGCAGAGAACCTTGGTCTCGGAAAAGACAATTTCATGAGAGCCCACCGAGTTGTAGCAATGATCGGCAACGGCCGAAGAATCAGTTCTGCCGTGTTTCAGATCTGACTTGTGCTCGCGGACACAAAGTACAGTGCATTAAATCCGTGATCTGATTCCATCTGTGAAGGATGTCGTTCCTGACTTACAGTATCCTGGAGTCTACAAATTGAGTTGCATTTGTGGTGATTGCTACATTGGAGAAACGAAACGTCATGTTGCTGATCGTGTCCGCGAGCACAAGTCAGATCTGAAACACGGCAGAACTGATTCTTCGGCCGTTGCCGATCATTGCTACAACTCGGTGGGCTCTCATGAAATTGTCTTTTCCGAGACCAAGGTTTTCTGCAAACCTCCTGGCTACCATCAAAGGTTTGTACACGAAGCCATACAAATATACAAACACAGACATAATTTCAACCGTGATGATGGGTACAAACTTAGTAATCATTGGAAAGATGTTATTAACCACGCAAAAAAAAAAAGACTTAATTACACTTTTTTGGACCATCTTTTCTGACAGGCACTATTTTACTTTACTTTACCGAGTGTTAACATCCCCAGTGTTTAACAGTAATCTCTTCATTGTTCAGCCAGCATTGGTATAAACATGGGCATTTTCGTTCTTTTCTATCATGTGTATCAGGCCTCCCCCTCCCCCCTCTCTGTCCAATGCGTTGGCGTGTGCAGCAGTTTGTCGCTTGCGCACAATCGCTTCCACGCCGTCGCCCACCCTTTTGGCCCCGCCCCCCTCCCTCCCGATACGTTCCATTCATTGGCTACCACATTCTGATGAGCTCCCCCCCCCCTCAACTCGCTTTTAAGGGATTACATCTTGAATCATTGCCTCACTTGATGCAGCTAATCTGGCTGTGACGGTCCCATCTGATGACGGAGACTTGTGTTGCCTCCGAAACGTCGTGATCTTTATTTTATTTTATTTTTATTAATTTTGATGTTTTACCTACGTGACTTTACCGAAAAAAACCTAAGAATATGAATCCTTGCAGTCACGAAAGCTTCAAATCTAGACCTATTTCTCACTCGCCCAATTTGCCGCACGCATTGTGAACCTAACAAACCGACATTGAATCGACGAAATGATGCATCGTTACAACCCGCCTAAGTGAGCGAGAAAGCTTTTCATTTAGATGTCCTGGGCAAGGCTCCAGCTAGGAGGTTCGAGTGAGACAAGACTCGTAGGGCGACTACCTCCTCTCTGGTCCATCGCGCCTTGCTCCAGCCGCGCTTGTACACGTGCTGCTGTGGAACGTCGTAGTCGTGATCTGGCAGCTCCGGCTCCTCCTCCTCCTCCTCTTCCTCGCTGGAACGGAGACAAGAACACCGTAGATTAGGGCTGTGTGGTGTCAAGTTAATCGTAATGCTTTTTTTTAATCACCTCTAGGACTCTAACTGTTGCCACCAACCTGCATGAGGGCATAAAGGCATTCTGGTTTTACCCGAGCTGAAATTAAATCGATACGGCTTGACAGCTTTGAATGTCCTTTGCAGGAGGACAATCAGCGAAACCAATTAAATAATATTTTCTATCGTAACAATAAAGATCATTATTTACACGTGTGAATATTCCTTTGCAGGAGGGTACTGCTACTTTGGAATGTTTGGAAAATTCCATTCATGAGTGTTTGGCTTCATGTGGGAGGAAACCAGAGTACCTGGACAAAAAACTTGCGGAGGCAGTTAATGCACCGTCTCATTCTGAGAAACGTAGTGCCAACTTTATCAGCAGCGTGATGCTAATGTGAGCATCCGAAGCGCCACACCAGCAAACGCGGTGCTAATGATTTAACAAGAAACTAGAGAAACACCCAGGTTCAGTTAGTGGGGCACAGAGGGCGGAGGGATCGATTCGGTGGCATTTCAACCCGAAACTCTCATCCGTCTATGCAGCCTCATCTATTCATAGTAATGATCGGTTTTCTTTCACAGTCGATTCCTGTTGCACATACAATTAATCCCACACAGGGGGTGGGGGGGGGAAGACCGATACGTAAACTTCAGTAGAAGTAAGAAAACAGCAGGCAACGGTGATTTTTTAAACCAAGCTCTTATGGAATGCATTTCATACAATTCAAAGAATTCACAATCCTTCAACCTGAATTATATATGAATATATATATCAACTATGCAATGCCTTTTAGTCTTTCCCACTTTCTCATTTTATGAAAGTGTCGCACATGTGGAAAAACTCACTGTGTTGAGTTTCCCACAAAACAAACGCACAGACTTCTGCAATAAAATGTTACATGCGTGCAGCAGTCTGCGTGAAATATTAATGCACGTTATTGCAGTGTGTAATTTTGAATGTATGCTATCAATAACGTACAGCCTTCTGTCAATCCATTGCTGGATGAATACCGCCATATGCTGTGTCAGTCATGAGGGTGTTTTGACCATACTTCACACTGGTCAGTGCGGGTTGGTGAAGGACTGGGACCCAGGACCAGTTCTGATATCACTCGCTGCAAATATTAGCCATGGCCTGGAATTAAACTAGGGACAACGGGATCAGGGCGTGGAGCGTGAACCACTGTGCTACCGATCCATGGTGGTGGAATTTGGTTCGCATATTTCATTATTGTGGGGAGTCATAAACAGCACCTATTGACACCTCAACATTTCAACATGGAATTTATGCAACATCATTCCAAATTATTTTGCAGGAAAGTAAGCGGGCTTTGGCAGTGGAAATTGCGAGAACAGATGGCAACCGATGGATGAAACTGGTGATTAAATGACGGCCAGAGAAAAGAAGATAACGGACGCAAGAGGGCAACCAGAGGACACAGAGAGATGCGATCGGTTCATGTGCAGGAGTGAGATGGATTTTGACATTCCATGGACTGCGAGAGATGGCAATGACATTTGGAAGCCTTCATTCAGCAAGGGAAAAAGACAATGGCTATTGATATCACTGATGATATGCCAAATTATAGGACATCATATGTAAAAGGCACTTGAGTAGAAAAATGTGGTTTCTGGAGAGACGTTTACATACAAATAACAATGGGGAAGAACGCTCATCATTTGCATGAGCAGGGAATTTTATGATGGTGTCAAAGGCCAAATCTCAAATTAGTTATTTTAATAACATCCCTAAATAACTACAGGCTGCACCGCAAGAGATGAAGACCCTGAATGCACAATCACCTGGTGTAAATAAAGCACGCCAATAAAAACGTAAAAATGTATATCAAATCAACATTTTTAAAAAGGGGTTAAAATATCCCTATGGGTTGGCGTGCGAGCGCTCATTAATCACAGTTTAATCTCACCCTCAAGCAAACAATAGCACCTCCCTTTTGTCTGGCACCCTTCTGCATCTCAGTGAAGTGCTATTTCAAATCAGCACGAGGACCCTATTTTATTCCAATCAGTTGTGACACTGGAGTGCCAGCTGTGGTACGGGCAATTCTCACCTCGGATAATGCTCACCTATAAAGCCAGCACACATTGCACCGAGAGTGTTCGGGTTTTGTCAAGGCAACAATATTCTAGGAACCCCCCGGCCCCCCCCCCCCCCCCCCCCCCCCCGCTCTGGGAGTATACTCCCATGCACGGTTTTCCAATTTACCCAACAGCCACGTGTCGTCGCATTGCCCTTGCGCTATTAATATTCAACATTCGCTGGGAAAAAACAAAGAATCCTAAGCAATTGCGTTTATTTCCCCTTGGCCGTGGGAGGACATTTAGTTACACGCCACGACTGCTTGTTTCTATTGGGAGGACGAGTCGTTCAGGTGAGATAAGGGGGCAGTTTAAAAAATCAAAAGTCATTAGAGGGTTGCAGCGCGGTTAGCACAGAGGTATCCGCATGTCCAAGGCAATTTGCATAATTGACACTTTGACAAGGATTATAATCTCTAACGTTACCTCTGAATTGACTGCACAGCCTCTGCCCTATACGGTACTTGTGTTAGATCCCGACAGCCACATGCATCTTACACACACCGTTCCCGCTTGAATCAATACAAGTTATTATTTATAATTCAACAAAAACAACCTCGTGAGTGCTCCACATTGATACTCTTTGTGTAAAAGCAACGACATTCTTATGTGCACCACGGTTAGGTAATTAGTCTCGTGTATTACACCGATAATTATTTTTGTTAACAAATTGCCAAAGCAACATTCGGAGCGACCAACACATTGATGGAATGAAAGCTGTGTGGGCCAAATAATAAGACTAACATATTCCCACTTCTAAAAGATCACAGATTATCTGACGACATCCTTAGATGACATTAATCCTCAGTGAACGTTTCTTCCTCATTCATTGAATACATATTGACTAGGGGTGCACCACATATCAAATTTTACAAATATGCCGAATACCGAACACCTTATTTTGGTTAACTGTGGAAAAAAAGAACATGGCAAACTAATAAAAAAATAAGTTTTCAATAAACTGATAAGTCTCTGTGTCTCCCTCCATCTCTCCCTTTGCCTGTCTCTTTATTGTTTCGATAGCTATCTCCATTTCTGTCACCATCTGTCAATCTCTCGGTTTTCCCTGTGCCTTTGTCTCCCTCCCCGTATCCCTGACTTTCTCTGTCTGTGTCCATCTTATCTCTCTTCTGTCTCTTTCTTCCTCTCACTCATGTCTTGGTTTCTCACACACAATGTGCTTGCAGTGGAGTTGTTACCATCGCAGCTCCCATCCCGTGCCCTGCCCTCCTCTTCACACCCATCCACGGGTGGTCACGTGACTACGACAGCCCACAGTGATCAAAACCAATATTCGGCTTCACATTTATTCTTCCTGCAATTTTTCTGAAGTCAAAAACTTAATTAATAATCCCTTTCTATATTTGAGTGTCTTTCAGAGGCAGTTGCAAAGAGGTGGTGTCCAATGTGCTGAAAATGTCTCCATAACATTTTTTGCAAAGAGAAATCTGCTTCCCACATCTGCCCATTCCTCCATATTTCTCATTCTATTGGGCAATCATACCCATTATCCAAAATAATGTGGACCACTTGTGGACGAGTATATATTTTTTCAACAGACTGCTTGTTGCAGAATAATTGTTTTTTCACCTTGTTAAGCACATTCATCCACTGCCAGTGTGCCGAAGACTGGCTTTGAGCCAGGAACATGACAAGATGATGCAAAATTGTGGTACAAAATTGGTACCACAATTAACCGAAAGCCAAGCACAGCACTGCAATACTTACATCTGCACAAGACAGGGGTTATATGTGACCATTGTTGTTTCATACAAGTGCGGCACCCAGTAAGGCTGGTGCAACACGTGCAGATGTTTGCGGGTGACACGGTGACAACGTGGAGATTGTAGCCAAAAACATTTCCCATTGGAAGCAGCAACTTGCTGTAATTGGCATGCAAACAATCGGGCAAATTTGCCGAAGCATGGGGCATGACGGATGTAAATTTGGAACGTGTCAGAAAGAAAGCACAAATGTGGACAGTGCATCGAACCAGATACGACAGATGTCAGTGGCTGGCTCCATAATAAGGCCATCCTAACCCGCTCCTCGATCTCTCTGTTGTCACATAAAACATTTGTGTGTCAACAAGCTGATGGCAGCGATCGTCGTAGCTCGCCATGCTACCGTCTGTGAAAATGAACATGGATGCACAGAGCTTTAGCTATTAAAGCAGCAAAGCAGCTTGTGACCAAAATCACTTTCAATGTTAAATCTAGATTGAAAACTAATTAAATAAGAAGTTTGTTGTGTTTAATTTGTTGTCCTATCCCCACGCCTCCGATTAGCAGTTGCGTACGTGCGTTGCGAAAGAAGTTCAACATACATACAAACATGCACCAAATCTCACTAAATCTTGTTCATAATGGAGTGGGAGACTGTCTATGAATATCAGGTACCATGGGCTTTAGCTGCAAAGTGGCCAGGGTAAGCCCTTTGTGGTTTGCACACTGCACCTGGTACTGATTTGAGGCAGAGTCAATCTAGGGGAGACCCAGGATTGATTCAGATAATTTTCACTGTTGTTGGCCGTGAGTGCAAATCGAACTCAGGTCACCAGGTTCGTAGCGCAGCGCGCTCACCGCTACACTGCCACTTCGCATATCATACCACAATATAAGGGCATATGATGTACACACATCATACCACCCCATACACCTCACACAATCGGAAGGTCGTGAATTCAAATCCTGGTTGGAGAGGGAGCGGATGACTCTACCCATCATCACTTTGTGGAGAAGTTCAACAATGGTTTGCCCAAGACTCACCAACCACCCCCCCCCCCCCTTTCACGAAAGTAATATGGAACTTCCACCACAGGCTCTATAGGGATGTGGATGTGATTTGAGCACCAATGCCTCGATGCTCATTTGAACAGAGAATAATCATGAGGCACGGTCGATTCACAGCTGGATGAAGGCCTCTTGCACATTAAGTCGGTCATGGGGGATTGTTTGCCAACGCTTCACCGTGCTGGTCAGTGTGGTTAGTGAAGAGCAGGGAGGCCCAGGCATAGTTCAGATATCACTTGCCAATGATGTTAGTCATGGTCAGGAATCATATGCAGTTCACCATGTTGGTAGGCAGTGAACCACTGCACAACGACTTCCCCTCGCCAGAAAATGGCAGTACGAAAAAGGATTCTTAAATCTATCTCTGTAAAGGAGCATTTTTCCCTCGTATATAAAAACGCTAAGTACTCCAGTCTCATCCCACGTGTAAAAAAACATTTATTCATGACATTGGCCAAACATCCCAAAGGTCTTAAAACTCAGTGACGTTTTCTTGGGTAAAGGGTATTATTATTTTTTATAAATATATAGTCTGTTGACCTATTGGTCTTCTAGACTGACTAATAATATTAAGCAAGTAAACACTGGATTGGTTGTGACATCCTGGGTCCATTCAGTCAGATTCAGGTTAGCTTTTTTACAAATTATGATGGTTTTCCAAATGTCGATGATAAAGACCAACAATAAAATTAAATTGTGATTATATTTGTAGCCAAGTGTTTTACTCACCTGTGCTCCAGGTCAGTGTCCTCCATGCTTCCCTCCACGACAAAGCTGCAAATCGGAGGAAAGGCGGGCGAGAGGAATCAAGAGCAAACAATAACATACATCTGGGGTATTCATTAGCCCATGCCACACCATGACCTATTGACCGCATGACGACTGAGGCCCAGGAGGAGGAGGGTACTGTGCAGCTGTCCTCCCTCTCTCTACCTCCTTTGGAAATCAATAAGAGGCAGTGGGCCATGCGATTACAATGCAGCAATTGCTGAATAAAAACTCATTCACGATGCCGATTTATACACTCTGCATAATGAACTGGGATTGTGTGGATATATACACACAACCAAAATTTTCTCGCCTACCCAGAGGCATAAACACTGCATAAGTAAGCAGACCCCTCTCAGTACTCACAAAACTATATCTCTACAAGTTAATGTGCACATTTAAAAGATATACTCTAAAAGCTGGAATTATGTTTCCCTGCTTAGCCAAGAATGTGTATTCAGGTGGCCTATAACCAAATCAGGCTGCAGTGCTAATTGGTGGGTACAAAAGGGTAGTGCAGCCAAATATATTTACTGTACTGACCCCGCATCTGTGTTCCCCACCTTCACTAATTTGTAGATCAGTGTGGTATAATATTGCCTAAAGGACCTCATGGCATTATGAGACTCATCCAGCAGTGGAGTGAGAAATGAACCTTACCTATATTCAAGCTGTATATATTCCAAAGGCCAGTTGGCTAATCAAGCAAAACATTTCATGAGATGTATTACTCTCTAATAATGGCATTGCTTTTAGAGTACTACAGTATATTTCTGCATAACGGTATGGGACATTAAAAATACACTTTGGAGTCATAACCTTCAGCAATAAGTCAACACGAATGGTGTCACACTCAATAATGCATTACGTAAGCATTAACCAATGTGGCGCCTTGCAGTGATTTGCAGCCAACAAAATTGGGGTGAACCACACCACAGCATGTGTCACTGCTTTTCAAGCTGAGCTATTGTGGTGGCTTTGGGGGTGGAGGAGGCAAAAGGGAACTTGCATCGTAAAGCCCTGGACACAATGGACTGTTTCAGCTGCCACGTGTGACCGACCACAGTGGCAGATGTTCTTCTCAGGAGGCAGGTGCACAACCCCACCACCTTCAACGCCACCACAATCGTTTGCACTCGGCAATGCCACTTAACGTGTTAAACGGCACAACTGTTCACGTATAGTATTTCAGTCTGGCATACATGTGTATGCAGGTGTGAAACTGTGGAACCACGCAATGAAGCCAGTAAACAGAGTTTGGTTCCGGGCCACAGCTAATATCATTGGCGAGTGATATCTGAAATAGGCCCCTAGCCACAACCTTCCCCAAGACGCAGTGACCTCCATCCAGCAGTGGATTTCCAAAAGGCCAGACATTATTACAACATTATTTTACACGTGCTGTAAATGCACCACTGTTGTAGTAATTAGGAGAGAAAGAGAAAATGTGCAGGCCATTTCCACTGAAATGTCCAGCTTTGGTTGGTAAAAAGGTTCATTTCTAGTTCAACAAAAATACGCGCAATTAAACCCATGGATATAATCATTACAATAAAGCATTTACAGCATATTGTCAATCCACTTCAGGATGAAGGCATCCACGTTGGGCATGTGATTGTTTTGACCAAACCTCACCATTCTGATCAGTGTTAATTGGTGAATGGGGAAAGAGGACCAGGAGGGCTGGCTCAGTTGTAACTCACAGCTGGGAATAAAACTCAGGTCCGTTGGTTTATATCGCATTACTCCACTCTCCAAAATGACTATACAATGATATTAATATTTTGAAAGTTGCTTAAATCCAGCCACCTCTGTGAGTCGAGCAGCAGGTCTTGTATAGTGGAGTAAAGTGTGGGTATTCCAAACTCTTCCAAGACATCTCTCCCCAGCATGGAAGAGTTGGCCAAAATAAGGACGCCATTACACCATCAGTGGTTTGAGCAGCAATTACAGGTCTCCACCTTTAACTTACTATTATTGCATCTAGCATGCAAAATGTGTGTATGACATCTATCACTATTCATCTTTCAAAAGCTCTACAAGAACCAAATTATTAATTTTAAATGGCACTCCAGCTGTTCATATGAGCAAACACCTTGCCCAAAACACAATAAATGTGGCTCTTAAGCCAGCAATGTGTAATTGAGAAAATCCATTTACACTAACACAAGGCACTTATGCTGAACAAGCCCACAACAATGCAGTACATTGCATTTAAACACGCAGCATCAAGAGTGCTGAATCTAGCATAACCATAACCAACCCCAAAACCATTACAATAAATGCTTCGAGCTGAAGGCAATCCCAAATTGAACAGAGCCACTCATACATCCACCAAGTGGAGTGTATATCTTAAGAGCAGTCAAAAATGTATTTCAGTGAAGGGACATGCAGAGTCATTTCATCAATACACTGCTGAATGAAGATCCTCTACACCGTGTCGGTTTGTTTGACCATACTTCAACCACGCTGCTCAGTGTGTTTTGGTGAAGTATAGTAGTGTACATATAACAATGCTTGAGGTTGTGAGATCAAATGAGAACAGCATTTCAAGTGAGTTCGTCATAGGCCTTACAGTAAATGTTTCAACATTAAAAGCCAAGATGTGCATCAATTTATTATGCTGAAAAAAACTCTTACTCAACAAGACCCTGTCACTTTCACCATGCTAATGCAACAACAATGATTTCAATAATGAACTATTATGCCATTGTCAATTGCACATTACAGTACTCAACATTTTATCACTGCATTTTATGAGTAAAATCATTCTTGCTGGTTGCAGTTATGTGCCTCCCTACGTCGTGTCGGTCATGGTGGTTGTTTCACCATACTTCACCAAGCTGGTTATTGCTGGTTGCGAGATGCAGTTTTACATGAACGACGTTTTTTAACATTTAATTAAATTACTATTATTAAGGCAAGGGCGTGGGAGCAACAGAGGTACAACAATTGATGTTGCTGCATTGTCCTGGGCAGCCGACAACGAAGCAAAAATAACCAATCGCCACCAATAAAAATATAATTACAAATGGTATTACTTTACACATACTGTATGTACTGTTAAACAACTAGCAGCGTACACGCGCGAACTAACGTATGGAATTCATAATAAAGGTTTTTTTTTTGGGTTAGATCGCGTAAGTATGTGTCGTAACCCTCCACCACCCGACACAGCCAGGAAGGTTTGTCACGTAAACAAAATGCGCCAATTAGTTTACTACTTCAGCCCACCGGTGTGTTGGAGAGCAAATCCACAACATTTACAATTCGAGTGCGGCGTCTCGCTTGGTAATAATTACATGTTGTGGATTTACTCTCCAACACACCGGTGGTCTGAAGTAGTAAACTAATTGGCACATTTGATTTACTTGACAAACCTTACCGGCCGTGTCGGGTGGTGGAGGGTTACGACACATGTATACTTCCGCGATCAACTCCAAAAACCTTTATTATGAATAATATTGAGAATAAGTTTTCCGATTTTTTCTGGCAACAAAACAGTTTAAATTTCGATTTAAAGCTTTCGTGACTGCAGGGATTCATCTTCTTGGTTCTTTCGGTAAAGTCACATAGAAGGGAAGTAATAAAATAATAAAAATAAGACATAATAAAATAATTCTCACGACGTTTCGTCTTCAGACGCTGTCGCCTCGACAGACCTGGTTTTCACCTGAGGACGGCTGCTTGCGTTGTGGCCAAAACGTCGTGAGAATTATTTTATTATGTTTTTTTATTATTTTCATACTTCCCTTCTACGTGACTTTACCGAAAGAACCAAGATGATGAAAAACAAAACAGGTGTTAAGATGTTAAAACACCAAACTGAAACCTTTTACAATGAATAATGTCTGCATTAACCACAATACTCGTGGTCAGAATTAAAACAAAAGACACTGATAATATATGCATTGTCTTTGAAACCGATTGATCCACACCAGAAACTTCTTTCTTTCGAGCCTAGTCTCAAAACGGTGTTACGACTTTCGGTTAAATTATAATCAGAGTACTTGCTGTAAAAGAACAATACAGCTGGGCTGAAGGCAATAACTCTAGTGGGGTTGAGTTTTGGCGCTGCTACGCAAATAATATCTGTAATTAGGCAATTAACCTGCATGTTACGACTGCACGAGTCATAGCATAGGTTATGATATATTGTTAATCAGTAGAGTTGATCTGATGTGCAATTTAATTCAGTGGCCGCAAAATCAACAACAAAAGAATCCACACTCGAGTGTAGGCCTCTCTCCCCCCCCCACTTCACCAACCAGCACTGACCAGCGTGGTGAAGTATGGTCAAAACTCCTACGACCGAAACAACGTAGGGGGTCTCATCTAGCAGTGGAATTACACAAAGGCTGCACATACAAATGATAAAAGTGATCCAAATCATATCCCAGTTTCTCAGTGCACAACAACGGAGATGCCTCATCTCTCTTGACAGCCCCTGAGTTGGTTTACCACTTAGTAGGCGGATTTCGTGACCAATATCATCATTAATAAATGGTTTTTTTTGGGGGGGGGTTAAATCGTGTAAATATAAATGTCTTTTGATTTAAAGCTTTCGTGACTGCAGGGATTCATGTTCTTGGTTCTTTCGGTAAAGTCACGTAGAAGGGAAGTAATAAAAGAATAAAAATATAAAAGAATAAAAAAATCTATTTGTATTATTTTATTATTTCCCTTTTCGGTAAAGCCACGTAGAAGGGAAATAATAAAAAAACGCAAATAAAAAAATTATATGTATTATTTTATTCTTTCCCTTTTCGGTAAAGTCACGGAGAAGGGAAATAATAAAGTAATACAAATATAAAACTAAACAAATATCTACGTGACTTTACCGAAAGACCCAAGAATATAAATGTGTCGTTAAACCCGCCACCACCCGACACAGCCAACTAGTAAGGTTCGTCACTTAAACAGAACACGCCAATTCGTTACTAGTGCAGCACATCGAGTGTATTACGAGCACTAATCACCAACATTTACTCGCTGTCATCACCAACATTTACCAGCTGTCATCATCATCATCACCACCACTCTCACTCCACTAATGAATGAATGACCTCTCTCCTCTCTCCTCCAGCAGCGTTGTAAACATCCACATTGACATGGCGGGGGGACACAACTTCCACTGCACAACAGCAAGCACCGACGACGACGACAATGATGATACAAACACGTCAGTGTGTTACGACAATGATGATGATGATGTACACGAGAGGGATGGAAGCTACGGCAAGGAATGAATGAAACGCGAGCAATGGGCGACGGCGTGAGAGACCTTCATACAGCAGTGAAGAGACCACAACCGACGATGGTAATGCTCTATAACAACACGTGGCATGCAGACAGCGTGAGAGGCCTTCATCCAGCAGTGGAGAGACCACGACCGATGATGGTAATGCTCTTTAACAAGCGTGGCATGGAGACAGCGTGAGGACAGATGCATCCAGACCACGACCGACGAGGAGGGCAAACTCACCTTATGTATTCCGTCATGTTTCAGTAGGATACAAGTCGCGGCTGGTTGACGCCCTATATATGCCAAACACTTGCTCGAATATGGAACAAAATAAATAAGATGACAGTAACACACACACGAACTTAAACACCGCCTTATTGGACCGAGACAGCGGCTTGTTGTACGCTAACGTCAGTGCCCGCGACTCGAATGAGGTAAACTTAACGAACGAACTAAATACTCGCACGACTGCAGTAGCTTCCTCACCAACTCCCCATCCCCCCGCGGTGTTTCCCACCGCCTAACCCCCTCTGCTTCCCCTCCCAGTGGACTTCGTAGGAGCCCGGGCACCGCGGGCGGGAAAACAAAAACAGCGCCCCTCTCAGCTCTCGGTGCCGCCAAATTTCCCGCGAAATCCACCCGCGGGGCCCCAGAGCGCATGCGCGAATCTGCGCTCCTTATATGGACATTCGTGTTCCGGTGACGTCACCGGTGCACGGCCTCGCCCCTCTCCTAACGTGGTGTGGCCACGCCCACACACGTGGTGTGACCACGCCCACACACGGGGTGTGGCCACGCCCACACACGGGGTTGACCACGCCCATATATGGGGTTGACCACGCCCACACACGGGGTTGACCACGCCCCTCGATTTGCTGTCGGAGTGAACTTTGAGTGAACTTTATCTCGTAGGCTTTCGCGATCAATATTATCCATAAGAGGGTTTTTTTTTGGGGGGGGGGGGGTTAGATCTCGTAAATATAAATGTGTCGTTCAACCTGCCACCACCCGACACAGCCAATTAGTAAGGTTTGTCACGTAAACATTTGCAATTGGAGTACTGTGCTGTGGGTTTACTCTCAAATTTGATGTGCTCAATAAAAGTGGGTGGCAAAACCACCAACTTGGTGGGTGGCAAGCCACCAACTTTTATTGAGCACATCGAATTTCATCAAATCCGGGGTCAAAATAATTTACTTTCTACTTTTGAGTGTAAATAAAAGTGTGTCCATTGAAAAACGTACTTTCTTACCAATTTTTTTCGGAATCAGAATTTTTTGTTATATATGTTGCAGGAGGAATCCCGGATGAAGCAATTCTATTAAGCAAATTTTTTTTTCGTATGTCCAGTAGGGGCGGGTCAGAACATTACAACAAACAAGACAAATAAACTTTATGAGTGCAAAGTATAGGAAAGGTAAACAAATCTCGTAAATGTATACAAATAAAACGAAAATATGTTTTTTGACCTTACCAGGTAAAGCCCACTGAGCTATTAGCTTATTTTTCAGAAGCGACCTGGCCACAAATAATATCTCCGAAAAGTGGCTGGCATATCATGTCGAAATGTATAGCAGCCAAATACTCAGTTTAACCCCGATGAAGTTTGTAGAGCTGAATGGAGTTCATAACGACCCACAAACACACATCTTGTGAAAGACCCAACGCAGAAGATGCCTGGGTTTGATCTTCCACGAAGCTCATGGTCCACCTAAAACTGCATTCAATGCACAAACCGTGGCAGTAGATGCGGATACCTGATGCACACATGGAGCATTAAAAACTCTCCAGTAGTGTGCGACTTGTGGTTGTTGTTGGTTGTTTGACTTGCATCCCACTGGGATTTGTGCACACAGCGTTGGTGTACGGTGATTTTTTTCTGCAATATTTTGCTGTCTTTTCTTGAATTTTCTGTTTGCACTTAGTCACATATTCACTTTAAGATGTTTTTTGTTCATGTTTTTGTTTTTTGTTTGTTGCGGTTGCACCCGATTCAAGAGCCGAATGGCTCACAGGGCTATACCTAATAAATTAACTTGAACTTGACTGTGATCGTCCAGAACAGACCGTACAACGGTAAAACGACGCGATATCCGATCTACACATACGTAGGAGACATCACAGCGATGATACTACCCCGCTGCTCCTGGCGCTGCTATCTGGGCTTGAACACATGAATGTGAAATTGCATTCGTTGCTCTGCGTCTACATCAGCAACCGTACGAAAGAAGACGTCGAAGGATAATCAGAAAGGGTTTTATTCGCCATGAAAGTTCGCACAGACAAGGAATTTACTTTGGCCGGAAGGTGCATACATTCAACATTTAGGAATCTTAAATCTTAAATAAGTGGTTTACAAGTCTAACTATACTAAAGGTACACGTCTAACTAATACTAAGGAGCTAAAGTATGTAAACATTTAATAAACTAAAATCTAAAATATACAATAGCTATAATATACAATATAAAATTACAAAAATGCAAAGAATGCAAATAAGTCTCGTTTATAAGAGTAACATGGGAAGGCAAACCCCCACTCCCCCCCCCAAAAGAAACAAGGTACAGCAATGAAGTCAGTATGAATCAGAGCAAAAACAACCGTGTTGCATGAGATAATCGAAAATAGTCCACAAACATCACCATCAGAATATGTATCCTGGAGGAATCCGATGAGCTATGAAGCTCTTTTGAACAGATGCCCAGGAGGGCGCTGGTCAGCGAGTTATCCCGACAAACAATACAACACAAAACGATGTAAGAGCAAGAACGAGAAAACACAAGCAAGTAGCTATACATAAACACACGCAAATCAAGTATTGAAGTACAAATTGCACAAGTGCATACATTCCTACCAATTTATTCAGCTTTGGCAAGGGCAGCAAATCAACAACAAAAACAGTCCCAGACCACACTGGGTCGACACAGGCCCTGAATTACGCTGCACATTCATATTAAACAATATCAATAAGATTTAGTTGTAGGCCGGCTGATCGTGTATTTCTGTTTTGAGAGGATATAATGCAAGTGAGACAGCATTAATGCCTTTCTTTATTAAGCGTTAGCGACCTGCAGTACATTAGGTAAATCCCTTCTCAGACTTTTATGTCCTCTGCTAATTTACACAACCTGTGCCCTAACAATTATCCGACCGCGTTTTAATTCGGCGAAATCTCAACCTATTAACGATAGACGCATAAGCTGGGCCAAGACAATAAATTACACAATGGGAAGAAAACATTCGTGCCATTAGCGACGTAACAAATAAATACATAATAAAAAAAGTAAATAAACCTGTTAAATTAACTATTCCAGAGTTTGTTACACTTTCCGCTGCATAATTAAATTAACTCGGATCCGTTCGCTTCATGTGCTACAGTATTTGACGTATTATATAAGTGATATGGAATTTGCAAAACAAAGGAGATTAAGTTTCCTATTATACCAGAACAGAATAGTTTAGTGTACGTGTTATCCAGTCCATGTGTAGATATAATATGCGCAATAGCTTGTTTCTCCATTGATATGAATTCTTCATTGGGTATTATATTTGGATGATATGTTTCAAGGAACAAACTACGGTTTCATAATGAACACTTGCCTTCGTTCAGTCGTGAATACCCCCCCCCCCCTCATCCTATCTCACTCCTCGCCACGCTATCAGTTCAATAGATCAATACAATGGAATTATCATCACCTGTGCCAGAGTGGATTACACCAATAAAGCGCACATTGGCCAACTATAAAGCACATCTAATTCAAGTTGGTCACTTGATGCGCAGAGCTGCAAACCCCTCGGCTCAGCCTCTCACGCTGAGTTTGTTATTCAAGGTAGGTGTACAACGTTCAAGTGTTATAACACAGGGGCGATATCAATATCTCCTGATTATATGTTTAATGAAGAATAATATACAGGGTGCTCCAGATGTCTTGTGATCCCCAATTAATTGACCCCTAACATGTTTTTTTTTCCTTTGCGCATTCGTTTCTGTTTTAAATCGGCCTTATTTAAAAAAAAAAACTAAGTTTTAGAGAATTAAATGGGGGTCACGAGACATCTGGACCGCCCTGTACAAGATTAAAATCTGCTACTGCCTCACTAAGGCCTCTTCCAAGCCATGTCCGATCATGGGAGTTGTTTGGATATACGGAAATTCTTGTCCTTGCTGGTCAATGGAGGGTTGTGTGGTTGTTGGGTTTGCACCCAAAGGCGGGTTCGGATGCCACACTTTTCTTGGATTTTTTTGCTGTCTTTTCTTGGATTTTATGTTTGCACATAGTCACATAGCCAGAGGTGTGGACTCGAGTCATGTGACTTGGACTCGAGTCAGACTCGAGTCATGAATTTGATGACTTCAGACTCGACTTGGACTTGCATAACAATGACTTTGTCCCACCTCTGCACATAGCCACTTTAAAGGTTTTCTTGTTCATGTGTTTGGTTTTTGCTGCGGTTGCACCCGATTCGAGAGCCGAATCGCTCACAGGTCTATATCTAATAATAAATGAACTTGAACAAATCGAACTCGGGCAGCACAGGTATATGGCGAAGTATGCAAACCACTGACCACGATGTATTCTCCTCTATATTATTTATTGATCATGCCGATCTGATATATATAATAACAATTCTGTCTGCAGCGTGAAAACGTATTCGGTTGTAATATTGCATCACTCTGGTATGGTATTTGTGCGTTAGGATCTACATTTAGAGCACCCTGCGCTTGAGTTTAATAGTTGGTCACGGCTAACATCAATGGCACGTGTGATATCTGCATTGTTATTACCCTCCACCTACCAACCCCCATTCTTTAACCAACTCGCACTGATAAGCGTGGAGTAAAACAACGCATTATCTCATCGTGATGCATGTTCATCCAGCAGTGGATGGATTAAAGGCTGAAATTATGAACTACAATATGTATTTGGCGCACGATCGTGAGATGGTGGCTTGGAGAGGCTTTCGTATAGCAGTGGATTCATCGTGGGTAATGTAATGCATTGCAATTGTTGTTTTCAAAAAGCTCCGTCATGTGACCTGAATGACCTTTACACTTTCTTATATTTGGAGCTTTCGTGACTGCAGGAATTACTCTTTGGTTCTTTCGGTAAAGTCACGTATAAAGATAAAATAATAAATTAAATAATAGCATACGACGTTTCGATTGCAACACAAGCAATCATCATCAGGTATAAATGAAATGGCAACAAAAAAAATCTAACCAGAAAACTATAGACAGACATATAAGCAGACAGATATCACCAAGATGCATAGAGGGAGAGTAACAGAGAGAGTTCTCTGTGCCTGTGTTACTCTATGTATCTTGGTGATCTCTGTCTGCTTGTATATCTGTCTATAGTTTTCTGGTTAGATTTTTGTTGCTATTTCATTTATACCTGATGATGATTGCTTGTTGCAATCGAAACGTCGTATGCTATTTAACTTATTATTTTATCTTTATACGTGACTTTACCAAAAAAGACCTTTACACTTTGTGAACTGGCTCAAGATTAAAACGCTCATTTGTCCATCACGGGTTCCCAGACACCATCGGCACAGGACTTTGATTACTGTCCCGAGCATGGACGACAACTCTGGTTCATCGCTGGAGAGAGGCCTTCTGGAACATCTGGGAGATCACTTTCACGTGGCTTTCATACCTGGCGGTGCAGCGGGTGGGGAGAACGGTACGTCGCCTCCTCTGTGCCTGTGCGCCCTGGCTCGCCAACACCACGAGAAAATCGAGAGCGTGCAGAATGGCTGGCAGCCTCACCTGCAAGTTCAACCCACGCGTGGCGTTCACACCGTGACAAGTCGAGATCCAGCTGAATGCGAAAAAAACAACCAAGATTCACGTGGGTTCCCAATTCTTGCCTTCGAGCAGTTGGATGAGGATCGGTCTCCAGCCGCGTGCGGAATGGACTTGAGTGAGGAAACGGGACGTAACCTTGCTGTCGAAGACCTCTCGCCAGCTGCCCTCGAATGGATGGATGCAACGCGAACGACCGGCAAACCGTACGGCCAAGAGGAGTCCGCAACAGATGCCGTTTTGAGTGCTGGTATTGGACCAAAGGTGAAGCTTGCGAACCGACCTTCCATGTTCGCAGCTGTGCTATGCCATAACGTGTCGCCGGGAGCCAGCAAGTGCAGTCCGTGCCGTGTTAAGTTTTGGTCGTTTGCATACGAGCGGCAAGCGAGGCGGGTGAGGAGCATCGGTTGGATATCTTGTCTGAACAGCAGCAAGGGCCCAATGCTGAACCTTTTCGTATGAATATAGACATTGGGCACCTGAGCATACCTGTCAACCCATAGTTTGCCCGTATTCTTGTACAGAGAAATTGAGTGTGCAGGTCCATACGGCGGACATCCGTTTCAATATTGCCTTTGTAGGGTGACGTTGAGATTTATAAGGGCACGGGGTGACCAATAAGGTCTGAATTGGTCCTAAGGTAGGCACTGATAAGGGGTTGACAGGTATGCACCTGCTGCCGTCGGTTGGTTGCGTATTTAACATTGACGCATGGATTCCCTAATGACCGATAAGACTGAAATTATAAATTTGACTTCTGTTCTCATTGCCTTTTGGCAAGATTTTTTTTTCATGTAAGTGAAGCGGACTTTTTTTTGGGGCTCGTCCAACAAAACAATTTAAGCCAAACGTGCGGAAGTGATTTACCCGGCGTGTTACACGAATGCACCGCGCGCAAGACTTTAAAAAGCAGCCACACACTTTCCTTTTGGAAGAAATTGCCATGTTCTTGTAATGCATTTAAAACGCCGGCCCCAGTGCTGTGTAATGAAATCACACAATACACACGAGGAAGCAATACACAGTGTTTATTTTGCAGGTACAGGACTATTACACCAACACGGGGTGACATTCTAAAGGTATTGAATGACTTTGTTTGAAGAACACTATCGAAGCACATTGTTTTGCGGCGAGCAGTGAAATTCCCTTTTTAAAACAATTCAATCCGCGGAACATTCTTGCCATTTGCGCAAAGCATATTAGGCAAACAAACCGGACAATTTCTTCAACCTTAGAATCAAAACTAGAATTAAAATATCCCTTATTTCTATGTATAGCTTTGTTCACCGGTAACATTTAGCACAGCAGTTGTCAATAAACTAAAGTAAACATTACGTATTACAATATTACGTTACTGTATCAGGTTAAAACAATTCTCTAAAAACATGGCACAAACAAAATTAAGACAAAATAATTTTTTCATCCCACTTCCAAACCACCTTCATTTTCACAGTTACATTCCTTTAAAATTACGAACACCAAATAGGTGTTTTAAGTTAACGCCCTTTTCTATTAATCAACACTTCATTTGCTACAGCATAGCTGTGGGCCATTTCAATGATTAAGCCAATTGTGGCCCAATCCACAGGCCGAGTGGTCAAATGTAAAAGCATAGCAAGACATGGGGCCTACTGTTATTGGTATCAGTAAGTCCATTGCATGATCAAAGTAGGCCATATAAGCCATAGCTTATATTGTCCAACTCTTACCACGGCTCCTGATCCATGCAGTAATTTAAATATACATTTTCTGTTACAAGTCACGGTGGTTATTCTAATTTGGGAGTTACCCATCTGTGTGTGTGGATCCCAAATTAATGGCAGTGTGTATATATATATTTAGCTCCTCTGTATTTTCTGGTTGTCACATTGTTTTGCAGAAATTAAATTGTGCCAAAGCACGCGGTACACTCCGAGAACGCACAGGAGAGCTGTATAGCAAAACCGTGAAAAAAAACCTATGCAGCAGGAGTGGCATACGTGTTGGTTTCTGGGTTGTCGACCAGACTGGCACCAATCCACCTTTTTTTTTTTGCCCAGGCGTAACGGCTCAAGGCATGCAATGGAATAGTTGTAAAGTGGCAGGTTTGCTTGCTTTGTATAACTGCGTGACAAAGTTTGATTACATTTTTAGGCACTAATTTTTCCCTTCATTTACAACCTTGCTCCTGTATTTAGAGAGAAGATTGAAAAACATAAATGCTCTTCACATTTTCCTGCATTTGGCTCCAATAGCTTCATTCATATTTTAAAACATGCATACAACAATTTTTTCTGGACCCCTGCTCTTTCAAGTTTTGACCATTTTAAAAACTTCACCTTGTGGGCTTTAACTTTTTAACTCAATGCATTGAATAAAAGCAATGGATAAAACATCAACATTTGCATGTGTCGATGTCAATACCTTAGAATGTTACCAGCTGCTCCCAATGAGCTACAGCACACACAAAATTTCAAAATAACCTACTCAATCGTCATTGGTCCTTTACAGCTAATGATTAATAGCTAGCATGCTTGGGGCATGGTGACGGGGGCCGATAGGGCATTTTCTTTTAGTCCTTAGAATTTTTTATAAACTTATTATTTGCTAACCGGGTTAAAGCACACAGACAGAGGCTTCTAACTAATGGCCGGCAAAGACGACCGACCGTTTTCAGGTTTTCCCCGCATTCGTTTTTTTTGTAGTGGTCACTCGGCTCTTGAGCTGAAACATAGTGGTCAAGACTCCTACAGTTGGTCAAAGGTAATGGGGGGAAGGGGGACTGGCATTACAGAAAGGCGAGGTTGTTTCTTTCCCTCTCTGCCACTGTAAAGGCCTCCAATCCAAGATGGAGAGTCTGTTCAAAATTCTGTGGAGGGGGGAGGGGGACAATAAATTACTTAGCCAGAGGGTGTTAAATCGTCCCCTCGCACAATTTGAACGGCAATGCAACGAAAAATCCCATGCAAGCATGTGCAGGAATTGCGAATAATCGCAGAAGATAAAACACCCGTAATAACATACTCTGTACGATCGTATAAATGAGTGCACCACCATAGTCGATCGGCTGGAGGCATGAGGTGGAGCAAAGTGCGGGTAACGCCCCCCCCCCCCTCTTCAAAAAGACATCCGGCTAACGAAGGAAGAGCTGGCCAATTATCCTCTTCAGGGACTCGCGAGCGCTCCCTCTAGTGAAGGCTCTTCAGCCAGAAGAGGCATTGACGGCAAGTCATTTGCACAGCCCAATCTTTACTTTTTCACACGGACATTTGTACACACTGCACAACACTGCACACTTGCAAAGGCAGCGACGGCCTTGCCAGTGGTGTGGTTGGCAAGGGCATGTAAGAAATTCTCTCCCCCCTCCCCTCTTTGTGGACCGGCATTTAGGCCCCGACAGCCCGTGGGACCTCCATGCAGTTGCACACCATCTACAAACTCTATAGCTACGCCCACTGAAGCCATGCTCTGCGAGTTAACCCTTTCCAGTTCCGATGACTAACGTGTACATCATCAAAAACTGAAATAAAAACACGTTCCTTTGGAGTGGGCAGGTAGGAACTTGGTTGGACAGCGCATTCGTGCACGACAAAGCTCGCGGTCACGCGACGCACTTCAACCAATCCGGGAGCGTACATGTTTGGGAGGGGCTATGCACGACAGACAAATAATCCCTGGTGGACGGTGTGGAACCTGTTGTTCCTACCTGTATAACTTTATCGGTACCGATCCTCGCACAAGACCATGCGGGAGGGTGCGTGGCACGATTTTGTGCCAGCGATCAAGAGTGCGGTCGTGTCGCTACAGTTCTGAGGCGTGGTCTTTAAAAACAACGACGCTCACACCTCTCTAAATGAAATGAACGCCGCTTGCGCGTTCCGACGTTCGGCGGTGAACAGAACACCCCCCCACCCCCCACACACCCTACAACATGCAGACGTTTCGAAACGGCAAACCGAGAGGTGTGTGCGTTTTACCGGCTCCCTCTATTCCTTGCCACCCTCCTTGGCGTGCTCCGATTCCTGGTGCACGACCAGCTTGGTCATGGTGGTCTCCGTCTGCTCCTTGGCCTCCTTCAGGGCTTTGGACAGTTTCTGCGTGGCAAGAAGACGCCACGTAACATTCGTGCGTTTGCGTGTCCCTTCACACAACAGCCAAATCGTCATCATCACTTTATATATCTACCGCTCCTCCCATCAAATACATCTTGAGGCACTCAGTCGCCGTGGCAGCTGTCCCGATGAATGCAGCGACAGTCCCCCCAAGTGGGCATTCGTTTTTCCCACTTGGGGGGTAATGTTGCCAAGTGTCTTGCCAATTAAGTAATTTGTGAGTAATTGATCACATTTGGCAACATTTGGAGTAAACTAGGTGACAAAGGGAGGTAGGGAAGGTACATTGTTGTGGTTCAGGCATACAAGCCAGTGGTCTGGAGGCAGGCTTGGTGGACAACACGGAGATCGAATCCGTGCAAGAGAATTGTGTTCCAATAAACAATAAACGTGATTCACGCTACTTGTGTTCACGCGCGTCAGAGGTGCCTCTCGCTTCTCGAAACGTTGTGCCGAAATTAACATTGCCCCCCTTTCTCTGACCTCGCGCAAAAAAAATCACTCTGAAATGCCAAATATTGCACAGCGGAGACATTTCCAGATTGCCAGTGTGAACAAATGATTTTGGTCGGTCATTGTTACTGAACACGTTTCATAACCTTTTACCGCAACAAGGCAGACCGATGAGGCTTCTGTTGTGTGAGAGACAAACGCGTCCGCACACTATCACATTAAGCTCATTCACTTATTTTCTGCAGCTTCCAAAAGCTAATGTTATTGCGAGCAAAACATGCCAACAGTCGGAGCTTACCAATTACACGGGACCTTGACCTTTACCTTTAAGATATGAAAGTGATCTGTTGGAAGAAGGCCAAGCCTCATTGCCAGTGCTTTAGTTTAAATTGACAAAGGAGTGCAATGCTTTCCTAAATGTGCAGTGATTAATGTGTGCAAGTGAGCACTCAGTTCATCATTGTTCACTTTTCTATGGTTTACAGAATATTTTCCTCCATGTGATTTCTTCATTTTTTTAAATAAAAAAAATCATGCCAAGTTTGGCCACTTGCGTATATTATTAGCACATGTTTTGTTTGCATGTTCACCACAAGTACGTGTGGTCAATGCAGACTTGATTCCTTGCAAAAGGAATCTATTTGGTGCTTGAACATTTTAATACACCTGTTTCATTGCTAGAAGGGGGTAAAACCTATTGTTATTTTTCATACTTTTGATACTGACAAAAACAGGTCCCATGATAATCTCATCGCTCTTGTCCACTGGATAAATTAATCTTAAACTTTGGAGATAAAAGGCGCCGGCGGGGTATTGGTGATGCCGTAGTTATGAGCCCAGCGACCTAAGTTAAGTATGGTCATTCCTCGTTATATGGCAAACTCAATATGCAACGAAATTTCGTGAAGCATAACTTATCAATTACGGAACCAATTCGATACACGTTACACTAAAAGGGCTGTAACTTATTTCTATACAATTAAGAGAGCTTTTGCCAACGGTTGCATGAGCAAGCCTTGACATGTTTTTAAGAGAATTTTACAAAAATATTCGTGAAATGACTAAACATTTTAATTGTCGATCGATCACAAAACTCAAGTATGCTACGCAAGCTGTGCATGCGCTGTTTTGTAAGCCAAAGAGGCACCCAATTAATCATAATGCATGCGTCTAACACCCGTGCATTAGAGGGATTATGTGTTATGGAATAAACAAAAAAATATCACTCTTTGCAGTGACAAGGTATTATGAGAGTAAAATCATTAGGAGATTGACATCAAAAATCCATACGGGAGAGGGCTGACCATGCAATTAATGTAATTAATACGAGGAGCTACAATTGCATATCGATTGCACATTCGTTTCCCCTTCAAAAAGTTCATTACCACAATTCATTACGCTACCTCTTTGCCAATTACTGATAAACTTCACATTGGCCATGAACTTGTACCAACGTGCTAATGTATTGCTGGTAAAGGGACCACTGTAACGAAAAACACAATCATTTTCATTTGCAGGGTGGGCAAAGCTGGAGTTGCTTTCATTTCTCTGAAATTCCACTTAAAACTTACATTACTTTTTGATTTAAAGCTTCCGTGACTGCAGGGATTCATCTTCTTGGTTCTTTCGTATAAGTCACGTAGAAGGGAAATAATAAAATAATAAAATTAAACATAATAAAATACATATTATTATGTACATTTTATGATGTTTTATTTTTATTATTGTATTATTTCCCGTCTACGTGACTTTACCGAAAGAACCAAGAAGACTTACATTACTGCTCAAAATCAACACTGGGCACTTGTTTTTTTAGTTTATGAACCATTTTTTTGTTTTTATTTATCAGGTAAGGCCCACTGGCCACAAATGATAGCTCAACGAAGTGGCTAATGACGTGGAAATTTACAGCAGCCAAATACTCGAAAGGCACGTTGATTCTAAATGTGGTGGGGAAAAACAGGAGGACCCGCAGAATAAACCACATGATCATTGGGAGAAAATGCAAACTCCAAATATACGTGCGTCAGGGTAGGGATTGAGCCTACGACCTCCTGTATACAAGGCGAGGTAGTTAACATCTTGCCACTGCGGTGTGTTTCCATGTGAATGGGATTTGTATGTATGTATGTAGAACATCTTTCGCACCATACGTAGCCAACCATGCTAATCGGAGGTGCGGGAGCTACAATTGTATGATAGTGTGTCATTGGAATGTATGTGTAGTTGAAGACCGATGTTTTCATAACAGAATGTGGAGCTAAAATAACACGAGAGTTGTCATTTCGTCATCCGTGGACGGTTAAATCGCTACTTACCCGAGAAAATTTAATGATTTTTATAAATAATGATAAAGGCAATGAAGCTTGCAGTTTTACAAACACACGGTTTTGTGAACAGATGTGAACAGACCCATTTACTCCAAATAAATCTGAATTAAATTTCCATTAATTTAACAATATTAGTTCCGATGAATTGCACCGTGGGCCCACACAACCGTGTCGAATCGACGCGGCTCAAAGCAAAGCACGAGTCTCTGCAAATCGTGCAAAGAATGCGGAAAAATAGCGCCGAGTTGACGGACAAACCTCGTCGTAGTCCTGGTCGCTGTCTCCCGTGATGACGATCCGCTTCTCAATCCGTGTCTCGGTGATGCCTGCCTTAACCGTCTTGACCGAGGTTCGGTGCAACGAAAATGACGGAAAGGCGGCGTTATTGACGCGCCGTTCAGGAAAGGTAAAACGTCAATCGGCAGCTTTGCAACATATAACCAGCGACACATTTGTTTACATGTGCGCGAATTTGTCATACGTGTTATCTCACTCTGTCCCTCCTCCATGTACCCACTCCTGATTTCGGGTCTTTTTACCTCCTTGCACCCCTCTACTGAAATAAACTTCCCCTAGACTCAACACTGCCCATAGACTCAGCACTGCCCATAGACTCAGCACTGCCCATAGACTCAGCACTTCCCATAGACTCAGCATATGCCATAGACTCAACACTGCCCATAGACTCAACACTGCCCATAGACTCAGCACTGCCCATAGACTCAGCACTGCCCATAGATTCAGCACTGCCCATAGACTTAGCACTTCCCATAGACTCAACACTGCCCATAGACTCAGCACTGCCCATAGACTCAGCACTGCCCATAGACTCAGCACTGCCCATAGACTCAGCACTGCCCATAGACTCAACACTGCCCATAGACTCAGCACTGCCCATAGACTCAGCAATGCCCATAGACTCAGCACTGCCCATAGACTCAGCACTGCCCATAGACTCAGCACTGCCCATAGATTCAGCACTGCCCATAGACTTAGCACTTCCCATAGACTCAACACTGCCCATAGACTCAGCACTTCCCATAGACTCAGCACATGCCATAGACTCAGCACACGCCATAGACTCAGCACTGCCCATAGACTCAGCACTGCCCATAGACTCAGCACTGCCCATAGACTCAGCACTGCCCATAGACTCAACACTGCCCATAGACTCAGCACTGCCCATAGACTCAGCAATGCCCATAGACTCAGCACTGCCCATAGACTCAGCACTGCCCATAGACTCAGCACTGCCCATAGACTCAACACTGCCCATAGACTCAGCACTGCCCATAAACTCAACACTGCCCATAGACTCAACACTGCCCATAGACTCAGCACTGCCCATAGACTCAGCACTGCCAATAGACTCAGCACTGCCCATAGACTCAGCACTGCCCATAGACTCAGCACTGCCCATAGCCTCAGCACTGCCCATAGACTCAGCACTGACCATAGACTTAGCACTGCCCATAAACTCAGCACTGCCCATAGACTCAGCACACGCCATAGACTTAGCACTGCCCATAGACTCAGCACTGCCCATAGACTCAGCACTGCCCATAGACTCAGCATTGCCCATAGACTCAGCACTTCCCATAGACTCAACACTTTCCCTGTATATTAAGCAGCCCCCCTCCTTATCCTCCTGTCACCTCTTATCTACTGCCCATTCTCTTCATCTTCCCACCCCTCATCCCTCCACTCCTTCCTATCCCTACTCTACCCCTTTATGACCCCTAAGTACCCCTCTATCGCGGTCACTCATTCGTCAAACCTTGCACTCTCCCGTCATGTAAATCATATAATAATCATATAAATGATTCCACGTTGCCACCCTTTTTCTTCAAACTATGTCAAGCGCCTTGAGTGAAGGCACTCTATAAATACAAAGTAAGTTAATTCATTTGAAATGTTCATTCACTGCACAACATTTTATCGGTGGCCACGTGAGGACTTAACGATGGCAAACCATTTAAATTTGTGTATCTTCTAAATGTCATCGCACTTTTTTTTTAAAGCACTTTGCGAACGTGAAAAGAACAGGGGGGGGGCACAATCAGGGCAGACTTTATTCATCACCGAAATGTGCCCAAACGAGACTAAATTATTTTTCATTTTACCAGGTAAGGCCCACCGAGCTATACAGCTCTTTTTCAGAAGTGACCTGGCCATCACAAGTGACAGCCCAATGAAGGGGCTCATCGTGTGGAAATTAACATCGGACAAAAAAAAACCAAACCCACAAGGCAGAGGTCGCAATCGGGCACCCGATACCCGTACCCTACCCGATACCCGGCTACCCGTACCCGGCCGGGTATGGGTACGGGTACCTGTTTGCGACCCTGGTGCGGCCGGGTACGGGTACGGGTAGGCCGTGAGTCACTGGTGAGTAACCGTTTGTCACTCATTTCAGGTAGAGTACGGGTAGGGTACGGGTATCCATACCCGGCCGGGTACGGGTACGGGTACCCATTTGCGACCCTGGTGCGGCCGGGTACGGGTACGGATAAGGAATCAAAACCCGTTTGTGACCTTTGCCACAAGGCCACGCGATCGAGAATCTGACACCACATTGGTCGAGCCGCAAACGTCCGCTCGTCACCTTGGTGATGTGGGTGGTGGTGGTGGTGCTGGTGCTGCTGCTGCTGCTGCTGGCCATGGCCTCCGTGGCGGTGCCATGCACGGTGCTCAGTAGCGGGCCCCCCGACTCCACGTGTTTGGCGCCGTCCGACTGTTGGCACGCGGGCGAGAGAGGTACACAGGCCGGGGTTTTGACCGGCGGTGGCAGACATTGTGGTAGCGAGAGAGAGGCGGAGAGATTAAGACTCAAGGCGTTGCCTGCGATTGGGGCATTTCTGCTCGGCTCGTGAGTGAGTCTCTGAGAGGGTTGCCGGCTTTTCTCGCACTGTTCCACCTTGGGATTCTCTCCCATGGTCTAATTACCCAAAGTTCTATTAGCCTTGCTCAAATCAAGACATGCATTAACCAGTGGCGGCTCGTCAATAGAGGGCGCAGGGGCGCCGCCCCCATCAATATTCAAGAAATATATATATACAAAATTTATATAAAAATACATAAATAAAATATTTTTTTCATACGATGTGCCGGCTGGTAGTAAGAAAAGCATCAGCATTTAATAAAAACTGGCTTTAATCGGTCAACTATTTTCTATGTTTTTCAATGTGTTTCATGCGGGGCGCCGGACAAATGGATGTCTATGTGAGACTTTACATTTTCGGACAGCATGTGACCTGAAGCTGGTCTCTAATTGGTTTCTTAAAGATTCTCCTCGGGGCGCAAGTCGTTGCGTCCCTGGCCAATCAGAATTGGATACATGTTATTTTATCCAATCTGATTGGTTCTCGTCACCTGTCATTCAAATTTACGCTGTAGGCCACTACTGCGAGTGCGAAGGCGACACCACTTTGACACTTGCTAGGCTGATCAAATGTTTTGTGTAAACAATGGCAGCAGTTCATCCAAATTCTGTAATTTATTTACAAAAAAACCCTTTCACAAGGCTTTCGCTGGAAGAAATAAAAAAGATAAAGGATCTCGGACCGGACCAACCCGATTTACAAATCCAGCAGCAGGCCAGTGACAGAGGACGAAGCTACACACGAAGCTTCACCCGCGCTTGTTATGAGAAACGGAGGTGGCTGGCTGGATGTGATGTTAGCAATTCTCTTTTTTGTTTTCCCTGTCTTTTATTTCAAAGTGTCGGCACTGAAGTTTTGTGGACAACGACGGGGGTAAGAGACCTCAAACATCTCTCTGACAAATGCAAACGTCATGAAAGTAGCCGCAGCCATATTGATAATAGCATGAAACTAACGTTTTTATGTTCAAGTAGGAAACATGCTTTTTGGTACTTTGGTCTGAAATGTATATAAAAGAGAAACATTTATGTTCAAGTAGGAAACATGCTTTTTGGTACTTTGGTCTGAAATGTAAATAAAGATCATCAAAATTTATATTCAAGTAGTCAAAATGGTTTTTGGTACTGCTTTATATTTATTTGCCCCCCTCAATAAAATAAAAAAAATGCGCCCCCCCAAAAATAAATATCACCAGCCGCCACTGGCATTAACTCTCACCCATTCCACCCTCTATGTATTTTGAACTTCTTTCACACCATACGTAGCCAACTTTAATAATCGCAAGTGTGGGGAAGGGCAACAAGCTCAAACTTCTCACAGTGCTGCTAGTTGTCGATGCCTTTGGCCTCTGGGCCTGTGCTCAGCATCCAAGCAGATGCCTGTGATTAAATGTGTTCTCAAGTGCAGTGAATTATTGTAATGATAAAAATCATCACAATAAAAATTTGGTTCGGCAGGTAACTTTACTAAATTCCAGTTCTAAGAAATGTAATATATCAGTTTTGACTATTTGGCGATGAATGTTACTCTAAGTATCAGAATAATTGGGAACATTTCTGGTCCCATATTGAGTGGGCCCAGAGGTCGTGATAGGCACTCTCGAACATGAATGTTTCCACTGCTCTGCGAGACATCCGACTGGGTTCTTAGCATCGCAACGTGACACCTATAGCGATAGCACAATCAGTATAAAATTGGGTGGAATGGATTTAAGCGTTTTTTTCCCAAGTCAAAAATCTACGTACAAATACAGCTACACAAATATTCCCTGCCAGCGACTCTAAATTCCCTTGTGGTTGTTTAATGCCGTGGGGCACTGACACAATGAATGACTCGCTGCAATCCCTGCACGACTGACGAGATTGCTATTCACTCTGCGCATGCGACAATGATTTATATGGCTATGGCTTCGGAGAGTTGAAAAATCTAATTTCCCCAAGAGCAGTGCAGGTTTATTCAACCCCGCTGTCCTTCGACATTACATCCTACACAGGGTGGGGCTCTCCGTGTGCACGGAGCCACTCCGATTAGATTTTCCTCCCACGTGCGCGCGGCGAAAGTAACTGATAACAGCCAGAGACACGGCCACAACTTTGGAAGCTGGGGTCGTGCTACTCGTGAATTCTTACCCCCGGTGGTTATTCGTTAGATCACAGATAGGCTCTGAGAAAATTCACCCCACTTCATTGCGGATTAGAGAAGACACACTGCACTCTTTGATTTGAAGCGCTCGTGACTGCAGGAATCCGTACTTTTTCTTGGTTCTTTCGGTAAAGTCACGTAGGTAGAAAAATAAAATAAAAAATTACGTATCACGACGTTTCGATCGCAACACAAGCGGTCGTCCTCAGGCGGAAAAAATAATCCAGAATTGGAACTGCTGAACCAGCGAGAGAGCTGTTACAACAAGAGGTTATTTATGTGGCGATGGGCAAGCAGGCGGGGGTCTGAGCTGGAAAGGAATTCCATCCCCGCACACAAGCACGTCAGTTGTGTTCATGGGGGAGATTAGGGAGAGAGAGATTAGGGAGAGAGATTAGCATGAAATGAGCTTCCGTCGCCGCATAAGAGTATCGTCTCCGCATATGCGCACAACAGCAGTGTTGATGGGAGATTAGCACAATGTTGATGGGAGAGATTAGGCAGGGAGTTTAGGGGGATTAGTAAGTTAACGTCATGTCTATGTGTAACAAGCTGCGGTGCTGCCAACTGTGCTGTGAGAGGCAAGCGCGTCCACGCAAGGGAACCACCGCAACGGTGGTCGCGCCAGTGAGACACAAAGCCCATCACACAGCCAGAACCATCGATACAGCGAGGCTAAGGGAGCAGAGGTGGCCATGTTAGTGAGACTCCAGTCCTTTAAAGCAGAGGCACCCAACAGGGCAATGCAACTCAGAGAGTCGGAGATAACAGCCAAACGGCAAGTAAGAATGGAAGCACCACAGCAAGTTACGACTTTGCTCGGTTAATAACGTCCTTCCGATGATTGCGCGGCTTATAGCCATCTTCTCGGTTGAAATTGTCTCTATGTTTATACATCTCCACATTCGAGTCTCTGCACTACTTAATCGCAGCTATCCGGTGAGGCTTTGCGAATCCAAATTCTATTCCCACTCGAGTGTCAGAGCCAACCCTTATGTGGAACACCTTCAACAGTGACGCTCGTTGCGGGCCCCTTCACCTTTGATCCTGCGCTCGGCAAAAACCGTGATTTAAACAAAGCAAAAAATTAACCCGTAAAAACAAAGTTTTTCACTATAAATCCTTTATATGCGTGTTCAATGGGCCACAACCCAGCCCACATTGGTCTTTGAAACGGGCGGCTAGAGTCCTCTCGTCCTCTGGCTTGAGATGGCTGCCACCTATGGGTCAGATGATTGCCTGCCACCATTAAGCAATTGGTAATTAAATATAAAAAAATTAACCTAAAAAGTGTAAAATTTTTGAAAAAAAATTTCACAAAAATAAATTGTCACGCACAACGAGTCTGTGTGCAAAATGTCAGCTCGATTGGATCACGGGAAGTGGGTTAAAAAACGACCGAAAGATTTGCACGGTCGTAAGCGCGCAAGCAAGCAAGCAAGCGAACTTAATATAAAGGATTTAAAAAGAAAGTCTGCACCCACTCACGTACGCCACGCCACTGGCGACCCGTGTCCCGCGGCACGCACCTGCACGGTCTGGTAGCCGATGGTCTTCGTCTCCGTGTGCACGATGGGCACCTCCTTGGTGGAGATTTCCGTCACGTCAGCCCTCACCACCTCGCTGAAGCTCACGCTCTCCGTCTTCACAACGGGAGGCTGCGGACCGCACGCAAGTCGAGCAATGATTGTGAATGTTTAAAAATATATATATGTGTGTGTTGTTTAGCCCCGCAATCGCTCGCTCATGCCACTGCTGGTGGAAGGGCCTGACTAATTATTAGAGGGAACGCCAGAGAGCTCCCCTCGAGGGTGACTTGGCCTGCTGTTTTCACGCTGGCCAGACACCTTTGAAGAGGTCGGAAGAGCCACACTTTATCCCACCGCTTGCCAACTGCCGATCGACTAACTGTGGTGAACCCATTTACACTGCCGGGTGGGCAGAAGCGGGGTGGGGGGAGGGGAGATTTAAGAAACGATCAACTCTTTGGTTCTTTCGGTGAAGTCACGTAGAAAGAAAATAAATTGCAACACAAGCAACCGTCATCAGCTAGAACTAAATTTGAGAGAGAGACAACACACATACACGGAGACACACAGACAGACACACAAGCAGAGAGAACAACACAGAGACACACAGAGAGAGACACACAACAGACATGTGTGTCTATGTGTGTGTGTCTATGCAGGCTGGCACGGCTTTCATAGGTGTTCGGGGACGGGGGGCCAGCACCACGCCCGGCTGCCTTTGTATCCCTCGTGGCGATGTTTACACACCGCAACAGGCCGTGTCACCCACAGACACACACGCGAATACACACACACACACACGTACGTGAGCAAACACACACACACGCGGGCGAACACACCCAAACACAAGCGCGTACAACATACCTCAAACTCCCCATGGTCCTCGTCGTCCGAGTCGGACATGTCTCCGTTTGTCTTTGGCTCTTCCTCCTCCGACGTGTCCTTGCCGTCCTTTGCGTCCCCGGCGGGGCTTTCCTCCGGGGACGAGGAAGCCGACACGGAGGCCGCTGCCGCCTTGGCCGCGGCGGTAGCCCCCACCATCGCCGCGGCGATGGCCGCGTCTGCCGGAAGAGAGGACCTCGCCGATTCCTTTGCCGCGACACTGCTGCCACCGCCGCCGGCGGTTGCTCCGGCGGTTGCTCCAGTGGTTGTACCGGCGGTGGCTCGCGGCGCGGGTTCTGGCCTGCCGGACGGGGACTCGCCCTTGTCGCGCGGCTCGTCGTCATCGCCGCGGCCGCCACCGCCGCCCGCCTTGCCGACCGTGAGCGTCACGGAGGCGACGGCGCTCGACGCGCCTTCCACGAGCGACTTGGAAATCTTCTTCTCCTCGACGACCATCTCCCGCACCACCCTGGCGCTGCTGCTGCTCACGCTGCTCACGCTGCTGCTGGTGACGACCTCCGTCGCTTCCTTAACCTCCGACTTGAGCATCTGACGTCGGAGAGAGCGACGGCAAACGGTTTAGCGTGGGCGGCCGTCCCTTGCCGCACCTCCGATTAGCACAGTTGGCTATGCACGGTGCGAAAGAAGTTCAACATGCATACGTACATAGCCGGACAATGCAATTTCTGTTTCTATAGCGTCTGTATATACAGCTGCGTCTTGAGATAATTTACAATTACATTCTTATTGAGAGACTTGTACGTTTTATACGAGACGTTAGAAGACAAAATCTGTTTTAAAAATTATTTAGGCATCGGCTTTCGAGAACAAATACGTCTTCAGTCTAGACAGGAACGGTGACATCATTAACTTGCTTGAAGATCGAGTGGTTTTCGCGCGTGGACTTAAACTGTACTAAGGCACACATCTGTATGGAGGCCAGCGAGACATTCCAGCATTCAGAATGAGGATGCCTGTGTGTGCAAGATTCACCGATAACACAAGGGATGCAACGCAGCTTATAAAAATAAATGCTAAGCAGGTCCACGCTTTAGCTCGAAGCCCACAAGCACATGCATTTATTTTTACCTTTTGGAACACTGTTGGTGTTCAGTTCTTTTTCTCCCATAAATCGTGCACGGAAGATGTTTTTAACAAGTTAATAGCCATGCAGACCGGCAAAAACACAAACCGCAGGACGGCAAAGGGGCAAAGCGAATCGGCGAATTACGAGCGCGAGTGAAGCGACCGTCGTGAACGGAGCATGACAAGATGGGGGGGGGGGGGGCGGGGTGAACGATGCAGGAAGGAAAGCGTAGATTTGTAAAGTAAAGACCTGAGAGAATTCAACGGTCTCAAGGAGGTCGGCAAGAGGATGTTCAGAAGGAGAGAACGTGAGATCCTCCTCGGCGGGGGATGCGTCCATCTTAGCGCCACGAACGAGCTTACTCTATTACGGGTCAGAGGCACAGGACACAAGCCACAGCGATGGCTCAACTGCACGCGCGGGGTGCTGGGGGGTTACAGCGCGTCCGTGTCACCCGTAAAATCCTCTGGGGCTTGACTTGGCTAGGTTAGGGATGGTTTCGTTTTATTTGTATGCGTTTGGGTGATTTGCGTTGCCTTTCTTGTACTTCGCACTACTGTCGCGCTTTTTGTGTTGTTTGTTGTTGTAATGTTCTTACCCCATGCCCCTCTATAGGAAATCTGCGGAAAAGAGTTTTGCACCACATCTGATCCCTCCAGTACGAATACGTATTTTGTTTCTGAAATTGCATAACCCGGCAGCATTTCCATCGGCGTACAGTCGGGCAGCAGCAGTGCATAAGCCGGGTACCAATATCACTCGCTGCTTCTGTGAAATTAACAAGTATCCATCCGTTCTGCCCTGCAGCTTCACAATCCCAGGATTAACCACCGCCGGAATGCTGTAAACGTGTGCTGCATTGATTTTTTTTTAGCTTTCTCGCAGCCCAGGGAACAGTGCACGTAATTCAACGCAGGACTGACAGACAAATACACATCCCCACTTGCTCGCGACACAATCCGTCAGCTCGCCCCACCCACAACCACCACCGCCCGTGGCCACGCTCCGGGTAAGCCGCGTGCCGGCCATGCACCATACGACGTCGATTGAGCCCCATTCGGCAAGCGCAACGGCGGCCTCTGTAGCGCAGCCAGGGCCGGATTAAGTTTGTGGAGAGCCCCGGGGACTGTTATTGTTATTGTGGGCCCCCTCTCTCTCTGTCCATCCAAATCCTTACATTTACCGTTTTACAACCATTGGCAAACACAATTTTTATTTTTTTATTTTTCATCGGTCAATGCGGCCGTGTGGCTTGAAGGGAAATATCATAAACACTTGTTTATTGTACATGGAGGTATAGACATACGAAGGAGATGCACTCTCTGCTTACTTGTTTTGATATTTCTCAAAAGCAAAATGAGGGCACCATGGTGATGAGATGTTAACTACCTCGCCTGGTATACAGGAGGTCGTAGGTTTGATCCCGACCCAGACACCCGTATTTTTGAAAATTGCATATTCTACCCGTAGCCACGTGGATTTTTCTCCGGGTCCTCCAGTTTTTCCCTCCACATTCAGAATCAACGTCACGCGTTCAGAGTGTTTGGCTGCAATAAATTTCCACGTGACAATGAGCCACTTCGTTGAGCTACCATTTGTGGCCAGGTCGCTTCTGAAAAAGGGCTATATAGCCCGGTGGGCCTTACCTGGTAAAATAAAATAGTTTAATAGTTCAATTTAGTTTAAAATCCGAGTCTCCGGTGGCCACAGCCTCCCCCCACCCTGAAGCCCCCTGCCGCGCTGACAAAGACGCGGGCCGGAGCGAGCGAGCGTCGCAGCGCGTGTGTGGCAGGACCTTGAGCGGGCTGACGAAGGCCTCCGTGTCGTGCGAGCGCGCCATGGCGTGGGTGGCGGGCGGCGGGCGGTCTAGCGCGGCGGCTAACTCGGCCGCCGCGCTCCGCAGAGCGTCTAGGGCCGGAGGGGCGTCGCCGCCACCGTCGTCATCGCCGTCGTCATTGTCGTCGTGCGCCCGCTCTTCCACTTTACACTGAGCATTCTCTACCAGGACCCAATCCTCCAAGCCCTGCTTGTGTCGAGCAGGTAGAGGTGGGCATCATGGGACAGAGGAGGAGGAAGAGAAGAAGAAAACACAAACACGCAAGAGGCACAGGGACGCGGAGTGATGAGGACACACAGCCGGCGAGAGAGCGACGGGGAGGAGAGAGCAGGCGTGAAGCTTCCTACGTTTTGGGAAAAAAAAAATAATATTCATGCGTCAAAATAGGTAAATTGTACGTGCACACGTGCTTCCCTTTCATCAATCCACTGCTGGATGACGGCCTCTCCCATGCCGTGTGGGATGTGGGTGATTATTTGACCTTAGTTCACCATACTGTAGTCAATTGTCTTTGATAAATATAAAGTTGCATTTGTTAATATTTAAGTAAATATATTTTTTTACGTTTTAATAATGCTTCCTATTTGTAGCTGCTTTTCTGGTCGAATCCAGTCGAGGCTGGGTGTAGATAGTTGAGAAGTCCACCGTCTCGTTAAAGTGCCAAACGTCTTCAACGACACACGATAACGAGCGTGCGCGAGTGTGCACGTGTGCTCGTTTCGTTTCATGTAATGTGCGGGGACTAGCCGCAAAATAACGATCTGGGGTTCAAATTTTGAACACTGAGCGCGCAAGAAGGTGTGCAGGAGAGTGGCAGCCATGCAAAAGCACTCGGGGACATCGGGGATATACAAACGATTTGTCGGTTAATCAATTAAAATTAAAATTCTCACGCTCGTGATGTACGCGTGTCTCCGTTCGTGCATGCCGCGCGTAAGTATTCCTGCATGCGACTCATGCTGCCACTGGAGGCGCTGCTATGCACCACGAGAACAGATTCTTGGGTCGAATCGTGACCCCTCCAAAAGTAAAAATGATTCATCAATCATTTTTGGGGAGGGTGGGTGAAGGGGTGCGGGGATGGGGGTCTTATTACGCTGCAAGGTCTAGAAGCACCGTACGTCGTGAATATGTGCGGCCAGTCATAACCTTGTTAGCGTCATCCTTCGAATGGGGAGTCTTAAAGGAGAACACAAACTTTGTCTCCTCCGTGCGATCTTCCGGAGCGTCAGACTTCTGATTCGGACGATGCGGAAGAACAGAAGAGAGGAAACGTGGAGAAGACGTAGATGAACAGTGAATCATTAACGAGGAAGGGGAGCGCACACGGAGCACTCTGATGAAGGAAGAGAGAAGAGTGAATACAAGGCAATGGAAGCATTAAAACCGTAGAAGGTGCCTTCATATTATGATGCAGCAGCAGCAGCAGCAAAAAAATCACAACATTTGAGATGGAAAAGGTTTGTAAGCCTATTACGCTAATCTGGCGATTGCAGATGTAACGTCCCCCAAGCACGGAACCTTAATTTTCCACGTTTCAGATATACAGAATTTAAACCCCTTTGTCCGAGTTGAAGTACAGATTATAAGCTTTAGGCTGCCCACGATGAAATGCATCTCACCATGCTCTGTAAAAAGCATGACATGGCGGAGAGAAGAGGGCGGGTGCGGGGAGCACGGAGAGACGCAACAATAAATAAAAAGACCCACACCGGCAGAAGGCGAGTATCGGTTAGATTGCGTAAATGTCAAGGTGTCGTTAACTCTCCCACCACCCGATACAGCAAATTCGTAAAGGTCTGCCACGTAAACAAACGTGCCAATTAGTTACTCGTCATCAAACAAAGATGGTCACTGCATCACGTGCTTTCAAATGTGCTTCTGTGGCCATCTGGAACGCTCTTCCTTCCGATATTAGGAAGCCACTGTAGCTATGCACTTTTAAATCTAGATTGAAAACTCATATCTTTGAAACTGTTTTTTGTGTTTAGTTTGTTGTCCTTCCCCCGCACCTCCGATTAGCACGGTCGGCTACGTACGGCGCTAAAGAAGTTCAACATACATACTACTTCAGCACATCGATGCGTTGGAGAGTAAACCCGCAACGTTTACAATTCGAGTACGATGTCCCGCTGGCAACTACAACCGGCTTCATGAAGAGATTTGCCAGATTTATATTTACGCGACCCAACCCAAAAACACCTTTATTATTAACAAGAATTAGTCGCGAAAGCTGATGCGTTAAACAGGCGACAATCGGTCTTAGGAGTTGAAATCCACGCTTGCGCTAGATCCCGAACCACGTGAGCGGTGTCGCGCAGGCCTTCGGCCCAGCGGCGTTGACGACTGACGACGAAGTTCACGTGACCTTTCCATGAACGTCAACGCAGCCCCCCCCCCCGCCCCCCCTCCGCCATGGGGCAGCTCTAAGACCGGCCCGACTGATAAAATAAATCTGATTTGGTGAGATTAAAAAAATAGTTGTGTTTTCATTTGCACATTTTTAAGTTATTTGTTTTCCTTTGCACTTCTAGTTTAGTTGTTTTTATTGCTTGTTTTGTCGTAACGTTCTGACCTGGCCCCTGCTGGACATCTTTGAAAAATTGTTTCATAGATCATCAGATTACTCCAGTAATAAATCAGTATTCCGATTCTGACTAAATCCACCACCAGTTTATGCTCGATATGATAGTCAGTTCGTCATCATCAACCGGGATCAATCCACTGCTGGGTGAGGGCCCCCCCCCCTTCCCCACCCACCAAAGCCACGCCTTCTCCCACGATCCTGAAACGTATTAGTCGCCTGAGCGCCTATGCACGAGAGCTAATTTCATCGCTCCATCTCCCCGGTGGACCCGCTCCCATGAGCGTTCAAATCCTTTGGCGGCTGCCACTCCGTAGTTATTCTTGACCATCGGCCATTATCGTCCCTTCTAAGCCACGTCGTGTTCCTGCCCAAGCCCACTCAATTCCCTTAAACGTCTAAATTGATATCCCTAACCTGCGGACGTTCTCCAACACGCGCGTTCCTACCTTCCGTCCTCATTGTAATTCCACGCGTGCATCTGTCCGTATCTTCTTTGCGCACTTGTCAGTTTCCGTTCGTGTTCAGTTAATTAGTTAATGCCGACACTAACGCTCTGTGTGGTAGTAGTAGCAGCAGTAGCAATGTGGTGGTTTACAACTTGCTCTGCAATCCCCGTGGCACCGGTTCAATTGATGGCCATAATGCACAAACAGCGGTGGCTCGCAGCCCCCCTACCCACCTCAATATGTTCCATGCCAGCCTTCACAGGCACTCAATGCACAGCTCTACACCATTATTAGCCTGGTAATTCCTCGCAACACAGCTCGCCAGAGGAACACCTAGCCCAGGAGATGCATTTAAAGACGGGGAGAGAGGGGGAAGCAATTACGTTATTTAGTCCTTCTGGGCAAAGCTACGTATGTTGAACTTCTTTCGCACCGTACGTGCTAAATCGGAGGTGCGGGGGAAGGTCAACAAACTAAACACAAAAAAGCAGCTTCAAATAAATGAGTTTTCAATCCAGATTTAAAAGTTTATAGCTCCAGTGGCTTCCTTATATCGGAAGGATGAGCGTTCCAGATGGCCATGACACTGGCACACACCACCTTGACGACAATGATCGCAACAAAAATTATTTAGTGCCGCAACGTGGCAAGCCACTATTGGAAGGGGGTTGACATCGAGAATAATGGAATGGGATATTTTAGAGCCGCACAAATGAGCAGGCAGCATGCTAATGAGACAATGTCACCAGTGGGGATTGGGGTGGGTTAGAGTCCGTGATCTCTGGTCCCAAAAATTACACCGGAGACCATCAGTTCACTCCAAAGCTCCAAATATATTAAAATGTATGGCGTTTGGTTTCTATGCGAGTCTGTGCGTCTCTGTGAGAGTCTGTGCTATGTCTGTGAGAGTTTGTGAATTTCTTTGTGAGCCCATGGGTCTCTTTGTGAGCATGTGGTTCTCTGCAAATCTGTGGGTCTCTGTGAGAGTCTGTGTATGTCTGTGAGTCTGTGGGTCTCTTTGTGAGCATGTGGTTCTATGCGCGTCTGTGGGTCTTTGTGAGAGTCTGTGGTTCTCTGTGTAAGCCTATGGGTCTCTTTGTGAGCATGTGGTTCTCTGCAAGTTTGTGAGTCTCTGTGAGAGTCTGTGTATGTCTGTGAGTCTGTGTTTCTCTGTGTAAGCCTATGGGTTTCATTGTGAGTCTGTGGGTCTCTAGCTGGCCGGCTGGCACAGGTCCAAAGTGCATTCAGTGTACTGAATTTACATATGCATGTCAGATGATTCAAAGGGTTTAAGAGCAGGTTATTAGAGCCTGAGACAGGCAGAGCTGGGCCTCGTGTTTCATCCTCATCACACAACCATCCAGATCTGTGTGCTCTTTTGTTAAAACAGCGGGACAGCTAAAAACGTCGAATCGGTCTGTCCGAGCGGAGAAAACAAGGTTTCATGAAGAAAAAAAATGCAAACCAATTTAAACCTTTTAACAATCTCTGCAGCAGAAACAGCATTATGTACATGGACTTCAACATATTTCGTAAAAACACCAGCAGGCGGGGGAAAAACAATTATAATACGCAAAACAAAAACCTAAGGAAGGCAAACCCTGAAGAAGTTTTGACCTGATAATAGTTTTTTTACCCTTCTATCTGGCAACAAAACTGACACCTTTTTTTTTTACAAGGAGTCATGTTTACATAGACCACAATACCTGCAGTCATAATGCAAACAAAAAACATAACTCTGATAATGTGCACTGTCCTTGAAGTTGATTGGTCCACACCCGAGACAGCTTTCCTTAGAGCCTAGTCTTCTGGTCCAACCCATGTGAGACTAGGCTCTAAGGAAAGCTGTCTCTGGTGCAGACCAATCAACTTCAAGGACAGTGCACATTATCAGAGTTATGTTTTTTGTTTGCATTATGACTGCAGGTATTGTGGTCCTTGTAATCATGACTCCTTGTAAAAAAAAGGTGTCAATTTTGTTGCCAGTTAGAAGGGTAAAAAAACAATTATCATATTTGTTTACTGGCAAATGAGGTTCCAATGGTGTAAAAGTTTTGACCTCTCTGGCTCTCATCAGCAGTGCATGGCCCATCACACAATATGCTGCATTAATAGACGGTGAAGGTGCAGCCCTGCAACTGCTTGCTCGTACCGTGGCCGGTGGAAGGGCCTCCATGAGAGAGAGAGAGAGAGAGCACCGATCGAAGGCATTTGGCCGAGTCTTCATTGCTGGCCAGACATCGTGGAAGAGTTGAGAGTACCCACACTTTATTCCACGCCCACATGCAACCTAACAATTGACCGTCTTGTACCCAGTTATACGCATGGGTGGACAGAGAGAGAGGGGGGTGGTAATTATTTAAACAGGACGCTCCAGGAGATAAAATCCAACTCTTGGCGACCTCTGGATTGAACAACTCTTTTATATTTTACCAGGTAAGGTCCACTGAGCTACATAGCTCTTTTTTTAGAAGCGACCTGGCCACAAATGACAGCCCAATGAAGTGGCTTATCATGTGAAAATTTATAGCAGCCAAATACTTTAAACGCGTGTTTCTGAATGTCGAGGGAAAAACTGGAGGACCCAGAGAAAATTCCACGTGACCACGGCGAGAACACGCAAACTCCAAAAATATACTGGCTTCAGGGTCGGGATCGAACCCACGACCTCCTGTATACCAGGTGAGCTCGTGAAAATCTTGCCACCGTGACACCCAGTGTGCTGCAAGTCCAGCGGTGCTGACCGTTACACCATCCTTGCTCTAACACTCCTATCCACACAGGAATTTATTTCACACTCGATATTTTCCAGAATTCTTCAGCCTTGGAGTCGGGACTATCGGTGTAAGGTGCCACTCGAGTACAAGGTCCGCCTAGCCATAATAATAATTTATTCTTGTACAAATATAATCCCATGAATGAAGATGTTCATAAACATTTGAAAAAGCAGATGCATGAACTCGCCAACATAATCCCGGCAAGTGCGACTTGGACTGTTCAGGCCGAAACAAAGCCCTGTGTGTGTACGTGTGTGCATACATGTACGCAGAGCAGCGCAGTGGTTAGAGCACTTGCAATATTAACCCGGTGACCCAAGTTCACTTTCCGATCATGGTCAAACTTATCTGAAATGGTGCTGCGCCTCCCCTAGGTCAACTCAGCCTTAAACGAGTACCCAGTGCGGTGTGTAAACATCACCACCGGGGAAACAAAGGCGGCCGGGCATGGTGCTGGCCACCCACTCTCTCATGTGCCGTGTCCCGTGCTCGCTTAACAGCACTTGCCCCAGCAGTCTTAAAAAGCTACGCAGGGGATCTTTGGATTTGTTACATGCACGCAGCACGTAGCCCCCGTCGCCGCCACCGCTTCCGCCGCCGCGCAATTAAAAAGACTCCTCACGGCATTAGACATGGGGCCGAGCGGTCAGTCAGTCGGTCGGTCAGTCAGTCGATCGGTCAGCTGGTCGGTCAGTCAGCCGGACAATTAAAACGACTCCTCACGGCATTAGACACGGGGCCGAGCGATCAGTCAGTCGGTCGGTCGGTCAGTCAGCCGGACAATTAAAAAGACTCACGGCATTAGACACGGGGCCGAGCGGTCAGTCGGTCGGTCGGTCGGCCGGTCGGTCACTCAGCCGGTCGGTCACTCAGCCGGTCGGTCAGCCGGTCGGTCAGCCGGTCGGTCAGCCGGTCGGTCACTCAGCCAGTCGGTCGGTCAGCCGGTCAGCCGGTCAGCCGGTCAGCCGGTCGGTCAGCCGGCCGGTCACTCAGCCGGTCGGTCATTCAGCCGGTCAGCCGGTCGGTCAGCCGGCCGGTCACTCAGCCAGTCGGTCACTCAGCCGGTCGGTCACTCAGCCGGTCGGTCAGCCGGTCGGTCAGCCGGTCAGCCGGTCAGCCGGTCGGTCAGCCGGCCGGTCACTCAGCCGGTCGGTCACTCAGCCGGTCAGCCGGTCGGTCAGCCGGCCGGTCACTCAGGCGGTCGTACCCTTGCGCCGTCTGCTGCCGGTGGCTTGTCATCGGCCTCCTTGTCCGTGGCGGAGCGGGAGGGCGAGGATGCTGCGGCCAGGCGGTGGTCCCAGGCGGGAGGGGATGGCTCGGGCGACGACTCGAGGAAGCTGCGCTTCAGCTCGCTGATGGTCGCCAGGTGCTTCACCACCTCCTCCTGCGACTTGTCCAGGCCCTGTTGGCGCGACAGCGCACGATGCAACACCGGCTCTTCCCTCTCTGCACCCCCTCCACTGGAATCAACTTCCCCTGTATATTGAGCAGTCCCCCCCCCCTCCTCCTTAAACCCCCCTTTAGTTCCTTTCTCAAAACCTCACCTCTTCTCTATTGCCCATTCCCTTCCTCTTCTCTCCCCTCCCCCCTCCACTCCTTCCTGTCCCTCCCCTGCCCTTACGTGACCCCCACGTGTCCTCCGCTTTGTACACTTATTCCTCGCCCCTTGCAACTGCCCCTGCCATCTGAACCGCTCTATTTTTTTTTACCGCTTTTATAACTCTGTAAAGTGCCTTGAGCCGAGACGCTCTCAAAATATTAAATAAGAATATGATAAGTAGGCGGAACGGGGAAAGGCCTCTCGTTCTGTTGTTTCGTAGCCAAAAGAATAACCTCAAAGTTCAGTCGGCTGATTGATGGGAACTGTTTGGCAAATGTTTTCCCTCGGTGCTTTGTTTCGGCAAGGCAAACCCTGCATGGCTGCGTAGGTGTTCGCGGTTGTGCTGCATAGCGCTACAGAGTATTTTTGGGTTATCATGCATGTTATTTGGCACGACATCCGACGTATTGCTCCACGTGCCAGAAGCTTCTGCAGTTCGAGAAGTTCCTCGAGATGCTTGCGGCCACACGGAGTGAAACGCCGGACATCGTGCCAAACTGCGCACGGTACAACCCAGAAATACTTTACAAAGCTACATGGCAAACGTTGTGCAAGCCTTGATCCCTCGGGCTCTCATCAGCATGGCGTGAGTCCATTAGACAAATGATGCTGGGTTGTCCGGTGTTACGGACCGTCCGTGAACATCATGGGACGCCTTCATTAGGCGGATTCTGCTCAATCGACGAGAGCCAAATTCACACCTTGACGAACGCTCAATTCTCTGTCCAATTTTTTTATGAACAAGTGCCAAAGTCTCCTGTACTGATGATGATGGGGCAATTCGCCAGAATGGTGAATATTGGCTGTTTCATGGAGATTGTGAGCTTGGCCCTGTACCCAGGCGCGTGGAACATGCAGGCATTGCCAAAAGAGCCTGACTTTGTTTTTTGGTTGTTGTTGTTGCTGCTATAATTAGGACGAAGGAACTCACTCTTTGTGAGAATGTGTTTCACGGAATTCAACGCCTCTGATTCTTCCCGGTTATTCAAGCTCATATCCTGAATCTCTTCTAATTCTTAATCAGGACTCCTCAACCGTAATGGCAGCCTATTACATTATGTGCAAACTTTAAAATGTGTGTTGTTTACACTGATTGAAACAACTATTGAAACATTTGAGCCATTAAACTAGGGTACGATGGTAGCAGAGATATAAATAAAAATCATCTTAAAGCATTGTAAATCATTCTTTGGTTCTTTCGGTTAAGTCACGTCTAAAGATAAAATAATAAATTAAAATAAAAGCATATTATTTTATCTTTAGACGTGACTTAACCGAAAGAACCAAAGAATAATTCCTGCAGTCACGAAAGCTCTATAATTAAGATTGTCAATCAGTTTTGAGGACGATAATTAAAATATTTGTTCATAATCAAATGACATGATCAGAATCAAATGCATTGCTAAAGCTAATGTTTAGGAGGAGAAAAGTAAAATTATTGAAATTTATATTGATCAGAGGAAAACAAATTAAATTTGCTCATCCTATTTCAAAACGAACAAAAAAAAAATCCGTCAAAATGTTTCGTAAGTCACGGCGATCGTGAAGCGAACGCTCCCAAGAAGTGAGACAACAGCGAGCGATTTAACAGCGGAAGGCTGAGACAATTATAGTGTTGGCATCAAGATCATTTGTTCACTCGTGCAAATGTGGTGGGAAATTTATAGCCATCGTCACCCGAAGGAGCAAACCACGGGGAATGCGTTGCAACCTCGTGCCGTTGCAAACGCCGCGCTGATGAGCGAGCGACGCTGCACTTTGTGCTTTCTGACAACATTTCACAAAAACAAAAACGACCGCATTTAAAAACTTGGAAGACAATTTAAATCTGACTTTTTTTTTTTACAAAATTTCCAATCAAACAAGTTCAAAAATTTAAGAGCGTGCAAAGCAATGCTGATTTGTTAAGCTGAATATCCACGCTGCATGGAAATTAAATGAAACGCCAGGTTACTATTGTGCTGCACAGTAGCGTATGTAGCGTTGGATTTTATGTTCCAGAATCGGCTTGCGATTTTCGGTGGGTTTCAGCGGAGTGATTTAAAAATGTTTACCCATCTATTATATAAATAACATTTACAAGCTGTAAATGTGAAAAACTTGGTCTTCCTGGAAAAAAAATTTATTTTGTTAATAAGATATATCAGATGCAAGTGAAATACACGTGCAGACGAGAATGCGGTACCCGATGTTAATGACGAGCCCAGTCAATCACGTCACAGTGCTCTTGATCACATGGTGGCTTGCTTTTTTTTAAATAAACAAAACGTACAGTAAGTATTATAAGTAGACGTTTTACGACTTATCACACGAAAAAAAATGTCCTTCTCGCTGGAACAACGTAAAACAGATCCGATTGGAATGGCGGCTTGGAAAGTCCACGTGATCGAGGCCACTGGGAACACGCCGGGGGAGGGGGGGGGGATGCGACCCATCTAATCGGCTCCTGCGTTTTGCTCCTGAGTGACGTGGGGATTGGTTATGTGAGGTCAGGCCCATCACAGGCTCTGTATACCAACCTCTAACATTAGATTGCTATGTCTGACATACATGGTGTCACCTTCTACCCTGCTAGGTGCAGGACTCTGCTGCGGGGGATGGAGGGGGGGGGGGAAGAGGGTGGGTGGGCGAGCAAAGAATGAGGTAAAAAAATATATCGATGCTTGAAATCAAATAACCGTAAAGTGGCACGGCAAATAATATTCGGCAAAATCGGATTATCGTTTAAACAAAGGCAATGCATAACAACTGCAACAGCAATAATCAACAATGCATTTGCAGCAAAATGTTGTCTAATGAACAAGTAAACAAATAAGCATGCAAACTAGAGAAACACTTGCAGCCTTAACATTACGTCCTCGGGACCTAAGCACCAAACTTCGCCGCGACTTCAAACCGGACAGCCGAAAAACCAACGCTCGTGCAATGTCTCAACTCCTCGCTCACCGAACACCTGGAATTATCTCATTAGCGGGAGAAATGGAACAGCTGGGGGGGGAGGGGGGGCAGAGGAGGCGGGGGGGGGAGGCGGGGGGGGGGCGAGGGGGGGGCATCACAATTCCTCGTCACCTTCTCGTGTCCGGGGACCGGGCCGTCCTCCTCCCTCATCTCCGACTCGTGCTTCCTCTCCTCTCTGGCAGTGAACGTGCTCTCGCTGACCACCGTCTCCGTGACGACCACCGAGCTGCTCATGGTCGCCTTTTCCTTTTCCATGAAAGTGGTGGTGGCGGCGGCGGTGGCGGTGGCGGCGGTGGCGGTGGCGGCGGTGGCGGCGGTGGCGGCGGCGGCCGTGATGACAGTGATAGTGGTGGTGGCGGAGTGTTTGTCGGAGGCCACGTTTTTTTCGTGCTGGCCGGCCGTCTTGTCGTTGGCCGTGGGGCTGCCAGCGTCGTGATGGCCCTGCTGCTGCTGCTGTTGCTGCTGCTGCTGCTGCTGCGTGGAGGACGCCGTAGTGGACACAGAGTAGGCGGGCGAGTCCGGGGCCGGCGCCGTCTCGGGAGCACTGACCAGCGACAGGCCCTCTTGGCTGCTCCCAATCGGCGCTGATGAGAGCCGTGACCAGGAGATAACGGGGGAGGGCAGAAGAGGAAGAAAAAAAATTACTCCCATCTCATTAAGACCACCGCATTGATTTCTAATTGCAGATTTCTGCCAAAAAACATAATTCAAGTGCGGCTTCAAAGGCATGATTAATTAAATGTTTGAGAGTGCTCTGGAAACAGAAGTGTTCAGACGAGGCACGCGGATAGCACGACGGGATACAGCGGCCAGGTTCAGAGATTGAAGACACTTTTCCTTTTGGTTCAACTGTCGTGCCGTGCTGGGAGACCACAGATCACATCAAACCGGTGAGCTCTGCATCGCAAGTCCAGCGTGCTAACCCGTCATTCCCATGGCAGCTAAACCCTATTTGTAATCTAACCGATAATCACCTGGAAATCATTTGCTTGGAAGATGTCCCAACTTCCCAATTGTGGCTGGAGCCCTGTTGATGTAACCTGGCCACGCCCCTCATTGTGACCACGTGTGCAGTGACCATAATATTACTACGCGCCGTCTGCTTTAGAGTAGACATATATGTATGTTGAGCTTCTTTCGCACCATACGTAACCAACCGTGCTAATCGGAGGTGCGGATTAAAGATCCTCCGATGTTATTTGCAAGCTCGAGGCCATTTTGTGCCGGGCGTCACGATCCAGATTTGGCAAACTCGAAAATTACCCGCATCATTACTCGACTGGGTTTACAGAGCAGCAATCAACACCCCCTACGAGAAGATTACGTCCCAGGTCTCACGTGCAAATGAGAGAGGGAACCTGGTCTCTTGAGTTCTCACCTGACTAAAAAAAAATCAGCTAACTCACAAATAACTAACATGAGCATGCGAGCATGAGAGCGCGTGTGTGCATATGTGTGCATGTGTTGGCATGAATGTGTGGAGCGGTAGTGTAGTGATTCGAATGCTTACGCTACAAACCCCGTGAACCGAGGTTCGATTCCCGCTCACGGCCAACACCATTATCAGAACCGGTCCTGGGCCTCCCCAAGGTCAACTAAGCCTCAAATGAGCACGTGGTGTGATGTGTAAACATTGCCACGGGGGGAGACAAAGGTGGCCCCCGGGCATGGTGCTGACAAACCCCCACCCTCTTGCGTGCCGTGCCAGTATTCGCCAACGGCACTCGCCCCAACGGTCCGTTGGAGGCGACTGTGGAGGATCTTTGTCTCCATGCGTCAGAGGTCGCAAACGGGTTTTGATTCCTTACCCGTACCCGTACCCGGCCGCACCAGGGTCGCAAACGGGTACCCATACCTGTACCCGGCCGGGTACGGGTAGCCGGGTATCGGGTAGGGTACGGGTATCGGGTACCCAGTTGCGACCTCTGCCATGCGTGAGCCTGCGTGTGACGTGCGTGCGTGTGACCACACCCCCGTCGAGTGAGCGGGAGAGCGTGTAGCGCTTGCTGGAGGAGCGGGTGAAGCTGGGCGCCGGCCGGTCGATCAGGGTGCTCGCCTGCCGCGTCTGCGCCTGGGTCCGCCCCGAGTAGCGGAACTTGGAGCCCAGCGTCAGGAATCGCCCCTTGGGAGCCGGCTCGGGGGACACCAGCCTGGCGTGGCCGGGAGTGAGCGGGCGAAGGCACGACGGGGTGAGCGGGCGGGCGAGCGAGCGAGCGTCACACAGCGGTCTCGTGCCCGTGGCTAAAAACCGAAGCGGTATTCAAAGCGCCGACTTCCCTCGCTACTGCGAAAACTGTAACCTCGGTCAAACCGCAAAAAAAATATATCCCGCCGTACTGGATCGCCTGTCATTGATGTTCAGCAACAGCAGGACGCTGCTCTTACCTACAACGGGCGTTTGGAGACATGAGAAAAAAAAACTCGGGTCACGCGGCCCGGATACCGTCGCCGTTTTAATTGCTTGCGCACATTACGTGTGTGTGTGTTGAGCGTCTTTCGCACCGTACGTAGCCAACCGTGCCAATCGGAGGTGCGGGATGTTGGTGATGGTGGTGGTGGTGTGGGGAGTGGTAGCGCAACGGTTAGCGCTCTGCGCTACGAACCCGGCAACCCAAGTTCGATTGCCGCTCACGGTCAACACTAGTGAGACGATTATCTGAACCGATCCTGAGTCTCCTCTAGGTCGACTCAGCCTCAAATAAGAACCTCCTTGTGATGTGTAAACATCACCAGTAGAGAGACAAAGGCGACCGAGTGTGGTGTTGGCCATCTACCCCCTCGTGTGCTGTGCCAGCCTTCATAGGTGCTCGCTAACAGCACTTGCCCCAACAGTCTGTTCAGGCCGTACGGAGGATCTTTGTCTTTTTTTTGTTGATGTTGCCGTTGATGAAGATGATGCTGGTGATGTTGGTGATGAAGATTATGTTGGTGATGTTGGTGATGATGGCGGTGATGTTGGTGATGTTGGTGACGATGGCGGTGATGTTGGTGATGTTGATGATGATGGCGATGATAACCCCTTCATTCCTCCTCACTCTGTCACCGCCTCCCTACGCGACCGGGCCACGTTGCCCCGCCATACCTGAAGAAGGTGTGATGCTCCACGCACACTTTCCACAGCCGCTTGGCCGCACGGTGGTTGGGCAGTTTGAAGCCGATGGTGCTCTCGAACTGTTCAAACTTATCACGAAACAAAAAAAACAAACATGCAAACTTGACTGGGGGGGGGGGGGGGGGGGGGGGGCGCCGCTCGTTGTGCAGAGGGTTCGCGGTTTCCAATCCGGCAGCACCCCTCCCCAGAGGTCGCAACCGGGTACCCGATACCTGTACCCTACCCGACACCCGGCTACCCGTACCCAGCCGGGTACGGGTACCCGTTTGCGACCCTGGTGCAGCCGGGTACGGGTACGGGTAGACCGTGAGTCACTGGTGAGTAACTGTTTGTCACTCATTTCCCAACGTCTTGTCTCTTCTCACAATTCAAGTTCCTAGAATCAACCCACCTGCGCCTGTAACATGGCTTCATCCCAGAGGTCGCAATCGGGTACCCGTACCCGTACCCGGCCGGGTACGGGTAGGGTACGGGTACGGCCGGGTACGAGTACGGGTACCCGTTTGCGACCCTGGTGCGGCCGGGTACGGGTACGAGTAAGGAATCAAAACCCGTTTGCGACCTCTGCCCCTCCCTCCCCCTGCAGGTCACCGCTGCGGGTTCGCTCACCGCAATGTACAGCACTACGCCTCGGAGCGGCGGTAGCGGTGGGCATTTGGGGTTTGCGAGCACCGATGTTCGGGGCAGACGCGTAGTTTTATATGAAATCTAACGAAATAGCTCAGAGCCTTGAAAACGAAAGACTTTAAAAGCTCCGATGTGCACGCGCGAGGAGAAATCGAGCAGATGCTAGTGTGTAAATGACGCCTCTTAGTGTTGCTGCAGATGCAAAGAGTGAGGCAGTCAATTAAAATTTAAAAAGAGCAACAGATTCACATTAATTACACACTTGTCAGAGCCGAATGAGTGTTAACTTCAACCTCATTATTCATGTGCACGCCGTAAATTTAGTGGGGTTTTTTTTTTACATAAAACACAGCCAGTCCTTGGGCTTGTTGTTTATCAAGCTTGAAACGTTTGTTAATTTTATTTTCCAATGGCGGCTAATTTAAAGTTTTTGCTGTTTTTTTATTAACTGCTGACTAAACTTTTGACACCGTCGTCCCACTGTTGTTCTTCGATCGCATTTTTGTAAAAAAAACAAAACGAAAGATGACGAGAAGTATCTTCAAACAACAACAACAACAACAAAGACACCAACACGTCTCAGCGGCCATGCAGCTTGTAACGGTACTTCCTGCAGAGGACACCAACTCGGGGCAAAAAAAACTAAAAACGAAGAAGCCAATAGCTCAGTGGGCTTTACCTGGCAAGATCAAAATTTGTTGTTTTATTTGTATAAATGTTTTAAGCGATTTGTTTACCTTTCCTATACTTTGCACTCCTGTCGTGTTTTTGCAATGTTTTTTGTTGTAACGTTCTGACCCACCTCTACTGGACATCTGTGAAAATAAGAGCTTCATCGCTCATTGAATTCTTCCCATGTAAATATTCCGATTTTGAAATTCTCAAACGAGTTGCCACCCCCTCCCCCCCCCCCTTTCTCACGGAGAAGAAGAGCGGGGGGGAAAGGCAGAGAAGTAGCAGAGCAGCATGCGGTGTGAGCAACGCGGCGCAACAAAAGGAGGGCACTTCACAGCTCGTCCGCAAATGAAACAAAACAGCCGGAGACCAATCGAGGGCAACTTAACAGGGACCTCCCCACCCCCCACCGCTACCATGCCTCCTACTCACCTCCCCGGGACGAATCTTGATGTAGAAGTTGCTGCGCTTGTAAGAGATCTTCAGAATCTTGGGCCATGCGAAGCGGTTGATGCGCAGACGGTCTCGGTAGATGAGCAGCCCGTTTGCGCACACGCCCAGCATGATGTCCACACCCTCAGAGTCCTGAAACCAACACACAAGGCAAAGATCCCCCCATATAGCCTTTAACGGACCGTTGGGGCAAGCGCCATTTGCGAGGTGGCTATTCAAGGATATTGAGGTCATAAAGCACACGACCCAGGTACGGAAAACTGGTCCACTCTCACCACAAATGGAGTTTTGGATAATAATAATAATAATAATAAAATAAATACCCAGGCAGGTGCTAAGCTTTGGTTCGGCTGATGGTAAGGCCCCACCATTTTAGTGGCATCCTCCAGGTTCAGCAGCAGAACCTCCAACTCCTTCTTAGAGTGAGCAGCAACCACCAGATCATCGGCGTACATAACATGGTTGACCAGTAGGGAGACATCCCTTGCCCGTACCTGAGCATCGACCAGCCTCCCATTGTATTTTTACCAGATAGAAATTCCATTGGTACAGCCATGAAAGGTGTATCTAACGAAGTGGTCGAAGATGACGTTAAATAATGTGGGAACCAGAGGACATCCCTGTCGCACCCCAACGTAAAATGGGGAATGGCTGACTCCCAGCCACACAACTTTACCTGGGCCAGGGACCCCAAAAGCATGAAAACCTACCCAGAGGCCTGGCCCACTGATGGCATCATCGCCCTTGACCAGGTCAACAAAACAGAGATGTAGGTCCATTTGAATCCCTAACACCTCTGCTGCAGCAGACGGAGAGAGAAAATGCCATCCGTGTAGTATGCCATTTTCTCACTCCCCACAAAGATAAAGGCAAAGATCCCCCATATAGCCTTAACAGACTGTAGGGGCAAGTGCTGTTAGCGAGCACCTATGAAGGCCGGAACGATACACGAGGGAGTTGGTGGCCAGCACCACGCCCGACCGCCTTTCTCTCCCCAGTCGCGATATTTACAAACCACACCAGGTACTCATTTCAGGCTGAGTCGACCTAGGGAAGGCCCAGGACCGGTTCAGATAATCATCACTGGTGTTGGCCGTGAGCGGGAATCGAACCCGGGTCGCTAGGTTCATAGCGCAGCGCGCTAACCGCTACACTACCGCTCCCCACTCCCAACACTCACGCACACACATACATGCACGCACGCTTGTACTCAGAGCCACACTCCGCACAAGACCGCCATTGCTCGACATTCACCGAGGACCGCTGCCCCAAACTCAATTTAATTTCACGATTGCAAGTATCACGTGCTGCCTGTTACGCCCCGGCAGCATGGATTCGTGAGAAGCAGGTCCGAAATAAAATGTGAGCACCCTTACAATCGAGCACGCGGCATTCCATCACAGCACAGCGGTACGCCACGGAGAACACTGACGTTAAGGATTGGCTGGGCGGCATGTCAGTATTCAGTCGGCTAGCCGAGAGGACCGCACGCAGTGGGGGAGAGAGATGTGGCAGAGGGCTTTGCGAGGAAATTGCTCAGACGGGCAATGTGGGCGACGCGGAGACCGCACAGCCTCAGTGACGCGGGCTGCTGCCACCGCTGACGACATCCAGTGGGAGGGCGGCGCGTGCCAATCTGAGGCAGCGACACGGACGCACGTGGGCGTCGTCGAGAACAAGTTGCCGTCTCGCGGCTCCGTGCGTCGGTGGAATTGGAAGATCGATGAAATGACGACGGCGTTGGTTTGCGCCTTTCTTCCATTCCTTCCTCCATTATTAATCCCCCATTTCAAAGGGAAGGTGTTGTGCTCATTAACCCAGGAAAGCATCACTGAGTTACGGGAGGGTCCTGCCAAGCCCTCATAACGAGGGGGGGGGATGTTGCTGGTGTGTGTAATCTTGGGATCTTGGGATTACACACAGCAGTCATTTGCAGGTCGTTTTTTTCAGATTTGGGATTTTTTTTTGCCACCAGCAGTTACATTTTATGTTTTTTTAGTTTTCGCTATGGGTGGAAAACGGAGAACTCAGAGGAAACCCAAGCGGAAAGAGAAAAACGCCATGCAGAAAAGCGCCCAAGTCGGGAATCTAACCCATGTCCTTCTTGTATGTATGCTGAACTTATTTCGCAACCGTACGTAGCCAGCCAAGTTAATTGGAGGTGCGGTCGGGCGGGCGGGGGAAAGGACAACAAAACTGAACACAAAAAGCAGTTCTAAACAAATGGCACAAGTGTTGCCAATGCGACAACCCTGCCACCCCCGCGCCCCCCGACATTTGCTTTTCCCTGTGCAATCTAAGTAATGGAAAACTACCCCCCCTTCACAGACTGACAGGACCAGTGCAGAGAGCGGACTCGATGTTGGGCACTGGGCCAACCCAATTCATCCGTAACTTCCATTTTGTTTTTTCATGCCAAGTGTGGGGCTCGGGCCCTCAAATGTCAACTTGTGATGCCGGTGCTGCAGAGGGAGGTTGGTGGTGGAGCGTGAGGAGTGGTGGTGAGGGGTGGGAGGTGGGGTTAGCTGGGGGGGGGGGGGGGGGCACGGTGAAAGGGGACGTGCAAGACGGTGAGAAAAGGCACTTGAACAGAATTATAAGCAAACGAGGCGTTCCGTGGGCTTGAATGAAACGGACCGTTCGAAGAAACTCCATCACGGTGCAATTTCCAAGCAATTTTTTTAAAATTACACCCAATATCAAAAAATATTTATAAATAACTTGAACACAAATAAACTGCACAGGTTATTACCCAATAACGGCCCACCCCAAAAAAAAACAATCTGCAGTCCACCGACAATTGACAGCACACACAATAAGTTTGGCTCGATATTGCATTGCGATTTCCTGAATGGCTACGGACAAAGTCAATAAATTCCCTTCTGTGCACATGTCACATGTCAGATGATAAACACCACCACCTGTGCGATGGAACGCCACCCGCCTGCAACCAACTGTCTCTTACGATTAAGTCTCACCGGCCGTGGCCGTTTGGTGGAGGGTTCATAATGATACAGCTTCGGTCGGGTCGTTTGCGTGGCCTAACCCGTGAATCTATCATGAATCGTTACATTGGCTATGAAAATCTACATGTGGGCGCCACAGTGGTGAGATGTTAACTACGTCGCCTGGTATACAGAAGGTCGTGGGGTACGAGCTTGACCCCGACGCCTGCTGTGTATTTGGAGTTTGCGTGTCTCTCTCCCCTTGGATTTTTCTTTGGGTCCTCCGCTTTTTCCCTACACATTTAGAATCATGCATTTTAAGTATTTGGCTGCAATACATTTCCACACGATAAGCCACTACGTTCAGCTATCATTTGTGGCCACGTTGTTTCCTGCTAACAAAAAAAACTTTAGTTTAACACGTAGTCTTTCCCAACCAATATAATCCATAATGGAGGTTTTTTTGGGTTAGATCGCATATATAATGTGTAAATCAACCCACCACTACCCGACACAGCCAATTAGTAAGGTTTGTCACGTAAACAGAACGCGCCAATGCGTTACTAGTGCAGTACACCGGTGTGTTGGAGAGCAAAGCCACAACATTTACAATCTGAGTACGACTTTTCACCAGTAATTACAACTAGCTTCATCAGGCGACAGCCAGATTTGTGGAGAAATCCTCCTATTTCATTCCTTAAATAGAGCGGTAGATGTGATAGAGGGGTAGATATGTTTAACGACAGATTTTTTTATTTACGCGATCCAACCCAAAAAAACCTGGATTATGGAAAAGAGGTTTAGTTAATTTTTATATTTAATGTAACGGTTTTGGCTTCGTTTGCACTCCTATTACCACGTCGTCTCTCTCCTCTTGAATCCATAGGAACCTTTTACCTGCCACTCTCTTCACCTGCCAATCACAAACGCCCACCACCCCCACCCACGCCACTCGTGAAATTCTCTACTTGTGCACGTGCTCGAATCCTACGTGAACGCTCGCATTTAACCGGCACTGTAGCGCTTAGGGGGCGGGGGGGGGGGCTGGATGGGGGGTAGGGTGGGGGGCTGGAGGGGATGGGCTCCTCCTGCTGAAGGTTCAGCTTCAGCGTCCCTTTGGAATGTTTTGAGTAAAGTCATTTGATATACAAACGGTCTGCAACAGTTGGAGGGGGGTGGCTGCATGCAATGCAAATGTTGCGACAATAAAGCAATGGACCGTAGCAGCTTTTCCTCTTTACACGGGGGACGAGAGCTGCTAGGGTTGAATGCACGATAGACAACATCAGATCGTATTATTACTCCATCCTCACTGGGATCCTTCTGTTGTCTTTCCCCCTGCACCTGCGATTACCACGGTTGGCTACTTACTGTGCGAAAGGAGTTCAACATACACACGTGATATGCAAATTATTTTGTCAAAGCGCTCTTCCCCCTCCAACCCAGCTTAAATATACGCTTCAAGCCTGGTGGTGTTTCATTCAGACGCTGTCTTTCCGACAGACCTGTTCTTCACCTGAGGACGGCTGCTTGCGTTGTGGCCGAAACGTCGTGAGAATTATTTTATTGTGTTTTATTTGTATTATTTTATTACTTCCCTTCTACGTGACTTTACCGAAAGAACCAAGATACATACGTACATTCCATTTAACGTTTAACATTCACGTTCAAGTCTCCTTGACATAATCCCATGTCATATCCCCCCTATCCCCTGAGCATATGTGGTCTCTATAACCGTGGGTTTGATGTAATGTTCTTTTTGGGCGACCAGTAAAATGGTATGCTAGATGCAGGAACACACACACACACGTTACAACCGGGAAGATTACGTCAACGCAGATTAATTTGGGACTTTAAACAAGGTAACGTCAGAGAGAGGAAAGTTCACAGAGCAGTAACTGTCCGCTCGAAGTCTCACCGAATTATTATTTTATTTTAATCACGGTCGCTGAGCTCAGCACCCAAAAGGCCAAGTGGCCAAACATACCGCGTGACAAACTGCAGCTGTACTAGGTAATCATGAATATGTTTTATTGCATTGAGCAAGGTTGTGAGAATCTTTGAAAGAGCAACGACGAGAGGGAAAGTCGAAACGCGCGTGTGTGCGCATGTGTGTGCGCATCTGTGTGCGTGTGCGCGTGTGCGCGTGTGAGTGCACGCGCATGTGTGCATGTGTGTGCGCGTGCGTTTTTTGTTAATTTTTAAGTGGAGAGCGGTGGTGGGTGCAGTAACCGCGCTGCACTAGGAACCCGAGTACGATTCCCGCTCATGGCCAACACCAGTGAGGATTATCGGAATTGGTCCCGAGCCTCCCTTAGGTCGACTCAGCCTCAAATGAGTACCTGGTGCGGTGTGTAAAAAACATCACCACTGGGGAGACAAAGGCGGCCGGGTGTGGTATTGGCGACCCACCACCTCGTGAGCCGTGCCCGGCCTTCATAGGTGCTCACTACCAGCACTTGCCTCAACAGTATGTTAAGGCTATACGGGGGATCTTTGTGTGTGTGTTTTATACAGTTGCTGAACACGGGCCCAAAGGTCTAAAATACCAAGCCGCACAGCAATAAACAGTATCATTTATGGTGTAGTGGTTGAGTGTGTGGATGAGCGAGTGAGTGCGTTTCTGTGACCTGCTGTATGGTCATTGAACACGGTAGGAATGAGACGAAGCAGCCAGTCTAGTTGACCGAATCCTTCAATATGTAGGTTGAACTTCTTTCGCACCTTACATCGCCAACCGTACTAATCGGAGGTGCAGGGAAAGGACAACAAACTAAACACAAAAAGCAGCTCTACAGAAATTAGTTTTCAATCTAGATTATTTAAAAGTGCATAGCTCCTGTGGCTTCCTAATATCGGAAGGGAGAGCTTTCCAGACGGCCGTAGGAGCGCATCTGAAAGCGCGCGAGGCGGTGACCGTCTTTGTCCGATGGCCAGCCAAAAGCTGCTGCTGCGAGGATGACGACCGGAGTTCGCGTGATGATGGTTCATGCTCCTTGACGAGATCAGCGAGGAATTGCGGTTCAATCTTGATTTGTGGTTCATTTGTGGCAAGCACTTTACGTGCAACGAGCGCAACCTAATACAGTAAAGCCTTGGATTGCGAGTACCTTGGTCTGCGAGTGTTTCGCAAGACGAGCAAATTTCTTAAATAAATATTAATTTGATAAATGAGCGAGGTCTTGCAATACGAGTAGTACGTGTATACGCTTTGTCTGCCGAGCGTCACGTGATCACAACTGATATACGAGTGCTTTGGATTACAAACACGTTTCCGGAAATAATTATGATCGCAATCCAAGGTTTTACTGTAACGCATTCCTCAGGCGACCGGGAGAGCCTATGCAGCTTGGCAGGCACTGGACGGACGCGGGTGGAGGAATCAATGAGCCAAGGTCATGTTAACAGTAACTTTGCAAGCATCCTCCGCTTAGCACGGGTTTTCTACGTACGGTGCGAAAGAACTTCAACATACATATGTACAGAGGAGTGTTACTAAAACTAATAGACTGATTTTATTTTAGCAGGTAAGGACCACTGAGCTATGTAGCTCTTTTCAGAAGCGACCAGGCCACAAACGACAGCTCAACAAAATGGCTCATCACGTGGACATTTACAGCAGCCAAAATATTCTAAACGCGTGACGTTTCTGAAGGTGGAGGAAAAAAACGGAGGACCCGGAGAAAACAACACAAACTCCAAATACGAAGCGGGCGTCAGGGTCGGAATCTACCCCGCGACGACCTCCTGTATATACAAAGCCAGGTAAGTGAACATCTCGTGACCGCGACGCCCGACAGCGGACAACATCCTCCGGGCGATCGGAGGGCGTCGCATGTTTAAGTTCGCCGTGCGAATCATCCGAGTCGCGTGGCGTTGTGCCCGAGTGCGAGTGCGGGTGGGGTTGGGGTGTCACCTTGGCATGGTGCAGGTCCACCCCGTACATGGACAGCTTCTTGGCATTTTCCAGGAAGTGAAGCTCAGCCTCGGCCGGCGTCATTCCTCTGTCGGCGTCGTACAAAGAGGGAGGGGGGGGGGCGCGCAGAGGGCACGAAACGGCATGTCAGCGCGCTCGGCGATGTACGCCGCGATAAGAAGTTCGGCGTACGTACGTGTGGGCAAAAGGTACAGAGGCGCAGCACCACAATGGCGTGCGCACGCCATCGCTGGCGGAAGGGCCTATACCCCCGCAGCCGGAGAGAGCTCTGGAAAGCTCCGCTTCTCCAGGGCAATTTTTTTGGGTCTGCTCTTCCACGCTGGCTGGGTGCATTGTCTTGTAAGAGGTGGTAGTTGCCCACACTGCATCCCCACCAGAGGCGAGCCGTCAATTGATTCAACTGTAGTAGGGTGCACCTATTTGTACTGCTGGGGGGCACAGAGGCGGAGGTGGGTGGTGGTGGGCGTTATGAAACTTGCGCTTTTTGTTTTCCAACTTGCGTGCCGACAGTCGAAATTAAACCGTCGACCTCCGGATTGCACCTCTGATTCGCACGGTCGGCTACGTACGGTGCAAAAGACGTTCAACAGGCACACGTTGATTTTAAGTCACCTTCATTCCCGCTGGAAGAATAGCAAAGCACAATTGAATTCTCATTCGCTGTGATTGTTCTACATCTTACACACTGGTTTGTTGTTGTTATTGTTCAGCGTCATAGTTGTCGCTGTTGTTGTCACTGTTACTCCCCCCACCACCACCCAGCCTGGAAAACCTGGGTAAATCTGGGAAGTTTCTAGTTCCACCTCTGCCGGCGACAGCCACGGAGAGGCTCACAGATCACGCGTAGCGGGGGGATCGGCGTCGCCATCCCCCACCCCCACCGGAGCTCCGCCGCACACCTGTGCGTCTTGTGCAGCTCCACGACCTTGTCCTCGAGCTCGCGCGTCTGGTTGGGCGCGAAGCGGAACTCGGAGACGTAGTCGCCCGCGTGCTCCTCGGGGTCGAAGTCGCCCAGCTCGGCCTGCACCGCGTACGAGCCGAGCAGCGCGTGCGTCACGAACGAGCAGGGCAGCCGCCCCCGCAGGATGTCCTCTCGCAGCTGCAGGCACAGGTAGTACCTGGGAGGGGCAACGGAAATACTCCGATGAGAGGGATGAATGTACGCATGCGTGCGTAGGCAACCGTGCTAGTCGAAAGCTATACTCTTTGTTTTTTTTAAATCCTTTATATTATTAAATCCTTTATATTAAGTTCGCTTGCTTGCTTGCTTGCATGCTTGCGTGCTTGCCTGCTTGCTTACGACCGTGCAAATCTTTCGGTCGTTTTTTAACCCACTTCCCGTGATCCAATTGAGCTGACATTTTGCACACAGACTCGTTGTGTGTGACAATTAATTTTCGTGAAAACAAATTTCCAAAATTTTACACTGTTTAGGGAAATTTTTTTAAATATTTAATTACCAATTGCTTAATGCTGCCAGACAATCATCTGACCCATAGGTGGCAGCCATCTCAAGCCAGAGGACGAGAGGACTCTAGCCGCCACACATATAAAGGATTTATAGTGAAAAACTTTGTTTTTACGGGTACATTTTTTGGTAAAATCACGTAGGTAAAAAAATCTAATAAAATAAATGAAGACAACTAAATTAAGCGGTTGTGCTTTCGCTATGTTGTCCCCACCTGAAGAAGGACGCTTGTGTTGCGCCCGAAACGTTGTGATTTAATTTAGTTGTTTGTCATTTATTTTATTAAATTTTTTACCGACGTGACTTTACCGAAAAAACCAAAGAGTATGAATCCTTGCAGTCACGAAAGCTTCAAATCTGGAATTAATCGAAAGCTCTTGCGCCCATTGGCCAGACAATAAACACAGCACAGTACCGAAAATGTGTTGGCTATGTAGCAGCAGCAGCAGCTTTGAACAATGACGACGTGGGAAAACCAACATGTTAAATACATGGGACATCACGCGCAGCGGCCAAACGGTTCATGTACCACGATCGACGAACATTATCATTTATACGTCGTGTTCTATTTACTTACGTAAATATTACATCGTGCTCATTTATTTACCAAAAGATTACGAACGTCAACGTGCACAAGTAAAAATATACAGGGCACATTTCTCTAAAATATGATAAGCTACACTTCATCTCGATAAAGGATTTGGCCACACCATACGCTCTGTATATTTTTGACGTGTAAAAAGGTGACCTTTTATACTTTGTAGTGCACAATATTGCGGTTGCCACGGGCTTTCAGAGGGAAGGGATTCTCTCACCTCGTGATGTCTTCGCTCAGCTGCGAGGGGTCAGGGGGATAGAACTTCACGTTGAAGGAGAACACCCAGGGACCGCCTGAAACCGAGAGAGGCTCCAGTCAAGACTCGCACGTATGCGTCAGGCACACTCCACCGCCGTACGCGAGGGCATATCAGTTCGGCATTCACATCACGAGGGTTGAAACAGGACTCCCATGCGCTGGATCGTTCGGTAAGGCCCACTGAGCTATGTAGCTCTTTTTCAGAAGCGGCCTGGCTGTCACAAATGATAGCTCAACGAAGTGGCTTATCATCGTGTGGAAATTTATAGCAGCCAAACACTCGAAACGCAGAGAAAAATCCACGCGACCACAGGCAGAACATACAAATTCCAAATATACAGCAGGTGTCAGGGGTCGGGATCGAACCCACGTCCTCCTGCATACCAGGCGCCCGCCGTTTCGCTCCTAGCGCCTTTGCGTGAAACGTTGGGACACCGTGCCGTACGTCACGCGGTACAACCCGACAGCACGTGGAGCAAAACGTTGGACAACAAGACGAGCAGCACACCACACCGACACAACCGCGAAAGCACCAAGGCAGCAGGAGGAATGGTATTCCAAATTAAGGCAGACTTTAATGTCTTCATATAATCAATCTCAGGAGGGAAAATGAGAGTAGTTTCTTATACATTTCTTTATATATAGAGCACCGTCCTTTTAAATGTTCACTGGCTGTGGCACATTACATTTATATCAACGTGTACAGCATGAAAGCCCTGCAAGACCAAGTATTTCAACTTTCTTTTTGTAAAGCCTGTGATTTCTGAAACCCAATATTTAAATTCGCCTAGGATTTTTGCGTTCATTCCTTGCGCACCGGTAATGAACAGAGCCCAGCCTATAATCATAACCTAGTTTTCCAGACTAGAGCATTATCAAAGTTGATATGCCATTGTTGAATAAAATAAAAAAAAAGCATGACATTAAAAACAAATAAGACAGAGTCATGTGGTTGCGGAGATAGTTTTTTTTAACGGCAGGTAATCGAGCAAATCATTTTAAAATTACAATTTAAGGACAATATTTAACAAGACGGGGAAAAGCGGTGTAATATTCGCTTGCATACATTCATTATTTATATCTGGCCGCTCATCGCACGACTGTTTAAATAACCGATCTGCGTTCTCCAGCAGCCCCGCGTTCACCGGCGCGTGAACCTTCCCCGTCATCCTGCTTTCCCCTTGCTCAGAAAAATACATCACGAGTCCAATAACGCTTAGAAAACGCGCCAATTAAAGAAGGGCACAATGTGCATCGCGGGCACGCAAGCGCTCGGCAATAATCGCTCGCTGACAACGAATGGAAAAATCCCAAGAAAGAGGTGCACGGTCGGACGCTAATTATTTGTGAGTCACTGCAAACGCTGCCTCCTTGCCATTAATTGCTCCTCGGACTGATGAGGTTGCATGAAGAGAGGCCATTCTTGGAATCATGTTTTCATTTCGCGCAGTTTGACAATCAGGTAACACTTTTTTTTTACCTTAAAAAAACACATTTGTTGAGTGACGTGAAATACCAGCTGCCAAACGCATTATTATGATTACAACTTGTCAATGGCCAAAAAGTTACACGCCTAAAAGTATTCACACGTTAAATTGTGGTGGCGCATTGTTTAAGTGGTGACCATACTATGAACCCGGTGACCTTGGTTCGTATTCTGGGCCGCGGCTAACAGCAGTGGCGAGTGATGCCTCAACTGCTTTCCTGTGCCACCCCCCCCCCCTCCTTTCATTCAACCCACGATGACCAGCTTGGTGAAGTATGGTGAAACAATCCAGCAGTCAACTGTGAATTGTGACGAAAAGCAGTACATTGCCATTGCCGCTTTTATTTCAGACGCGAGCGAAAAATGTGTCAGCGCCCATCACGTGATAAAATAGTCCGCTACTGCGATGACAGGAGAAGACTGAGATTGCTGTGTGCCTTCATATTTCACTGTGTCTCTACGGCTAAGTCTTGCGTGATAAGAGAATGGCTAACTTCGACGGCGTGCACGTTTATCTTATTTATTTTGAGCGTAAATAACAATTTCTTGGCTTGACGCACGTCTGCGCGAGACATTGGCACTGCACAAGACTAATTAGTTGTCGGCACACTGCGAGGAGAAAGTAAAAAAAAGACAACATAAAAGCTGTCGTGTAAGAATCAAAGGCTTTGCACCCCCCCCCCCCCAACCGTGTCTCGATGGCTCCAGCTGGGGTAATAACGTGGGCTGCATCTCGTGCATCAGACGCAATCTGTTATTGGGCGACCTCTCCGCAAATACGCGAGCGAGCGGGGACATGCGCCTGTGGGTGCCCGCGCCATTCGCCGCTCTCGTTTCGAGCGCCGCTGCACGCGGGCCGCAAACATTTTCCCCTCGTCAACACGGCAGCGCCGCCGCTGCCAATCCACCCACCCCGATCGCTTGGTAAGATCACAAAATGCATGCCCCCCCACCCCGCCCCCTCCTCCTCAACCGGCCCGCCGCCGTCAAACTGCCGCACACTGACTGGCCACTCTCTCTGCCGCCGCTGCCGTGCTCGCAATGCCAGGGCCGTGCGAGCAGCAGGCATGGGTGATCGCTTCGTTTTTGCTATGGCGACGAGCCAATGAGGTTTTGCTCATCAGTGAGCCGCACAGCATTTGCTCCGGAGCGAAGGCAGCACTGCGGCCAGGGGCTGGCAGCTCGGCCAGGGGCTGCGTCAGCGCCAAATGCACAAGCGCACTCCCTCCCCTCCCTCCCCTCCCCCTCCCCTCCCTCCCCTCCCCCTCCCCTCCCGCCCCCTCCCCTCCCTCCCCTCCCCCTCCCCTCCCTCCCCACCCCACCCTGAATTCAATTTAAAGATAAATTGTGCAGACCGTGCAGTCCGGCACAAAGGCTGGCAGCGTCAACGAAAAAAAGAATCCCAAGTGGCTCAAAATACAACGGGGTATTTCACGTGGGTCACCACCATCGGTTATGATCAATCCACTGCTGGATGAAGGCCTGCCCAAGCCATCCCGTTGTTTTGCATTCCTGCGATGCAATAATCGACCTGGCACCCGGTAGCGCACCAACTGATTTCATCGCTCCATCTCCTCTGTGGACATCCCCTTGGGCGTACTGCATTCCTTGGCCACCACCCCATCATTAATCTTGACCGCGGGTTCTCTCACAGGTAAACAGGGCGGGGGGGGGGGGGGGAATCATGGTCAGTCTTGAGCAGCTAATATCACCGCACGGTTTCCCAGCGAATCGCCAATTTAAGTTCGTTAAGTGTCACGTGTTCCCACTGATCGACGGCGCGGCTGAAGCGCGCGCATGCTGAAAAGGCCGCGGCCACTCCGCGCCCAGAGCCAGCGCTGCTGTCAACGAGGCTCGGCAAGGAAACATCCGAAATGGAAAGGCGGTGACAAGAGTTTGTTTACAAAACATGGCTGATATCCATCAGCAGCAGAGAGCTGCTTGGCAAATGCCCATCTGGGAGTCCTGACGATTTTAATAATTTTTGACGGCAAATAATTAAATAAATGTGAACGGACGGGAGTGATTGGGCTGGAGATGACAAAAGAGCAAATCAAATCCATGTATTTGCATCGATTCTGTCTCACGATAGACAGATATCGTAGAAGCCGAAATAAGCTGAGCAAACTTTTCAAATAGTTGGCACCCTTTATCCAAATTTCTTGTTTTCAATCCACACTACAGAAGACAGCATCCACCAGCTGCCGCTCACTTAGGTGCACACATCACACAGGTGATCGTAAACACCAACAAATTCTCTCGGCCTGTGTGCACTGTGCGACAAAAAAACATCAACGGTTCCTGAAGCACCTCATTGCGGTCCACTTGTCTGAAGTTACCATCAAAATAAATTGAAGCAAATGCGACCAACTGACAGGCAGCAGGTGAGACAGAGAGACAACGGTAGACTGGTTTCACCCATACTAGGACCCATCAAATGGACTACAATATAACAATGCTTCACAAACCGATTGTGCTTTTTGCATAGCACACGAAAGGCTCGTGATTCTTTTGTACACATTTTTGGGCGTTATTTCGAGGCTTCCAGATTACATTATTTTTCCGTTACGATGAGTTTACAAGGAAAGGCCCACCGAGCTGTGTAGCTCTTTTTTCTGAAGCGACCTGGCCACAAATGATAGCTCCACGAAGTGGCTCACCGTGCGGAAATTTATAGCAGCCAAAGAGTCTGAACGCACGTTGCTTCTACATGTGGAGGGAAAACCCGGTTAACTGGGAGAAAAATCCACGCGACCACGGGGAGTGAACGTGAAAACTCAAAATATCCAGGCATCAGGGTCGGGATCGAACTCATGAGCTCCTGTATGTCAGGCGAGGTAGTTAACATCTCGCTGCTGTGATAACCTCATCAGTTACAGAGTTTGGACTCTTCGATTCGCTTTCAAGGCTGCACTGGACGTTGTACAACCAGCAGAGATCGATGCACAGTACAATAGTGCAAAAATACCTACGCAGCTGTACAATAAACATCGTAAAGAAATGGTAAAAAAACCCCTAAGCCACACGTGGAGCCCCTGTGTCCAAAGCTGTGGCCAGCACATGGCATGTATGAACCCCATGGTCCCAGATAAGTATTGCACCGGTCAACAAAAAAAACACATTTTTTTCTGGCCTGGACTTTTGCAGCTGTTTTAGACTAATTTCAGGGTGCTGATTCCAAATCTGATCTCAGATTTGCTCTATCACATCTCATTTTTATGCTATCGGCATACCCCATTTTCATTGATTTTACCCTAAATTAACTCTGTCATTTATGTTTGCAAGTTGTTGCGAGTCAGTGACTGCTTTAGTGTTAAAATATGGTGCTGTATTATTAGGATAGTGTGTTTATAATAAAAATTTATGTAGATATCCACATTTATTTAATATTTTTCTTCTGCAGTTTTTATTGAAAAACCTGATGTGATAGACAAAAACTGATGCCAGATTTGGAATCAGCACCCAAAAATTACCTTAAAACCGTTGGAATACCTCATGCCAGAAAAAGTGTGTTGACTAGTGTTGTCCCCCATATCACAAGCCCGGCAATTGGCCCACGCCAGCTGTGTTAACTATGATTGGTCACAGGCCAAGCACCACGTCCAGAGATGCAAGCCAAAAAAAATATATGAAAAATAATAATTCATCGCGCGGTGTTTCATTAGCGGTGGCAGATAACCAGCGGATGTCACAGCCGGCGGGCACTCTCTCCGTCCGAAACCTCACCTCGCAAACTACCCTGGCTGCTGCCAAACCACCAGAGTTGCCCCCCACACCCCCACTCCACACAACGCGTACGATGCAAAGTGCTTGGCAAGACCATATCAGAGCGCACAAGCGCAATTAATTTTTCTTTATGTGACAGTGTCCTCGGAGTGGAGAATCGCGCGCCGGCAAAAGCGGCCCTTTCCAAGGGTCGTCGGCCAAACGGGGCCTCCAGTATAATAAGGTATTCCAATCAGGCCGGCGCAGAAAGAACATTGCTGCCAAATTCTCTCGTTTCCAACGGCGATAAACGTCGGTTGCCATCTGCACTCGCAGGCCAATTGAAATTCTGAGTGTCTTTCCTGAAATGTTCCGAGCTCCGAATCAAGAAACAAAACAGAACTTCACCACACGCCAATCTTGGGCAGATCAACGTAAGCGCCCGACTGCCGCTGGGAAAGCAACGAACCGCAGAAACCGAGAGCTGCCCCCCGTTTGGATTGTTGCGTACTCATCCGGTGGGAAAGCATGGTCGACTGCCTCAGCAGAAGACGCTTGTGTTGCGCCCGAAACGTCGTGATTTATTTTATTTTATACCTACGTGACTTTACCGAAAGAACCAAGGAGTATGGATTCCTGCAGTCACGAAAGCTTCAAATCAAGATTGAACCGCATCACATCTTCATTAATATTGACACCGAGTGCCATCGCTGGACTGTCATGAATTACATTCCCATCCTATGCCTGAAGTCAAATTCTGACTTGCGATCGGTTTTAGCCAACGCCTGAGGCAACCGTTGGCTTTTACAGATCTCCACTTGGATTTTGGACAGTTTTTTTTTTCCGCCCCAAAGACATTACGCTTTGTGAGCAATTCGCTAGAGAGATTAACCTCCATACTTTTGAGCTCTTGCATTTTTAAGTAAGGCTCTCAGTAAAACTACGAGGCTAATTGCGGTTTATCCTCTGAACGTGCAAATCGGGATTTTCGTTTGTATTATTATGCAGCAAACATCAAATTCATGCCTATAAATAAATAACCAAAAGTTACCACTTGAAAGAACGCACTGTATAGGATGCAAGCGCAACGTAAAAGGTAAAAGAAAGCTAAAAGTGCAGCCCAGGAATTTCTGGAGGGTATTTTGGCCTACTCTTCTCTTCCTGCCAGACATGTCTCAGTCCCCACACTTTACCCCACCACAGTAAACCTGCCGATTGACCATTGTGCCTATTTACACTGCTTGGATGGACAGCGGCAGGCTGGGACGATTTAATTAACTTGAACCAAGCGTTATGAATTTTCAATCAGAATGCGACGGGATACAACTGTCGCAAAGCTCTGGTTGTTTCCAAGAATTTTCACGGTAATATTTCCTTAGTAAAAAAAGTATACCCGATGTAATATCACTAATATCCCGCCTCCCTCCTCCCAAAAAATATATATTAACGGCACGTGCAAAGGGGTCTCCGAATTTAACAACCAATTTCAATTGGTTTTAGGGCAGCCATAACTCTCTCTCTGCCGCAACTCTACTACCCATAATGCACAGCTGATGGTTAATCTTTCTTCACAACGGCCCGCCGCACGCACCGCCGCGGAGGATCGGGCGACTGCCAAACGAGGAGAGAATCCCGCAAGCAGCACAAATTTGTGTGCTCACCGCACACACGCGCGCACACACACACACACAACCGCGGAGAGTGAACCAAAGGATGCACCCGGCGTGAGAAGAAAAAACACGCACGGAGAAAAGCCTGATCACATATTAAATAAGGGTCTCAAGAGAGAGGGAGGGAGAAAGAGGGATAGTTAGTTGCCAGTGGACTTTGGAGTGACACAGCGAGTGATAATGAGCACCTCCGATTTGCACGGTTGGCTACGTACAGTGGCGAAGGAAGTTCAACATGCATACATTTACAAAACGTTAAATAAAAATCCACAAAAGGATATATTTTTTTTAAAAGTACAGCACAACCGCGAACAATCAGAACATCAAAATGCGCACACCGTTGTCCCTGTGCGATGCGTTTACAGCGACAGTTCTCCACGACGCGTACCCAACTCGCCGCAGAGCGAGCTATAGGTGGCTGTGTAACAAGGTTGGATCTGTGAACATCTATGAGCAAATGACCGGTACTTCACATGCTCAAGAAGGTCACTGGACAAATATAAAACGTGTTTTCGGTGAAAATATGGGAAAATGCTTCACCGTGCGAGATTAAGAATACATGACTGTACGTTAAAAAAATGGTAAAATTTGGAAGATTACACTTACACCCACGCAGAAACACCACACTGGGTGTGGCGAGCTAAGTGGTCGTGGCAGATATGCGACGGTCGGATATGGGACGTTGCGCCGTACACACCCGCGCCAGCGTAATGCTCGTTAGCACACGTTCTACCACTGGTTAATGGCTGCTTGGGTGAGCGTTCAGGGGGGCCGGGGGAGAATGAGTGGCTGTATTTAAAGTAACCGTGATCCGAATGGCTGCAAGCAATGTATGCAAACAGCCAGCCGTCTGCCTATAATCGAAGGCATAATAAAGAAATGCATTTTAAGAGCAGATAAAATGAGCCAATTTAATTCTGCAACACATTTACACACATAAGCATACATTCACGCACGCAACATAATGCAATCTAATTATCCTTGCAGGCATACTCACTTCTGATCTGCTTTCTGATTTCCTTGGCAGGGTCTAGCCAGTTCTGCAGTGAAAGAGAACAATTAATGATGTCAGTGCGTTATGCAAACTCTCCACAGTCCAAAACATTCTAACGGTTTTTTTTCGTACTTTAATCTTTATTCACAACCAGGGTAGATGCCAATAAAAGCACAGCATCTCTACTTTCAAGGGCCACGAGATTGGATTCAATATCGCTTTGCGACAAGGTTACATTCTCAGGCATTTACCATTCTCGATCTACTGCTGAACACAGGCGTCCCTCTCCTGTGACACCACCATGCTCAGTGCGGTCTGGCCACGTTTCATCTCACCGCTCGTGCGTGGACAAGCACGGTCCTTCTCAAGCGGCTCCACATTTTATCAGTCGTTTTTGTCTTCCACGTCTTCTTTGTGAGTCGGCGAAAGAACACGCAGCGAGCGTAACATGACCGCAACGTAGTGCAGAAGTGGATTTGCCTCTGGAGCCATGATTTGGCAAAATAACAACAGCAGCAAACAAAAATCCTTCTTCGAACAAGGTTACCTAAGATATTGATTTCGACTATAAAATGACGGCTAAAGTCTGGCTTTTAATATATATATGCAGTACCGTAGAGGCAATTTCCGTAGGCGTCTAAATGATGCAATACTTGATTATTTAGAGGTGCATTTTGGCCTCGCCCGCACAGTGCAAGCAAGGTTCTGCAGAGAAATTTCTCAAACGTTATTAGCCCTGTAATTGGAAATAGCGCCACCGCACTGCCCCCCCCCCTCTCCACTCTCCTCCACGCCAACGATGCCCAGGCGAGACAAATCGCCTCAATTTCCTGAAGGCGCATCAACACCAGGGCCTCTCCGTTGCTTGGCCCACCTCGTTGTGCAGCAAAAAAGGGTCGCAACGTTTTTCCGAGTTCAAAGATAAGCCACTTCTCGCGTCTGCTCGTGGGCGCTTTTGGACTCTGCATCTTCTTACATCATCATTTATCAACATGATCATCGACGTCACGATCCCATGGGCAGATAGCCCCGTAAGGTGTCCACTGGACATCGTTATTTGTTTCCACTTTCCTCGCTGTCTTTTAGTGCCAGTACGCTCACGTAGAGCCACACATCTTTCTGGCACCGATCGTTTATGTCGTCATCAAGCCATTGTCTGGTTATGTCTTCCTCTCTTTCGGGTTCCTTCCATTTTTCTGAACAACAACAACACACACATGTTCGTGTTGTTGTCCATCCTACATGTGTGTTCAAACAGTGCCAGTCCTCCTTCTCATCGCTGCCTGCATCATCATCAGGTCGTCTTCTACGTGCAAACATTTTTATTGCTTCTAACGTTGGTCACCCTTTGGATCCAACTTCGATGCAGTGGTGTCCTTCTATTAGCAATACATTTCCAGTGCCAACAACATGTTATCTGTCAGCCCTGTTAATGTCCACGTCTCGCAGGCATACAAAGCTGCACTGAACACGCATGTTCTTAAGATGTTCAGTCTGGTCTTGGAGCCGATGTTTTTGCTTCTTACGAATTCAAGCTCAATAGCAACCTTCGATTAGCGAACGTAATTCTTCCGAAGACGTATTCGTTCGATGGATTTTCAAGCGGTGGGCTGGGCTGCACAGCGGATCGTCTGTCCTACACCGATGCTTTGTGTTTTAAAAAGTAAGGGCCCATGGTGAATGGGAAAGCCGGTGGGGTCGGTGTTGACTCCACAACGATGCAAAAAATGACGTGACGCTGCTTTGGCACGAGCAAAGAGTTGACTTAAAACTTTCGTGACTGCAGGAATTCATATTCTTTGGTTCTTTTGGTAAAGTCACGTAGATAGAAAAATTATAATAAAAAATAAAGTGAATGGAAATTACATGGATATTCTGACTACACAATCCGCAAAGCCATCGCCCCAACCGTGAGGAAGGAGCCATCTGAGGATCCAATCAAAACCATCACCTTGCCATACATAGCAGGGGTAACCAAAATGTTTTCCTATATCATCAACAAACACAAGATCCAGGTCCGATTTAACACAGGCGATTGCGGTCGTACAATAAGCTGAGGCACGGACTGCCCCAGGGTGGTTTAAACATCGCATTAAATCAAAAAGGAACTTTCGCAAGTTCATATAAAGAAGTCAAGAGATGTTTCGAGTTTTGATGGCTTAAGCTGTTGGAACTCTTTGAGCCAGCAACCCATCCCACCACCTCCTCCACCGCCCGCCTCCCCCTGAACCGCCCCCCCCCCCTGAACCCCCTGCCCCCCCCTCCCCCAGCCCCCCTCCATCCACACCAATTCCATTGTATTGGAAACGCTACTCATGCAATGATTGCTCATGAATTTATCGCGAGAATAGCCAAGCTGAGTGGGAATAGGATAAAAAAAATACTTGGCAACAGAACAGGTCGTCCGCTTAAAAAAAAAAGAACATTAGTGCACATACAGTATAATGTGTATAACAGGTGACGGTAAAAGTACAGCCATGAAACTGCTTGGCTCTCGCCACTGTTGGCAGAAGGCCCTCCACTAAAGAGAGCTCTGAGCACCCCGCTCTAGAGGGTACTTGGCCTACTCCCCCATGATGGCCAGACATCTTGTTAAGAGGTGGGGGGGGGTATCCACACCTCACCGACTACATGACCTGCCGATCAACTGAGACGCTGCAGGTGAACTCCATTATTTTATTATTTACCACTTCCATCCGTGCTTCTTTCCCGCACTGCGCACTTGTCTCAGTCACAGTTTTGGTAAACCCACAAGCTGCTAACCCCTAGTAGCCAAAATGAGTAAAAAATACAAACGTCGCTGGATAGCTTCTTTGAAAAAAATGTCTTCCATGAAACCGGTCCCTGGTGCCAAAAAGGTTGGGGACCGCTGATCTAAACTGATTTAACAAACTGCCGTGCCTGGAGATCGAATTCAACCGGGGACCTCTGGGATTGCAAGTCCACTGCGCTTGCCACGTCAGACAGTGGCAGCAACCCCGAATATTAATCACAAACTTAGCTTTCACGGTCACGTGGAATAAAAAAACAAGTTATACATCATCGGCCAACAAATAATACGGTGACAAAAGAGTGTAAATCGTACACGAGTGCTGATAATACAGCTTTAATTAGAAATGTCGCGGTTGGCTACGTACGGTGCTAAAGAAGTTTAACACGCATAATACATTGCAATAATGTCAAATTATACTTTAGTGCGTCTGCGCGTGGGTGTGTGAGCGAGCGAGAGAGTGCAGGACAGTCACGCGGTGGGTGTCAACAAACGTGTTGCTTGTGATGAGTGTTAGTGTTAGGTGCAAGGAAAAGGGCGTTCTCTGCTTTCGTTCCATCACCTCGGGTTTGGCTGGCTTCCCTGCTGTTACCTTCTGCTCACTGGAGTCCCTGTAGGCCAGCCCAAAGTAGTCCTTCTCGAGAAGGTTGAGGTGGTCACAGACCAAATCGATCATCTCATGCCCCTTGGCATTTTTCTGCGAAAAAGATGTGAGAGACAACGCGGCACAATTACACAGGTCATGTAGAGGATTATTATAAATATATATAATAATGATTAATCTCAGAGCTTTGTGCGATATGAGATGGCTGTGGGGGGTGCGGGGCGGGGAGGGGTAGGTAAAGAAGAGATCATAGACGGGAAGACGAACAGTACAGTCATGGCCCCGGGGGTGGAACGACGCATCAGTTCATCGCTATAGGATTTTTAAGCTCACAAGACGTCGGATTACCTGCGAGCGTGCGGAAATGGACGCGTTTTCGATTTGCGTTACGTCTTACGCAATGAATCCACGTCACTCCTGCAGCCACTGCCAGGTGCTACGCCATGTGCCGCAAATGTAGAAACTGAAATAGCAGTTGTTATTATTTATATTACTTGCATTGTATTTTAGAGCAACCGTCACCTCCCCTCCAACTACAAAAACTTGGCAGGACCCTCATTAAAAAGAAAACTAGGCTTTTCTGGGTAAACAAGCGTATTGAAAAAAAATGTTATAGTGGAAAAGATAGGCGACTTAATGTGAGGACACCTCCTTAAATAGGAGAATTTAAACACACATTCACTGAATTTTTTCGATTTAAAGCTTTCGTGACTGCAGGGATTCATCTTATTGGTTCTTTCTGTAAAGTCACGTAGAAGGGAAATAATAAAATAAAAAAAATAAAACAATAAAATCATTCTCACGACGTTTCAGGACACCACGCAAGCAGTCGTCCTCAGATGAAGAACAGGTCTGTCGGAAAGACAGAATCTGAATGGCACACATTCACTGCTTTTGTACTCCAGCGATCTCAACAATTTTTTGTTATTTTACCAGGTAAGGCCCATGAAGCTGTGTTGCTCAACGAAGTGGCTTACCATGTGGCAAGTAATAGCAGAAAAAACACTCCGAAGGCATGTTGATTCTAAATGTGGAGGGGAAAACCGAAAGGACCCAGAGAAAAATCCACGCGACCATGAGGAGAGACACGCAAACTCAAAATATGCAGCAGGCGTTAGGGTCTGGATAGAACGTTCGACTTCCTGTATACCAGGCGAGGTAGTTAACATCTCGCCACCAGTGGAACCCCGATATTCCAAACGGTCAAGCGTTCCACACAAAACAAGCCGCTGCTCAATAAAGTGATGAATATTATTGCAATCCTCTGTATGTTGTCTATATGCATCTCCAACACAGGTTAACGGAAAAGGATATGGCAGTTGCGTTTTCATGATGACAACACTGTGTAACACATTCTTTTTCTTGGTTTGGGTAGTAAGTGTTGTTTCCTAATTGCTTATGCCTCAGAAGTACAGAAAATGGCTATTATTCCCCACAAACTTTGCTTTTGTGACCAGGACAGTGATATTTCGAAATTTACCTTAGACCATCACCTCACTACACTTAATCACCTGGTCACGCAGCTCATCCATGGGTGGCTTGAAACTAGAATTTAAACCCCGGTGGTCTCAGCGGTGCTGGCCCCGATGCTCTCTGACATCAGAGGAACCCGACTGCCTCTTTTGGGGGAAAAAAAAAAACAGCGCTAACTTATTCAACAGTACCACGGTACTGCCTGGAAGTAAAAAAAAAAATGCGAAATCCTCCCACGTGGACATTTAATGTTGGGCTGAATTCTCAATGAACAACGAACAACGTTACGCTACGCTGCTCAGGGGGAGCGGGGGCTCGGAGACGGGTCACGGGCAACGGAATAAAAACATGCTGCGGGTTACGGGGTGGGGGGGGTCGGCTCATTAGCAAGCGGCAGTTACACTTCACGCGTGAAATTGGCCACTGCCGCCGGTCCACATCCACGCGTGAACACAGTTGCGAGGTGTAACACGCACCGGGGGGGGAGCCAAGAGGCAAAATCTGCGGAAAGGTGCGCTCGGTTCCGGAAATGAAACGTTCAAATGGAAACCTTTACCCCGGTTGCCCCAAAAGCTGTGTGCCACCGCGTTCTTACCAGGAGCTGGCGCTTACACCCGGCGTTCAAAACCGCTGGGGGGCGGGGGGGGGGTAAGTGCACGAAGCAATTACCTTGAATGCCACTCAAAACAATTTTTCTGAACAAAATCCATTTTTTTTAGTTACGTAAGCGGCGCCCGCGTCCAAGTTAACGTCCGTGCGAGTTGCGCATTTCAATTTACGAGGTCGGCGTTCAATGATGTGGGAGCCGCGGTGCAGCGGATAGCAGCAAGCTGTGCTAGGAACACAGCGGTGGCCTGATCTCAATGCCCAGCCGCACGGCTAACATCAGTGGCAGGCAGCATCTGACCCTGCCGTGGCGTCCTCCTCCCCCCCCCCATTCACCAACCCTATGGTGACCGTCGTGGTGAAGTATGGTCAAACAATCTCCGTGAGCCGACTCGGCGTGGGAGGGCCTTCGTACAGCTGCAAGCATTCGGCAGACGCATTTTTATATGTCTACGGCCAATTTATCAAGACAAGAGCGAAAAAGTACTCTCTGCTAAAATGTGTGAGGCCTACAAGGCATATTTCGGCATGCCTGTCGGGGATCAAGACAAACCCTGGGTGGATTGACATAGGGGCCGGTAAGCTATTAAATTGACGACGTGGAAAGCTTTGCGTCGATGAGCTGCAACAAAGGCAGTTACCAAAATTGAGTGAGCAAAGTTCCCGTCTCTGATATTCGCCGTCCTGGGCACCCAGAATTGCTGTGCGCACGCGTAGTAAGAGAACACACTCGTTTGAACCTATTGCCAATGCATCCCCTCTTCTTGTCTCAAGAGCGCTCTTGGCATGTAACGGTCTCCGAGAGCCACAAGCTAAATGAAACACAAACTCCACAAGCGCCGTGATGCAAAATACGATTCAGCAAGCGCAATATTCAAATGCACAAACCCTAACATGCGCTGCTGGGGTCACAAAACAAACACCACAAACACAATACGAATTTCACTCTACTGGCTTTCCAGATTTACGCTTACCAGCAGCATGTATTCCCACATGCGACAGTTTACTTATTGAACGAACACATGGGCTTTCACAGCCAATATATCGGAGCCAATACTACGCTTCGTGAGATTCTTGCAAAACATTGTAACTAATTGCCAAGTTTTGGGATTCAAGACTTTTCCTTCATCTCAACGGAGTTTGCCGAAATAAAAAGATTGACACGTTAAGCATTCGTGCACGCGACCATTTAATCCCATTGGCTGTGTCAGGTGGTGGAGCTTTTCAGGCCAAAGAATTTGGTCAAATCATTTGCGTGGCCAAACTCAAAAAATCAACTGTGAATCGGTTTTCCTTTATGGTTTCGTTGTTCAGCACAACTGCTGCGCCACCGCTCTGCACCGTTGCTTTCTATAACTTAAAACAAGTTAATAATTTGATGACGATGATGATGATGCTGCTACCACGTCGACAATAGCTTTAGAAGGAAATATATAAGAGGTGACAATCCGGGTAAATGGCCCTTCTATTCATAGCACATTAGAAGAAAGGCCAGAGAGACCGAATGGTTAAAAGTTGGAGACAACATTTCACACCACGGGGTCTGATAAGAATTACCAATAAAGGAAGGGGAAAAAAACCCCTCCGCTTTGCATCTGATAGAGGAAGAACAACATCTTGCAGGCCTCGCTAAGCCGAGGCAAGCCCTGAATAACCACACGGAGCCGGCGGTGCCCTTGAACCCCAATAGCGGCAAATCTGGGCTTTAATGTGAAACCAACACTCGGAGGCGAGAAGGCGTTATTTAGCCTCCAGGTCGGGCTCGCAAGCAAACCACGGCAGCAGCGGTGGCGCACACAGAAAATCAAAGTAAAACGCTGCCACGCGGGAGAGGAAAAAAAAACAATACAATAATAAGTTCCGCCTGTTATTCGAGCGTGTGCGTTGAAGCGCGTCAATTTAATTGTCGAGGGAGGGGGGGGGCCAAGCAGAAAAACAATTAAAGAAAGCGCAGCAGTTGCCCTGGAGCCGGTGTGAACGAATGCCAACGGGCACGACGCTAACGAGCGGTCGGGAGGCACCGCATGCACCGCATGCACCGCATGCACCGGAGCCGGCGGAGGCGCCGGCGACAGCGTTCAGATCGAACACCGCCGTATCGTGAAGCCGCCCTCCATTATGGCGACTTTGTTATTGACGTCGTCGTCGTCATCATCGTCAGCCGTGATGACGTCACAGCTGGACGAAGACCTCCTCACGTGATCAACATCGTGCCTCACAGTCCTGCGACGCCACAATGCACACACTCATGCACACAACAACAACAACAACCGCCATTCGCCACTAAGTGGCGGTGACGTCACCACGATGCTTGTGCCAGGCCAAGTGCACCTTGAGGCCACGTGAAGTGTCGAACGCCCGCTGGCAGGAGGTCACGGGGCAGACCCAGGTGCCATGGGTCGACTGACCGAGATGACCGAGATGACTGGCTGATGCACCACCTGTGCCCCCTACTATACCAACTTGCTGTGCTTTAGCCACCCGGCGCTCTGCTCGTTGTTGTGAGCGTCGCTCCTCCGCCCTCCGTTGTTGTTGGAGGGCGACTGCCTCCAACTGCCCAGTAGCGTCCTTCACGAGCCTCCTCCACTGAGGCCGATCTTGACACCGCTGGTACCAGTCATCGGCAAGTCCACTCAGCTCCACGTCCTCCTGTACCACATCACTCCATCTCTTCTCCAGCCCGTGCCGCGCCCGTCTAGCCCCCTCGATCCGGCCGAACAAAAGCTGTTTAGGCATGCGGTGGCTGGGCAGCCATCATGCACACACACACTCACACACACTCACACACACACTCGCGCACTCACCAACTCACCCACAACTCACTCACTCACCCAACTCACCCACCACTCACCCACCACTCACCAACTCACTCACTCACGTCTCCGCCGTGGACGTCCTCCCTGGCGCTGTTCCCGACTTTTGGCCGCCATTCTGCGACCAGCCTCGTTCATCAGCTACATTATCAATCTAATTTGCATGTGTTCTCCGATACGCGCTCCGCTTTCTGCCATTAG